CACTGTTGCCTTCAGTTTGGAGAAGGTGAAGTATTGCATTATCAAGAAGACCAAAAGCAGTTTGTCCTACTGACACCAGAAGCCTGGCACCCTGTTGCTGTCCTTGTGTGACTGGCTGTGTCCTTCCTCAGTGTGTTAGCTTGCCTTTGTCAAACACTGAACTGATCCAGTGTGCACATCTGCCCTTTGTGCCATTGTGGCTTGCAGATCTGGCTTCTGTTTGGGGTTGCAAAACAATCTGCATCCCAGAGGCTGTGTGACTGAAAGAAGTCGTTCTCTACCTTTCATTACTGTGGTACCATTAGATGAAGGAATACTGTGATCTCCAATGGGCAAGTAAGAGAAAAGTCATTTACCTCTCCTAGAAATGGTTCATTTCTGCAGGGACAAAGGCAAATTCAAGCATTCTTACATGGACTTCTTTAGGTTCTGTGGTCACCAAAGGCAATTTGCCAGCTGGCTTATTGAAACACATACCACTGTGAAGCCCTCTGCCCACTTTTCTGGCCTAGCCAAGTTTAGTGTAGAAGTTACTGTAGCTTCCCTGTTGATCTTTGAATCTGAAGAACATGTCCTGTATGAAGTGACTGAAACTTGCATTATCTGCTGGGGCTCTGCTTTTTTCCTTTATCATCTTTCCATTTTGTATGGCATGAGGACTTCTTAAAACCTAATCAGAGATGAAAGTTCAGTCAAACTTGCCAGTTCAGTCAGACTGCCAAAATCAGTCAAAGAAGATTGAGACTAATGGCTCATGGTTAGGAAGAACTGTACCAAGTGTAAAACGTTGTTCACCTCTATGTATGTGTGGTAAGTTCCTAACAAATGGTGTTAGATAGCATTCTTACATAGTTTCCTTAAAACGTAGGGAGGACGGCCCAATATTGGTGATTTAACAACAGAAAAGCAGGTTATTGTTTAAAAGTAAATTAACTGATTGATATGGGCATAATTTACCACTGTTTTCAGTTCTTAACACTTTTGCTTCCAATTTGCTGCCTCATTCAAGAGGCTCCCTTAAATCTGTCTGTTACACTAAGGTTGCCTCCTGAGGCTTAAGTTTTATGTGGGTGAGAGCAACTTGTCTGTGAGTACAGATGTTTGTATATTCATATACAGGAATAATTTACCCTCGGGCTTTTGGATATGTAAAAGCTGCAGTTGCACAAACTGTCCTTTCTGCTAAGCAAGTGTGTGCCAGCCTGGAACGATGGATAAATGCTCTGCTTCTCCCCTGAGGTTTGTGATTTCAGTGTTTTCCTTTCCCCCAGCAATTACCCTCTTGTTTGAGCGGCTTTTTGCCAGTGTGTACAATAAACAAGCCCCTCATTTCCAGCAGCACAGCAATGATTTTGAGGACAGGTTTATTTTAAGGCTGTGCTGGCCCCAGGGACGTTTTCTCCTTCCCCCCCCCCCCCCCTTCACCAGTGAGCGAATTGAAGGTATTCTTCCATCTTTTCTCAGGTGCTAAAAATAAAGGTCAGTTCAATTGTCACTGCACTGAAGGTTATGAAGTGAGGCTTTCATTAGCCTGACCAGCCATAGACAAGGGCCTTTTTTAATTCTTTTTAGTCCACGGGCTATTGCATCCCATTGAACTTGCATGTACCAAGATACTCGTCTTGGTTTGACGCACATTTAGGTGTGGTTTAAGCGATGCCAATTGCCAAAACTCACTTTCTCACTTTGTTTTTTTTTAAGAGACTTTTAAGACTTTGCTGTTCTTCCCAAGATGCACAGTGCAGAGGTGATTTTCTGGGTGATTCTGAAGGAAATAAAAGTAATCTTGGGCATCAACACTATGTAGATATTGTGGACTTGTGCTTCTTTCTGTTAATGGTAGCCTTTTGGTACTTCTCTTTTTCTGTCTGCCTTGCTCTGTTATCAGCTACTCATGACCTAGCAAAGTATAAAGGAAGTGAATAGCTACCTTAATGAGCTTGCTTCTCATTTGCTGCACAAGGAACACGAATGGCACTATTTTACTAACTATAGAATACTGGGCTAAATTGGTATCTCTCACATACATCCCCTGGGTATGTGTTTCAGTGCTTTGGAAACATCCTTATACCTGGCAACACCAACCCTGCTGCCCTGGGGAGCCCGTGCCATGGGGCTGGGCTGTCTCTGGGGGTCAGACAGAAACCAGAGACTCTTGAAACATAATTGAATCACAAATACATGTCATGGTCAAACCTTTCATCCTTCCTGGTGCAGCCACTCCAGTGCTGATGCTGGCTGTTCTCTGTTTAGTTGGATTCCTTTGCTCTGCATGTACATTGCCTTACAAATGCTATGCTAATCCAGAAATGTATTTTCTTTGTATGCCTGTTTAATCAGTGCTATTACATGATTTGTTGTCTTTATGCCTCTGAAAGTTGCCTTTTTTGGTCTGCCATCTACACCGGACTTTTTCATCATCTTTCCCCAGCTTGGTCTTTCTGCAGACTATTGGCTTTCCTCAAGCCCATAGTAGGTTGCTTGAAAGTAAAATCCAAATATAGTCCCACTCATTTTAATAAGGCCTAGTCATGCTAAAGCAAGCTTGTGCTGCTGTTTGGGATAACGTTTACTATATATATCAGACAGTGTAGCACTTCAGTGGTCACACAGAAGGATGCTTGTATCACTGACAGCACCAAGATCAAGATATGGTCCCTAAGAGAGCATCAGTAGAGCTGTTTCTGTCTAGTACCCTTGAATCACAAGCGAGAGTGCTGCTATCACTGGAAATGAGCCTAAGACCATCCCCTGAGGATGAAGCCCAAGAAGCTAAGCTGCTTCGTGTTGGATACTTGGCTCTATTAAAGGGCATGGTGCAAGTGAGAGTAAAACCAGAAGGCAGAATACAACTGACTGACTCTTAGTTCCTTTCATAGTCCGGGGGCACTGCATACATCTTGGTGTTCAGTTGACAACCACTTTAAGAGTTGTATTTACTCCTAGTGCTGTGATGTTTGGAGGCCTAGCTTTTGCCTGTCTCGTGTCCCCAGGCTAGGCTCTCTAAAACACAAAGAAGTGTACTTCTGATACAAACTCTGGCTGCACTTTGATGAGAGCTGTAGCTCCAGCCAGGGTCACATCAATATACCCAATGTGCGTGTACATTTAACTGTCTCCTCCATCACCCCTGTGCCTGCTGCTGTTTTTCTCCTCCCAGTGACTGGGCTCAGCAGTGCTCCCTGGAGCGGGGATGAGGACTGAGGAGCACCTCGAGGGCTGTTCCAGGTGAAGGGGCCTCTTGTGGGTTTCTCAGGAGCATCATATGCGTCACTCGCCCTATTTCATCTCCAGTCCACCAGAGCATAAGTGAGCCCATTCGAGGATGGCTGCTATAAAAAGGCAGGGGAAGGCTATATCGGGTGTGCAGGGCTGTGGTGCTCACAAGAGGGATGGAGCTCTCCCATCGCAGGACGAGCTCCATCCCTTTTTGCGCTCTTCTTTGCTGCTATGTTAGCATAGTAGCAGCCAATATATTTGGTGAGTACTCTTGTTCTGTTCCTTTGTGTGGCTGTGCTCCCGTGATCTTTGTGCTGTTCTGTGTATTATTCTGATGAAGTAATAATGATCTTGAATCTTGTACTCCGCAGCCTTAGCTAGTTATTGTGTGCTGTGCAGACTGAGCTTGTGTTAAATACCAAGCTATAAGGGCTTTAAATGGTCAGGATTATCTGATGATTTTGGGTGGAAAGAAAAAGGTTTTCTGGAAGAACAGGCTGGGCTAGAGAAGGAGCTTGGGTAAGAAAAAGTGATGCTGCAGGGATGCGAAGGTCCTAAGATTATATTTTATAAGCCATCATCTAATTTAGGCTTTAACCTACTGGATTATCTGATAGCTGTCCTCACTTCTTTGGTCTGAGTCTGACAGTCCTGCACAACAAGCAATTTGAATCACTGAGTTAATCTCTTAACTCAGATGTAGCACTTTACACAGGGATCTCCGCACACCCCAGAGCAGCTGGCTCAGAGCTTGAGATGGAAATGCTCCTATGTGTGGATGTCTATAGGTGAGCTGACCTAAAATCCCATGAAAATTCTTGCTTGGTCTTAAGGCACACAGTGAAAACTCACAGGAACAGAAGTGATTGAGAGGTCTTTAGGTGCACAGGAGACATCACTGCTTAAAGAAGTCCCTGAGCTGCAAATTGATGGAGGCTGAAAGTATTCAGAATGCTTACATACTTGCACTACTGTGTGTGGTCACACTCAGACCAAATACTGGATAAGGTATGCTTTGGTTTAAATTGCTGCAGCTATGGGTTGGTTTGTTTACTGTGTTGTTATAGACCTGGTCAGTGGAATTAAGAGCATGATGTTCATTGGGTTTTGAAGATGGGGAAATGTCAGATCAACTATAAAAAAGAACCTACTGAATTTCACCATTCTCCTGAAGCAGCATCCAAAGGTGATTTTGAATGCATTAGGAACTGGAGTTGACGGGTTGCTTGCTAGGTGGCTGTAGTGGTTGATCACTTGCCCTAGTAAAAATTGAGAAGTGCTCCTAATATGAATTATTCTGGTGCTAACTGCTAGACATTGATCCTGTTTGGTCTTTCATGACCTAAGAAAAAATACCTGTCCTTTGGTGTAGTGACTGACTTAGCTTCAATGAAGGATAAATACTCAGAAATATTAATGGTGATGTGTGTGTTTATGGCAAAGAGCTGTTTTGTGGTGATAGCACACCAGGCTCTAAGTAAATTACCCCAGGTTCCAGGAAATGATAGCCATACCAGAACAGAGCTGAGACCAATAAACAGAGCAAAGGGTTCATGAGCATCTCCATCATGTCCTTACCCTGCCCTGTGCACACCAGTGAGTTTTTCAGTATCTCCTGTGCTGCCCCATGCAGAAATGCACACAACAATCAATGGGGAGACAACTGGGAGGACCCAGGAGCCTGGGGCTGTTACCATGCAGCATTGGCAATACCAGGGTTTTGTTAAGAGCAGGCTTGTGGTGAAACCACCCTTACGTTTTTACCTTCTTGCTGCTTTCAGAGTATCAGACAGAATCCCAACCGTTACGTCCATGTGAACTGCAGAGAGAAAAGGCTTTTTCAGAAGGTAGAACCTATGTTCCTCAGTGCTCAGAAGATGGCCAGTTCAGGTAACCCATCCCTGCTCTTATTCTGCTGCTATACAATGTGACCCTTTACTGCTAATGAAAGCTTTGCTTTAGCCTCTGTTTTGAGGAGCCTCCACATTGGTGGTGAGGGCTGCAAGAGTCTTGAAGGGTTGAACCATATTGCAGACCCAGCTTCTCCTGAATGAATTCCATGTTGCTGGAAGTAATCTCTGGGTTTAAAGGTCAATCTAACATTAACAGGCTAATCTTGGCAGCGTTATTTGCATGTTAAATACGTGGTGCAGGTTGTTGTGTACCTGTGTTCTCCTACACATGCTCATGGGCGCTTGGCCTGTGATCAGTGTGCTGGCTGGTGCAGCTGAGCCAAGTTGACTTGAGATGTTTTCCACTGTGCTGTAAGTGGCACAGTTTGGTTTCCTTCCAAAGGCAGTAAAGGAACTAAAAAGCCCAGGGAGAGCAGTGATTTAGAGAGCAGCATGTTGCTTGAAGATGCAAGAAGTTAATGAGATAAACCTAAGGCTGTGTTGGGGAACAGACTGTAATGTTCTCTACTACTATCTTACTATTGTTGCCTATGGTGGGGAGCCTCGACCCTTCTAGATTTGACTTAGAACATATCTCAAAATGCATGGTATATCTTAAATACTGAGAACCTGGATTCTATCCAACTTGCTTGCTTCTGACTTCAAGTCACTTACCTGCAATTCCTTCACAGAATTACTAGAATTAAGAGCTCCCATTAGGTAAAGTCACCAGGAACAGAGCCCTTTCTGATTCCAATAGTAGCAGTGTTCAAGTACTTGAACTTGTTTGCCTTGCTTTATGTTTTTGTTAATGTCCCATACTGACTCAGGACTCTGTCACTAGTGAAGAAAATATGTTGCTTGTGATCTCCTTCAGGACTGTACAGTGCAGTAGGAATGGTCTTTCCTGTTGGTGTGTGGATGAGAATGGCATCGAGGTACCTGGTAGCAAACAGAGCGGATATCCCGTATCGTGTAAGTCACAGGCTTCTGTTTTTGTTCAGATTGTGTAAAAAGCCATTTAAATCTACATTTGAACTGCTGAAATCAAGGGCAGGCTTTGATGGACTCTGTTGTAACCAGAACTTGCAGCTCTGAGAAGGTTCATATGATGTCTTAATAAATGATTCAGTGCCCAGCAAATACCTTCCTTTGACAGTGCCTCTCTCTGGCACTACAGGCTTATCCTTCTGCCAGCTGCAGAAGCAGAGGATCTTGGTGAGTCGATACATCAACAGCAGTAGCATCTCCTATGTCCCTCAGTGCCTGGATTCAGGGGCTTTTGATGTGGTGCAGTGCGACACGGAGCTGGGTCAGTGCTGGTGTGTGGATCCAGAAGGAATGGAGATTTATGGCACGAGGCAGAAAAGAAAGCCAAGGCGGTGTAAGTAATATTCAACAAGGTGGTGGCTGTTGTAGGTTTGAAAGCTTTTCTGTGACTGAAAGGTAGCAGGTAGATCAGGAGCTTGGACACTGCAGTCTACGCTTATCCTATAGAAGTATAAGTGCTTAAATGAGGCATTTAAGTCCCTATTTCATGGAATCATAAAATATTTCCTGCCCATGGCACAGGGGTTGGAACTTGATGATCTTAAGGTCCTTTCCAACCCGAACCACTCTACTATTCTATGATAATATCCCAAGTTGGAAGTGACTCAGGATCACTGAGTCCAACTCCCTTCTCCTCATAAAGACAATACAAGACACCTAGGTGTCCACATTCAATGTAATGAATCTAATCCCAAGACATGGTGTGGTTGTTCAGCTGTTTGTGGGAAGTTAAGAAGGCGCCAATAAACATACCTTTGTTTCCCATCAGGTCCGGGGAACTGTGAGATCCGAGACCGCCGCATTCTGCATGGGTTTGGGGAGAAGAGCCCACCTCAGTGCTCAGCAGATGGAGAGTTTCTGCCTGTCCAGTGCAAGTTTGTCAACACAACAGACATGATGTTTTTTGACCTCCTTCATAGCTATAACAAGTAAGAGCCCAGGCTTCTGAACATGGAAGCAATCCTGCAAACCTCTTCAAGTCACTGTATTACTGCATCTTTATTCCCCCAAGAAGCCCTTCTTCTGTGACTGCACATGATGCTATTTTCTATTAGTCACTGGAACAAGTATTTCTTCTGACTTAAATTTTCTCATTTAGAAAAATCTAAGATGAAATCTGAGATTTCATCCCTACAGTTCAACTAGTGTGTCCTCAACACAGCAGTGGATACCACACTGTGATCTATATTTGGAAAAATAGCCAGGGCTACTTTTCAGACAGGCACACAGCAGCAAATGAGACATGTGAACAAGGAACAGAGGAATTCAGGTGTAAATATGAAGTAGGAATGATAATTCCATATTGGAGATGAAAGATGGACAGACAGACAAGTGGCAACATGCAAAGAGCACATTCTACATGATGATGGGAAATGCTCATCCATTTAGGTAGTGCCTGGGTTGTTCACACAGGTGAATCAGCATGTGATGAACAGGCTTGCTGGCATATGACTGGCTTTAGGTGATTGTAGAGGGCTGGAAAACACTGGATGAAGTCCTTGTCCATGGGAGCAAGAAACCATTTTCCTGTGGAGGAGATGGGAAATAATGCTCGGGTGGAGAAGTAAGGGATGGGCAAAGGGAACCACAGGGAGAGGACTGTTTTGGTGGTGTTAATGTGGCCTCTCAGTCAACGCTTTATTCCAGTGGAGGGCAGTGGAGTAAATGAAATGTCTCATTCTGTCTTGGCTCAGCCGCAGCAAAGGCGTTTTATTGTAAATGTCAGTTTTGCTGGTTTGAGGATTTTCTTCCTTAATTTAAGCAAATCTGAAAGGCAGGCCCCAAGCGCACAGTGCGCATTTGTCAGAGCTTCAGGAGAGGTTATTTTGGCAGGAGCAAAATAATCCGTCTGTTGGGTTGGTTGGCCTGTGGAGTGTGGAAATTCTAAGAGAGCAATTGCTGAGGAGAAAGCAGTGCTTTAAATGATCAGGGTTTTTAGTTCCATTGGGAGGTTTGTCTGCAAAGACCCGGGAGGTTGGGATTTTCTTCTGTCCACATCATGTAATTAATCTTTCCACTCCCAGCTGCCTACCTTCCTAATTATGGCATTGACTTAACCCGCTACCATCATATCTGAGTATCTCAGGTCATTAAAGTATTTATTTTTACATTATTCCTGTCTGAAATGTCATTATCCCATCCCAGAAACAGGAGGCCAGGATACAGAATTGAAGAGATGAGTTCCACAGCAAAGGACTATAGCAGAGCAGGGATTTAAACTCGTATTTTATGTTCGTGTAGAGCAGGTGGAGCAACTTTCTTTGGTTCTGCAGACTGATGCTTGAAATCTAGACATATCGCAGTAACTCCCTTCCCAGATTGGTTCCTTACACATTCATAAATATTCCAGAATAAATTAGTATGTTAAAAAAAAAGGGGGAGGGGGAGAATTAGAGCCAGGGCTTTCCCAAAGGAAGACTTTTGGAAAGAAAGATAGGCCAATTTTCCTGGCAACTTGGGTGCTGTTACTTATTTCATACAAACTGTGCCAGGGTCCTGCTTGGATGGGCAGCCATATAGGAAGCCCTGTAGCAGATTGATGGGAATGATCAACAAATCAAAAATTAAGGAGGATCTTTTTACTGGCTTGCTCTAATCTTCATCAGGCTGAAGACCTTGTGTCAGTGTCTTTATCCAGCTCACTGGAGGTTCTGCCCTACTATGTATGATTTGGCTTTCTCCCTTATTTTCTGAATAGTCAATGGGAAAGGCAGCAATAACTTGAGCTGCGTATATGAAACATAGAAAGGGTTACTTGCAAACCTGCTTCTGAAAATCAGTGATGAGTTGTCTTTGCTGGAGGCCAAGTGCATGGACTCACAGTTTGAAGAAAAGCTCCACAGCCTTACCTTTATTTAACGTTCCCGTATTTTTAAGTGCAAGAATTCTTGTTGAAACACATGAACACTATACTATAAATTTATTTATAGTTATTAAATAACACACTATAAATTTATCTATAACTTAGATGTAGCTATCTTTGCTTTAGCTACTGTTTTAGACTGGGTCTGATAGATGAGGCACTTTGTGTTACCTCTACTCATCTCAAGGGCTGTGATTAAAAAAAGGCTGAGAAAAGAAAACTTCTCATGTGGTAGGAAGCGAGTTTTCCAGCTAAGGTGAGAAAAGGTCTGTCCTCTTCTTTGTGTGGGCTTAATTTGTATCCGTTTGTACTTTATCGAGCTGTGCTCTCAACTTGGAACAAAAATAACCAGAATGACAGGATATGACTACACATCTGCCCTGTATAAATAGTGTAATTATGCATTTGGCTTCTTAACGTTGAGGATGAAAAAAAGCAGCATGAAGAAGTTTTTCATTGCATCCTGTTTCAATCTGCTAGATCATAGAGTTGCAGACTGGTTTGGGTTGGAAGGGACCTTAAAGATCATGTAGTTTCAAACCCCCTGCCATGGGCAGGGACACCTACCAGTAGGCCAGGTTGATGCTGAGGTGATGAGCTCCAAGGACATGATTGGTGCAGAGGTCTGCCTTTGATTATAAGGATCATTGCTCTCCTAGGAGAAAAGATCTTATTCCTGACTGGGCAGTAGCCACTGCATGATAATTCAAGGGAGCAGAAGGCTCTTGAAATATCCCAAGCTATTTATGTCCATGTGTACATAGAAGGCCATAGAAAGATGGTATTTAGGTATCTATATCTCAAATTGCATTGTTTTAGTGCTGGCAGCAGTCTCTTTGTGCCCTGAAGTGGGACATTTTGATTGTTGTTCACATGCCATTGTTAGCAGTGGAGCAGGATTTGGTGATCCAAAGTGGAGGCAGTCAGTAGGCTTTTAATCTGAAGATGTGAGAGAGTACCAGAGCAAAGCAGCACTATGCAGGGATGTGCAAACTATGAGACAGGAATAACACTGGGACAACTGGAGGTTGCCAACCCCTTCCTCTCCCAGGGGCTGCTTCCTGCATTCCCATCTTGTGCTTTGGTGTGCTGAGGAAGCAGTAACATCTTCAGCTCTGCTGGCAAGAGTTGCAGAACAAGGCAAGTTAGCCTTTCTCCTGGTTGATCATGGCCTAATTCACCATTACTGTCACTGCCAAGTGTCCTTCCTTCGTGAAAACTTAAGTAATTCTCCAAATGCCTTGAGCAGAAAATTCCACTTCCCACTTGCTAGATTTTCCCAAATAAGCCACATGCAGCTGGGACACCAGACCCTATTGTATTTCAGGGTATGTGTCTGTAAAATGATAGGATTGGTTTGGAACTTGGCACTTTGAATCTAGAAAAACTTATCTTCTGTTTGCTTGGAGAAACCCTGCAGTGTCTGTCAGTTAAGATCACATTTATTATGTTTTCTCCAACTCTGACCTATTAAGTTTCCTTCTTAAGTCTGGCTGTTGTTCCTAGAATATTATTGGAAACTAGCACCTCATTGATCTCCAGAAGTAAGAGTCAAATCTTACTTGTAATATGTTTAAAAACCCCTTTCTCCTGGATCTATTGAGCCGTGCTCTGACAATCAGAAAGATTAATGAGGTTTTTATCAGTTTTTGTGCTTAATTCGGTGCAGAAAGCATACATACCACGCAGGGAAGAGGAAGCAACCTGTTTGTTTAGGCATTCTGCCATCCTGTGCAGATTTGTGGAAGGAGCTAATGAACGGGTGTTGTAATAATATTAATCATAGAATTAACTAGGTTGGAAAAGACCTCTAATATCATCAAGTCCAACCTTTACCCAGGACTGCCAAGTCTACCACTAACCCATATCATGTAAGCCAACCTCTATTTTAGTCTGACAGGGTTTCAAACATGAGAATGCAATTAAAAATGAGTGTTAGGTGCTGGGTACCTGCTGAGGAAGGGTCAGAAATCTTCATGGAGGGAGGTTGTCCTACTTTTGTTTAAAAGAATGTTATTTAGGAGGATTGTTACCCTGCTGAAACACCGATCTGGATCATGTCTGGTTGCCACAAGGAGCCCAAAGGCTTTTGTAATGCTTTCTGCTCTGCTGACGTTCTCGCTGTACGAATCTGGGAGGCAAACACAAATGATGCTTTGCTGCTGTCGATGGCCCTCCCCAGGCTCTTGACAGGAGGCTGCTTTCCCTTCCAGGTTCCCGGGGGCTTTTCAAACATTCAGCTCCTTGCGGGAGACGTTCCCGGAGGTCTCTGGGTACTGTTACTGTGCGGACAGCCTGGGGAGGGAGTTGGCAGGCACTGGTAAGTACCCTCCAGCATCTCATCCTTTAACTTGAGTGGCTTTGGATTCCCAAGGGAAAGGGCAAATAACAAGTGTCAGTCTTCAGATTCCTTTGGGACTTCAGTTTCATTCTTACAAGGAGTAAGACCACTGTGACCAGTGTAGTGCCCATAGGAAAGGCTGGAGCTCACTAATGAAACTCAATCCTTAGGAATCAACAGCAAGTAGAGGTGTGCCTGAGAGTTAATCCTGTCCTTTTTGGGATGGTGGATTAGGATTTCTGAATGTCCACACTATAAAACTGTGTCCTATTCAGTAAGTCCAGTTAGCAAAGGCAGGGGAATATAAAGGGCCTGGAGACCGAACTGTTTTCTTCTTGCTCGGGTAGAACCATAAGATGGTTTGGTTTGGAAGGGGCCTTTAAAGATCATCTAGTCCAACCCCCGTGCCATGGGTGGGGACATCAGATGGTCCTTCCTTTTCTCTTGTAGCATCAGGATAACTTTTAGGCATGTTAATAATTGATGGGGCACTTTAGAAGAATTAATGGTTTACCCAAGAAGGAGGAATGAGGACTTCCAGCTCCTTTGCCATAGATAAGGTTGTTTTAAAAGTTAAAAAAGGGAAAATGCAAAGCATCATAGCTTAAAATTTAGATGGTAGGTGAGAACTTCAACATTTAATTCCTACAAGGGTGAGACTTTCTCAAAAGATTTATTCAATTACAACAGCTATTGCACATCTGGGATTTTTGGTATGCAACCAAAAACGATTGGGAATTTCTTGTTTTGCTAGCATCAGTTTCCAAAATTCCATCAATTACTGTACTGCAGACTGAACCTAACAAAACCACAGCACAGTGCCAGTTGTGGGATGTTCTTCATGCTTGCTTTGGTAGATGTCAAGGTATAAAGCTAGTGACTGGGCATTAAGCAGTGGGTTGCGCGGTTCATATTTGGCCTTTTTAGAGGTCTGGTTTTCTCTTTCCTGATAGACTTCCAGGTCTGCTGCTCTGATGTAAAGCAGGTGACTTCAGTCTGTCTTAGAACCAGGCTCTGTGCTAAAGCCTCTCTTTCCCAGGCCTGGAACTGCTGCTCGATGAGGTTTATGACACGGTTTTCTCTGCACTGGAGCCTGCCCGCATGTTCACAGAGAGCAGCTTGTACCGGATCCTGCAGCGGCGGTTTCTGGGGGTCCAGCTCGCTACCTCGGGCAAGTTCAGATGTAAGTGACACCCAAGTGATGCTCTGTAAGGAAAGTGGCAGTTTTGGCACTTGTATGTGACAGCTGCCATTGGGAGAGCTGCTTTAGGAGTCTCCTGCACTAAAAGCATCTAATATCACTGGTTCAGTGCAAGAATCGAGATCCCTGAGTTACATCTGGCTTTAACCTGTGTATTGTATTTTCTTACCAGCAGGTTGTACCTGATCAGCACTTTCCCATACACTTGCAGTTCCCGTTAGTTGAAATCCCATGAAATAACCGTACCACTTGCCCTGAGATAGTGGAGACTGATCTGATTATTTATTCAATTAAAACATGAGAAAATGCTCCCGAGTTTATGTTGGAACACCCAGAGGTAGGAAGGATCTTCCATTGAGCAAAACACACTTGGTCCCCAGGAGGCTACACAAGAGTTTGCAGTGCCTTAGCCGGCATTAAGCTGGACTTCTGGATCTGGGTCTATTCCCTCCTGGTCAGGACAGGCAAATGCGAGAGAGTTTCTCTGCCTATGGTATTTCTTTCTCCTACAGCAGAGACCAAGAGAATTGCCTTGCCTGGGGAGAGTTTGAACCCCCAGGTTCAAAGGATGAAGGATCACTGCCCCTGGTGTGATCCTTCATCCTCCCATCCAACTTCCTCTGACATTGCTGCCTGGCCCTCTCTAGGCGGTTGCATTACCAGAGATATTAAGTAGACACTGATGCAGTCTTCCAGCCACACAGGCATAAGGGTTTTCTGGTTCTCAGACAAGCTGATCGTTCTGGAGAATCCGGAAAGCATCTTCCCCCTTCCCTGCACGGTGCTGTTGGGTAAGCTCTGTCTAGCTAGGGATGCCCGCAAAGACGAAGCTCTAACAGCCACAAGATGGAGATGTGACCACGTTTGTCAGCCGCATACGGGGATGCTATGGTGACTTACCACTGCCACCTGAAGCCACAGGCATTAGGGAAGGCTTCCTTGATGAACAGGTTGCTCTGATGTGGTGCTCTTGCTGCCTCACGCTGGTAGCTGAGCATAGCTGGAAATCTCTTGAAGGTGAGAAACGTTCAGGCTTTAGGACTGCAGGTTCACGTAAACAAGAAAGATTTCTGTTGTAGGACTGGAGAAAGTTTGCTTTGTGGAGTTTTGGCTTCTCTGCCATTAAGTCCAGTTTGACAGGAATGGGGTCTTCAGATCTCTGCGGAGGGCAATAAAGAAATTGGGTAGTCCTAGACCAAATCTCCCCAGTCATGTGCAGATCCTTCTGCAGGAGCAGTGCCTCATTCTCTTCAGAAACATCGACGTTTGCCTTCATCTCAGTCTCTCAAGCTGCACATCTATCTCTGTTGACCAGCACTGTGTTTGCATTAAGGGCCAGAGCTCACCCAGCCTCCTGCATGGCTCCCTGAGAGAGAAGATGCTACCATGCCTGCCACTATGACTGAAAAATGTGTTGAGGCTTTATTTTGTGTTTAGTTTTCAGCATAGAACACCTACAGTAGAAAACACTGGGGCCAGCTCTCCAGGGGAGAAGAGGATGGAGAATTTGCATTTGGGGCTGATACTTGGCACTGAAAATAGTCAGGAAATCAAAGTGGTTTTCCTATCTTTTCTCTCCCTATTTTTCTCTTTTCCTATCTTTTCTCTCCCTATTTTTCTCTTTTCCTATTTTTCTCTCTCTGAAACTTTAACACTGAGAAATATTGCCTCCTTATCACATCCTGTTTTTCTTCCAGGCCCCTCAAAGTGTGAAGTAGAGCGGTATGCAGCCCTGCGCTACCAGCACGTCTATGTGCCATCGTGTGATGCTGATGGGGGCTACACGCCAGTGCAGTGCCAGCAGGGAGGACAGTGCTGGTGTGCTGACACCAAAGGACAAGAGATCCAGGGCACAAAGAGACGGGGACAGCCTCCCGCCTGTGGTATGTATGCGGTTTGGAGAAGGAAAAATAAGATCATCTCCTGGTGTCTGTAGAAAGAAACCCAAAGGACCATTACCCTTCTCAGCACTGGCAGATTCTGGTGTCCAAACCTGCCATTCAAACCTGGGGTTAAGAGCCACATTCTAATAAATCTTTAAATGTCACATTCCTTTCATGTCCTTTCTTCAGTTTTACATACAGCAAGGTTTTTCTTTGCAGCTGTGACATCTGTCTCTTGGGTCGAGGACCTGGGGCAGTAAGCCAGAATATGTAGGATGGTACAGGGAAAACGGTGATGGTGGTTTTAGGTTTTGCCTCCTTCCTTTGGTGGAATGCTGTGGAATTTCTAAGGCATCTCTCATCCTGAGCATTTCTTTCTCATCTCTGTCACTGCATATTTAGCCATGAAAGTTGTTAAATCCAGGTAAAAAAACCCAAACAATTCAGAAGAGGTGTATGGGTTTGGGCTTCCAGAGGTTTCAAGAAGAATACGCCATCAAATCAATGCCCCAAATGGAAATGACAGCAGAAATGTCCAAGGGCCAGAGGGGAGGAGGAAAGCTAAAAACCTTCACTCCAGAGTGTTTACCTAAATCCTCAGGATTGCGCTGGAGGGCTGGGGCAGAGGGTCTTAACACAGGGGCTGCCTTTGGGGAAGGTAACGCTCTGTCTACAACACACAGTCTTACCACGCAGTTAAAGAAGGAGCCCAATGTGGGTGTCAGGCTCCAAGTCACTCGGAGTGCTCTGGGCACAGAGGGGCTTACTGTGAAATGAAAGCATTAACATGCCTCCGAGGCTGATCACCAAGGATATTGCAAGAGAGCCCTCCAAGGGGCCTCACCATATGTTGGGATGGGTTGTTTGCTCTTTGAATGTGCTTTGCTGAGCCCTCCTGATGATTTTCTGAGGGGGGAGAGAAAGGGGAGAGCAATGACTTGAGGCTGCTTGCAGCTTTTATTGGTGGACTTAGGAAATGTAAGCAGGGAAACATCTCTGCAGAGGTTTTGCAGGCTGACTCCTGAGAAGGTTATCTCATGAGGCTATAGCCGCAGTCTGTGTTCAGGCAGCTCCATGCCATGTGCGTGTCTTCAGTTCTGCTGCTTTATTTCTCTTTAATATCTCTGGCTCTCGCAGTCATCAGTGTGAAGACTGGAGGAGGAGGAGGAGATGGAGGTGTGGGTAGCACGTTGGGTACCCCCATGACCCGAGGCACCAGGTAATCCTGAGAGGGATGTGCCTCTTTTCAGACCTTTTGCAGTAAATTCACCCCAGCAAAGCTTTTCTGTTTACTCCTTCTCACTCTGCTTTGATTTGGTTCAGCAGTGGGTAGGAGGCGAGAACATTTAAAGAGCATGATCCTACATTTGTTTCATATTAGCCTACTTGTGAGACTGTGGCTTACCCTAACTTATTGATCCCTAGAGGAATGCTCTTCATCCCTCTTACTAAGATCCAGCACTGAAAACAGAAGGGGCCTATCCTGCAGAAAATGCCTTTACAAAGGAACCACTGTGAGGGACCCTGAGCCCCAGCCAGGAACTGCAGAGCAGGACAAGGGTGCGAAAGGAGGAGTGAGGAAGGTGCTGATCACAGAGCCGCAGATTACTTCCTCATCTATTTTAGCAGCTTTTAAGATTTCCAGCTTTTATCCTTACTTATTAACAGGATTTATGACTGCCTTATCATATTGCCTGATGTGGAGTAAATGGGGATGAGGTGGGTGAGCTCAAGGGAGGCAAAGGACGGCAGTGATGCTTAGGGAGAAAGAGTGAGCAACATGGGAAGTGCATATAGCTTCCTTATATCCCCTGCAGGCAGGCAAGGCCTCAAACTGGAGGCTGAATCCAGGTCGTTGTGTTCACTACTGCCCCATGAAATCATCTTCCAGGGATTTGCCTAAATGCCCTGTAACCTTTTATCCCTTCAAACATCCTTTGGCAATACATTTCATGGTCATAATTATGTGCTCTACTTCTGACCTAATCTTATTTCTATACTGTGAGAAACACTGAATAACAGGTGTCTATTCTGAATGATGTGAAGAATCCTGGTTTTTAAAGACCTTTACCATTATTTATTTTGTCCAAGCTGAGTAGTCTCTCCTAGTGGAACAGCTTTTCTGTCCTCAAAGTATTTTTGCACCTTTTCTCTATAATTCTCCTACTTTACAAGGCAAGGTAACCGTGTGGCACAGGATTCAAGCTGCTGCCTGTGTTCTGGAGATCCAGCCAGTGCCCCCAGCCATCCTCTCTATTTGTTTCTCAATGCCTTTATGTCTATCAAGTCTTTCCTTTTTGATGTCCTTTGAGCCTTCAGCGGACGTTTTCAGATGTTCTCCTTCAGTCATGTGTTCAGTCCTAACTTGGAGCCATTGCTGTCCATGTGCGAACATACAGATGGGCTGGATGCAGATATGCTTTTGACATAGCTTGGCCTAGAATATGGGTGGTATTGTTGGTACCCTCAGAACCTTGGCATTTGACTATTTTTTGTTGAAACTCTGTATTTTTACTGTTAGCACTCATTTCTAAATGCCATCTGGTTCTTAGCACTCTATTACTGCTAAATTCACCAATTTGTTTTCAAACCTCTTGTAATGAGCACTTGTTGTAATGAAACTTAAGACCTAGGTAGGAAGCCTCCATAAATTCCTCCTGAGTGGGCATTGATTAAAATACCTTCCTGTTTTTCTGCAGTAAATTTCTCTTTCTTAGGTTCACATATTGCACCTGGATCATTGGAGGTTTTCATTAGAAGCCGGCATCCTACCAGGGAGTTGAAGTATTTGGAAAAGCCTTTACTTGTTCTTTCAGCCACAGGAACAGGAATGAGGATTTACACTGGGCAACAATAGAAACAGGCAAAGGCCGCAGAGCAGAATACTCAGACACAGTGAAGGAATATTTCCTTTCATTTTCTGTCTTGACTGAAGAATTTTAGTTATAGACCATATTTAACAACAGTTCAGATTTCCTCATGTGCAAGGTGCATAGTTGAGGAACTAGAGACAAGTTAAATGATACTTTTATGTGGTTTCTGCCAAGAATGCTTGAAAGTTGGCCACAGTTACAGGATTTGGAGGTTCCATTGTCTGAAGGGGGCCTACAAAGATGCTGGAGAAGGACTCTTCATCAGGGACTGTAGTGATAGGACAAGGGTGATGGGTTCGAACTTAAACATCAGAAGTTCAGGTTAGATATAAGGAAGAAGTTCTTTACAGTGAGGGTGGTGAGGCACTAGAATAGGTTGCCCAAAGAAGTGGTGAATGCTCCATCCCTGGCAGTGTTCAACATGGGGTTCGACAGAGCCTTGGTCGACATGGTCAAGAGATAGGCATCCCTGCCTATGGCAGGGGGTTTTAATTAGATGATCTTAAGGTCCTTTCCAACCCAAACCATTTATGATTCTATGATTATGTGCATTTATTTAATTTTCTTTTAAATCTCTGTCTAGGTGAAGAGCAAGTATGCATCTCTGAGAGGCGACAGGCCCTCTCGAGGATCTTCTATGGCCCTGCTGGGTACTTCAGTCAGCCCAATTTGTTTTCTACACCAGATATGCAGACAGAAAAACTAGCTGGTTTCTCAAGACCCTGCCCTCCCTCCTTCAAGGAGCTGTTTCTGGACTCTGGATTGTCATCCCCCGTTGCAAAAAGCCCATATGCCAGCCAGATTCCTGGGCTAGAAACCACCCTTAGTGAAGCCATAGCGGGGATGTTCCCATCAAGGGAACTGGCTCAAGTGGCACTGCAGTTTACCACCAACCCAAAGCGTTTCCAAGAGAACCTCTTTGGAGGAAGGTTCTTGAGGAATTTGATTCAGTTTAACTTCACAGGGGCACTTGGCACTAGTGGGAAGTACAGCATTGGCCAGTTTTTCCCAGAGGAAGAGGTGGCAGAGACGGATAATAGCCAAGGCCTGGAATCAGCTGAAGCATTTTCATTGGAAGTATCAAAGGGGAGCTCCATTTTGAGTAAACCTCTTGTGGACAGCTTTGGCCGCACAGTAATTCTGCAGGACAATCAGAATATGCTTAAATTCCTTTCCTCTGTTTTGGAGCTACCAGAGTTCTTCACTTTTCTTAAACAAGCAATTTCTGTCCCCAGAAGCATTGCTGAAGATTTAGGTGAAGTAGTGAAACTAGCACTTGGATCTGAAGACTGCAGTGTGGAGCAAAGGGATCTGTTTGTTCCAACATGCACCAAGGAGGGGAGGTATGAGGAAGTTCAGTGCTATGCAGGAGAGTGCTGGTGTTTGGACACTGCAGGTAAGGAAATTCCAGGCTCAAGGTCTCAAGGCAAACGTCCAAGGTGTCCCACTGATTGTGAGAAGCAAAGGAGAAACCTGCAAAACTTGAAGCAAAGCTTGCCTGCGGGATCAGATCTTTTTATTCCTTCTTGTACGGAGGATGGAGACTTTCTTCCACGCCAGTGTTATGGGACGAATTGCTTCTGTGTTGATTTGACTGGCAAGACTATTCCAGGAATAAGGGGAAAAGCTGGAAAGACAATGCAGTGTAAGTCCTAGGGACTGAGAATTAAAAGATGCTTCCTTATTGTACTGGAATTTCACAATTCTTTCTTCATATCTGATTATATCTGGATATATATTTACATATATATAGGGGGCCTATAAGGATGCTGGGATGGGACTCTTCACTAGGGACTGTAGTGATAGGACAAGGGGTAATGGGTTAAAACTTAAAGAGGGGAAGTTAGACTGGATATAAGGAGGAAGTTCTTTACAGTGAGGGTGGTGAGGCACTGGAATGGGTTGCCCAGGGAAGTTGTGAATCTTTCATCCCTGGTGGTGTTCAAGGCCAGGTTGGACAGAGCCTTGGGTGACATGGTTTAGTGTGAGGTGTCCCTGCCCATGGCAGGAGGTTGGAACTGAGTGATCTTAAGGTCCTTTCCAACCCTAACTATTCTACGATTCTATGATTCCATGTATGGATGATGTATGCAAACAATATTGTCCCCTAACAACAGGACAAGCAAGTCAGCCCTACGGTTGCAGGGAATAGTGGGAAATAGTGTATGTAAACCTTGATATCTGAATTCTTAAAGATGGTTCCCTCTTCTTTCAGTCCATAGGGTAGTCACACTCAAAGCAGAGGAGCCTGAGGTCTTGCCTTGTTAATGAGCATGTCATTGGCATATGTCTCCATCTAACTGCATAGTTAGTGTGTATGACATCTGTGATACCCATGAGAACCTGGAGCATCTGTGTAACTGAATGTGGCCCATGCTGGATGAAAAAGCCCTTTTACTTGTGGGACCAAGTCACCTGAGCATGGTTGCTGGCTCATCCTGAAAACTGAAGAGCTTCAGTGCCTTAAATCATGACCCTTTTTTAGTCATTTAGCTCAAGAATATATCCTCAACTTGGTATGATGTTGGAACCCAAACACAAGAGAAGCATTCAGTCAGTTTTTCTTAAAGGTCATGCAGTCAGGCCAGAGAAGTGAGTTGCAAATGACTTGTTAGACATCAAACTGGCATCACAACTTGCTTACAGACTGTGAACTGCCTTTTCTTGCTCTTCTATTACTGTGATACAAAGGAAGAAGGAAGCAGATAGGCTGGGTATCTTTGTCTTTCAAGTTTCTGTGAACTGAAAATGGCACTTAAACAGGGAGAACAGACCAAGAGAAGAGCCTGCTTCTCGTTTTGGAAGGAATACAAGAGCATCCAGCAGATGACAGTGGTACATAGTGAAGCAGCTCCTTTGAGTAACAGTTTGCAGAATTAGTGAGGAATTTATCACAATGATCTGAACTGGTAGGGGATTTGTATCTAGCAACCCATCTGTAGTGCAATCAAAAATAAACAGGTTCGTAATTCTCTGATGCTCAAAAGGAGATAAGCTCCTGGGTTTTGCTAGGTTTGTAGAGCTCCTTGGTGGCAAAATGCAATTTGGCTCCATAGATGGCAGAAAAGGCTTTGAGAACAAACTCATTTCAGCGTTTTGAGGGATGGTGTTTTTATATTCAGCTACAATATTCAGTAGGGAATAGGAAGAGAAGGCAACAGAATTGAAAATTCTGGTTGGGTCCAAGGGGAAATAAAATCAGTATTATCCTCCTATACGGACTGTTGCTCTTGCAGGGATTGTTGAATAAGAAGTAATTACTGGATTACCAAGTGTATCTTGCATGTGAACAAATTCAGGAAGGCTTTTAGTGGCATCAGGCAACTGTCCCCTCCAGTAAGAACTACAGGCACTTAATATGCTCAGATATTTTTATATGCATCTTTCAGTGCTCACATGCCTTGGGAAGTTTTACTGTGGTTCAGCATGGGTGCTTTGATAGCCTTACCCCTCTTAGTAACAGACTAGAAAGGTTGTTGTTAGCACTGGGATAAGTGACCAAGTTTTAGTATTTATAGTACTAGGGGGGCAAGGAGTACTGTATATCTCCAGTGCACTCTTAAGACATGCTGTGCATGTTTTTCCTTTCCCCAGGCCCAAGCGCTTGCCAAGTAACAGCTGGTGAGGAGTTTCTAAAGGCTGTGAGGCTCCTGTTGTCAGAACCAAGTGCTCTGTCTCAGCCCTACAGCGTTTACCTCCCTCAGTGCGATGCTGAGGGTGCCTGGAGGCAAGTGCAGTGCAGTGGTCCTCCTGAGCAAGCCTTTGAATGGTATGACAGGTGGATTGCAGAGAACAACGAAGGCAAAAGCTTGCCCATTGCTGATCTATTGAGCATCATAACTGGGTATAAAGAGGCATCTTCCAAAGGCTTCTCAGCTTTTGTTAAAGCTTTGTATGAGGCTGGGCACCAGAATGTCTTCCCAGCATTCTCCACGTACTCGTCTTTCACCGAGCTCCCACCTGAAGTGCTGGAAGGAAACTTGACCTATGCACCTGAGAACATTTTACTGGATCCATATATATTCTGGCAGCTTCTGAATGAGCAGCTGACCTATTACCCAGGGCCCTACACTGATTTCAGTGCTTCATTAAGCCACTTTGAATTTCGTGACTGTTGGTGTGTTGATAGCAGAGGAGAAGAACTGCAGGGAACAAAGGCAGAAGTGAACCAGGTCCCGACATGTAAGTAACAGAACTTTAGTAGCAGGGTTTCTGGTCTTTGCTTTTATGCCACAAGAAGAAAGTCAATTGCTGTGAAGTAGGAGACTTGTCAGAAAGATCATCAATGCTTCCATTGCCATGGGCCACCAGAGGTGGAGTAGGTCATTTTGAGTAAATTAAGTGGTCTCTCAGCTTAGGGAATAAGGAGGAATAAAGTTCCATATCAAGTTTGTGTAGACTTTATAATTTGTACATGTAATGCTTTTGTGGAAGATACTTATCCAGATGGCAAAGGACATTTTAAGTTAGAAACACTGCATGAAGTGTTCTATGGAAAATTCAGGACTACCCTGTGATTTAAATGACTTCCATTATGCGATTCAAAACAAAGTGAATGTAGAAGGAAATAGAAGATGCTAATTAAAAGGCCAGTTAATTTTCGCATCAAAGCACATCTTTACTGGATTTAGATGAAAAGCATTAATATACATTTTGATCCTATAGGTCCTGGTATATGTGAAGGTGTTAAGCAAGAAGCCATGAAATTTATGGAAGAGGCAGAGCAGCTCATCCTGGCATCAAACCGTTCCCACTTTGCTTTTGGAGAGAGCTTCCTGATGGCAAAGGGAATACAGCTCACAGACAGGGACCTCCTACGTTTTGCTCGGCCCTACGAGTCAGAGGTGGTGGTCTCCAAAAAGCTGTTATCAGGCAGTGACTATGCTCTCCAGCTGGCTGCACAGTCAGGTAGGGGAAAGAGAGAGGAGAGCTTAATTAAATGGATTAACGCCCAGAATCTGTGCAAAACCACTCTGTGTCAAAGGTAATTTTGCTGAAAACAGGTGCAACTCAGCAGGTATAATTAATCAGTGTAATTAACCTGCCCACCCAAGGGCTCATTTCAGCTGTCTTATATGTATGACATGATGAATATATATGATCTGGACACTTACCAGCCTTTATGTACTTGCAGGTTTGTTGATTAGCCTTCTGAAGTACAGGGAACATTCAGGTGTTTGCAAACGTGCATTGAAAATACCTTGTATTGGCCACTAACAGCTTTCTTTTACTTTGCCAGTCTTGCATTTCTACTGGAGGAATCACTTTGCTTCGAAAGGTTCTGCTGGGGAAGCGATGCAGCTGGGATTTCTTCCTTACATCCCACAGTGTGATGGCCTGGGGAACTGGGAGCCAACACAGTGCTATGAGAGCACAGGTGAATAATTGCCAACAAGATAGTTTGGCCTGTTTGAACAAAGAAAAGCTGAGCAGAATTCTAATAGAACAGATGGAAAAGCAGTATTCTTGTAGCCAAACTAAAGGGAGGTGAAGTGGTCTACAAGCTGGATGGAAAATCGACTGGATTGGGGGACTCAAGTGACAGCATATTTAGGCTCAAAAAATCTGCATGCAGTTGCTTATTGCTAGTAGTGTTCCTCAGGGATCAGTTCCGGGGCTGGTATTGCTTAACGCCTTCATTAAGGTCCAGGACAATGAGACAGAGCTCACTCTCAGCAAGTTTGTGAATGGTGCACTGCAGGATAGGGATGCAGTGAAAGAATCTTACCAAAGCTACTACATTTCCATTGTCACCACTGCTCTCAGGTGTTTTGGATAGCAGAGTGAACTTGACTTAGATTTACTGACCACTTTCTATAGTGCTGCAGAGGATGAAAATCTTCCCAGTATGCAACAAAGCAGTACGACATCTGAAGTAAAGGTGCTTTTCTTCCCTGGCCAGGTCACTGCTGGTGTGTGGATGAGAGAGGACGCTATGTCGTGGATTCCTTGGTCTCACGCTCAGCACAACTTCCTAAATGTCAGTTGTTTTTTTCTTCCTAAATATTTGCTTTTACCTTTTCATACAGATGTTAATATTTATTGACAGTTCTAATACGATACACACACGTAGCAATGCTGGTTTCTAACCATTGCACGAAGAGAAAAAGGAATTTTATGTTTTGCTAACTCATTTAATTTCATTCTGTGTGATTCTGGCTTGAATGATTGTAAGTGTAGTGACAGGACAAGGGGTAATGGGTTCAAAATGAAACAAGGTAGATTTAGATTAGGTATGAGAAAGAAATTCCTTACTGTGAGGGTGGGTACTTGCACTGATTGCCCAGGGAAGCTGTGGCTGCCCCATCCCTGGCAGTGTTCAAGGCCAGGCTGGACAGGGCTTGGGGTAACCTGGTCTAGTGGAAGGTGTTCCTGCCCATGGCAGGGGGTTGGAATTGGGTGGCTTTAAAGCCTCTTCCAACCCAAACCAGTCTGTGATTCTATGATTTGAGAATAGACCCTCTGCTGTTGGTGGCCCTGTTTTGAGCAGCAGGATGGGACCAGATGTTCAACCAGATCTCTTCAGAGGTATCAACTGTCCTGTGATTCTGTAGTTATCAAACACCGATCAGGAATTCCCTGCCTGACACTGTAGCAGAGCCTAATGGAGATGTGCAAAGGAGCTGGGGATGTGCCCTTTTCTCTAGCTTAGGTTTGAGAACTTGGTTGTATTTAACATGCATGTATGTTTTCTGCCTTACAGGCCAGACATCATGTCAGCGATCTCGAACCAATGCCTTAATTTCCAGCTGGAGACAGAGTGGTTCAAGGCTGGGTGCCTCTACAGCTGATCTATTCATCCCCTACTGCCTTGAGGTGATTTAACCTGACTAAGGGAGGAAGAAATAAAACCTCCCCAGTTTTGCTTACATCATGCCAAAGGCTTGTACAGTTTCAGTCTATGCCCCTTAAGCATCCGTTGCATTCCTATTGAACTGAAAGAAAAGGGTAAACCAAAGCTAACAATGGGCAATGCCCTGCACAAGGCAGAATTTAAATAGCTTTGAGATGAAGACTGGGCATAGAAAGCTTTGTCCCTGCCTGTGTTTCAGTCCTTGCAGGTTGGCTTTGCCTAGTCCTTTTGTAGGGCTATGCTTAAAAGCCACAACTTAATTGATTGGCATGTGGGAAGCTCTATCTGAGCTGTGAGAGAATGTTAGGATGAGAGGGAGTTGAATGCAGGTATCCTAAAATAGGGTCTGTGGCGCTCTCAAAACATGGCAGTGAGCAGGAGAGAGCCCTGAGATGGGCAGGGAACAGACATTTCAAAGCAAGATTATACCAAAGCAAGGACTTCATCTCAATGGGCTTTCAGACTGTATACTGCTTCTCTCAGGACCTGGTCTGTATTTTAATATTTTGTGTTTCATTTCAACATGTTGTACTGATGGAAAAATAGAATCAAATATTTTAACCAACCTTTGGGCTAGGCATTTTGTCATGTCTGTATTAATATACATTGTTCTGCAATGACACGGAATTGATTCTTTGTAGACAGGAGAATACGCTGTGCTACAGAGATCCAGCACAGATATTTGGTGTGTAGATCCTGTGTCAGGAGAAGTATTTCAGCGTGGCAGCAAAGATTTGGACGGCAATCCAGAGTGTGAGTAGTGCTTTACCCACAGCCGGTGACACTAGTGGCAATGCCTAATGCTTTGCAGCATATGTACATTTCAGAATGATGCCTGTGAAACACAGAGGGCTTACAGTTTAATTCCTCAGTGATAGCGTACATGTGAGCACATCAGCATGGAAAGGGTATCTCAAAATAGTTTGCCTTTATTATCATCAGAAATAAACCAGTAAAACAAAGTGATGGACAGGCTTCTAGGCAATTTTTTTACCTTCCATTTCTTACCACCATGGAAAATTCTTTGGGCTTGTGGATGAGTTTTCTGAGGCAGTGAATCCTGAACTGTGGGAACTGGGCCATGTGCAGTCAGTGTGACCATTTTGCACGGTCCACAACTGCTCCATGGAATGCAATTACATCTATAATACCTTTTTATTGTCTTCAGATAAAGACAGTGAAGTTTTGAGGTCTTACAGAAGATGGTTGGTCCAAAAGCTTGAAGGATTCCTTCAGGAATTGAGGTGCCCTATTGGCCCTGCTCTTCTGAACAGTACAGTCAGCCCAAGAGCCTGCAGTGCTCCTGGGCTTGTTTCTTCAGTTCTGTAGTGATTTTCTGAAGCCATCTCCCAGAGAAAATATGGGAGAGTTGTCTGCTGGCTTCAGGCAAACCTTCTCCCAGAGCATCTATATCAGTAAATAGTTATTCAGGAGAGGCTAGTGAGTTAGATAATGACTTTCATATGACCCAGCAGGTCTGCTTTCTTGTTATATATGGGTTGATCACAGAAGTCCATGAGGACATGCAACAGGGATAAGTAACAGCATGTTCTCCGCGGAATTGGTTGTGTAATGGTTTGTTACACAAATTTAAAAGCCTATTCTGACAATTGCAAATGAACAAAATCAATAAGAACCAACTTTGTCTCAAGTTTGGACTGAACTTTTTGGATCTTCTTGTCAGAGGTGGTTCTGCACGCTCATGTCCCTGTTTTGTTTGTGGGAGACCATAAATATTGCTGGTTTGTGGCTGGGTATTTTTTCCAGTTTTAAAGGGATTTTTTGGCTGCTCATAATGTAAATGTTCACATTATTGCATTTAAAATGAACTTGATCAAAGCCTCCTACTAAAAAGATTTGTTTTTTTTTAATTTTAAATATCAGCATCTAAGTGATACGTTATCCAATTTATGATAAAAAATGATGTGAATGTGAAGTAAATATCAGTAGTTTTTCACCTTTTATTGATGCAAACCCATATAACTTGCTCTTTAATAAAAATGTGTTTTCTAGTGGAAGTAAAATTCCTTGTTTCTATAATGAGTGAAATAATTGATGGTTTTGTGATCATTCATTTTTCTTCGTTCTAATAAAGCAGGCTGAACCCACTGCTGTTAAAGTCTCTAACACAGTTTGTTGTCTTCTGTTCTGTACCTTGCAATAAACTTCTCTCTTCAAAGGTCCTAGTTTCTGTACTATGCTGAGGTCTAAAGCTGGTTTACGGGAAGCTGGCAAAGGCTACATCCCACAGTGTGAAGGGGACAACGGGGCATTCTCATCCATGCAGTGCAGCCAGGATCAAGAGAGCTGTTGGTGTGTCTTTGACAACGGAGAAGAAGCGCCAGGCACACGAGTAAGCAGAGGAAGACCTGAGTGTGCAAGTGAGTTCCTGCTTGAGGCACATTGCTTCTGAGCAGGTCTGGGACTTGACCAGATCCTTTCCTTTTTTCCAGTATTTAGTAGTATTTAGTCTTATTTAGTTTATAATCTTAGTCTTAGTTCAGATCTTTATAGAGACTCTTGTTCAACCAGTATGCTTGTCTTTTTGTGTCTTCTCTTTATATATTTGATCTAACTTTGGATATAACTTATATCTGAAGTTATAGCAGATTTCAGACCTACCTGGGCATGATGTCCAGTTTTCTTCAAGTGCTTTGTCAGGGAGAAGCTATAAAACTTAGCTAAAAGTCAATCTGAACAGCTTGCTGCAAACTTGAACCTGTTCTAGCCTGAGCTGGCTCTGGGATTAAAAGCCATTCAGCTGACTAACATCTGAAAAATGTATGGTTCTGCCATTCGTGCTCTTGGCTTGTGACCAGAGTTGTGAAAAGGATGTGCCAAAATACTACATATTCACAGCATATTTCCTGCATGACCAGAGCTGTGAAGCACTGGAATTCAGTCATGGTTTCCAGTGAGATGTCCAAATGGGAGACATTTGGTTGAATTTATTTTGCAATGGCTTTTATGCATCTTCCCATCACTGAAGTGAAGCAAAACAAATTCAACTTTCTACAAGGCTATGCTCCAAATTGAATGATTAGTGGAAACTAGAGATGTGAAAAGAAAACCTTCAACTATTGTCTGCAGGACATTACTATTTCTGTACTTCTTTTGCCTTGTTTGTTGGTTATTTGGGTGTTTTTTTTTTATGAGAGCTGTTGATAGATTTAGCAAAACAAAACTGAAAAGAGATTGCTTTGGTTTCCTTTTGTGATTCTGCTATACAAAGAGCGACACAGGCTCACCAACCAAATACCTGACTGTGGCAGCCGAGCTGGCTGTAAGGCATTTTAATCAATTAGATGGCTCCTCAGCCAACTTGGAAGCCACCACTAATATAATCTTCTTTGTACCAAGGGGGATATATAGAAAGGATTTTACTGGAAGCCAGGAGACCCCAGGGTTGTATTTGCTCCGTGGTCCAACTGAGCTCTGGAGAGATGAGCTGCAGAATGAGGATGGTGTAGTCCTGTGAGCATAGTGGTCTCATACAGGTTTCTGTCTCTTCAGAGAAGCAGAGCTGATCAGTCTAACAAGTACAGTGCTGCTGCCATCCTTCTTCCAGGTTGTGGTCTAGTGTGTCTGTAGGACATGGGCTGGGTGATTCTTATTTTGCCTGGACCAGCTGGAAGAACTCAGTGTGACACCCGGCACTCAGCAGCACAGATTGATGTTCCCATAGACTCTGAAGGTGAACAAAGAAAATCGGAAGCGTTTCAAGTAGGGCAGAGAAAAGTCACAACTGGTTGTATATAAGTCCTTGATACCTCCTTATCTCCATGAAAGCTTATCTTCTAGATTTCCCCCTACATTCCAAGGGAATTTATGGAATGTGTTCCAAGGAGGGTGTAGGTGTACCCCGAGATATGCCTTTAAGATGTTTTTACATTTTGGGTGCACATCTGATATTCTGGGGGATCCTATAATGCTGTACTTTTCCTAGAGGAAATAGTGACTGGATGATTAATGACCTTTCTTTTTGAAAGACTGAGCTGAGAGAGAGAACTGCTTTGAAAACATAGAGGAAACCTGGCTTTACTGAAAACTGTTATTTTCTGCATAGAAATGCCATTGAAATGATCTTTAATCATTTCATTAATGACTAATGATTTTCCTGGATTTTGAAATAGCACTGGATCTTTTTTCATGCTAAACAACTTAGTTATTGTGTAAAAATAAAGAAGCAAAAGTTATTTTTCCCCTCAGTCTCTCCAGCTGTATACTTCTAGTTCTGGGAACTATGAACAGCTGATTGGGAAAAGGGAAAGGAGTACTATTGTCACTATCTTTGAGATCTTGTCTATCAGCAAAATAGCTTTTGTGGTGGAGAAAATATGATAAACTTCTCTTCCAACATCAGAACAGACAGCTGTAAACAACAAGTAATAACTTCACAGTGTCCAGTGCATGCAATTATGTTTTTATTAGCTTAATCACTTCCATCAGGTAGAATCTGACTTTTTCCAGTTTTCATGCATCAGACAGATGATGCCAAATACCCTAGCAGTCCTCACATGCATCTGCCAACCTCATGCCCACTTCCACAGGTCTGGGTAGAGATGGAGGAGAGAAAGGCTTCCAGAGAAGGTCTTGGACACAGTAATTTTGTTATGGAAATGAAAGAGGGGTCAATATTCAACTAGGTTCTGATTCACTCCTACAGGACAGAGAAATCGTAACAGAAATAGAATGACAAAATGGTGCAGGCTTGATAACAATAGCAAGAGATAACATCTATAGATGGATAAATGAGCATGTTTTTGATTGTGAACTGATACTTGTGACCCACACCAGGAAATAGTCCATTACTTATGTTTTAGGAGCTGGTTATTTCTCTAGTTCACACACCATCTCTCATTGGAACAGATAGTAAAAGGTGGCAGCAGCTGAGACTGGATTTGACTTGCTGGATATAGAAATGTGTTACAGCAATAAAGGGACTACAGGTTAATTTTTACATACTTTGTATAAAGAGATGTATTGCGTAATTTACGCATAGTGGTGCATGTAGTTTACATTGGTCAGGATAAGCAATACCATCTCTTGCGGTGATATATTTTGGTCCCAAAATCTCTGGGGGTTTATTAAGAGTTGTACGCAAGGATGCCAGGTTTCCACCTTTACTGAAAAAAGAGACTGGATACAAGTCAGTGAGTGAGTAGGAGGCCCCATTTATAGAGTTACTGCAGAAAAGATGCTATAAAACAGACTTGGGGGGGGAAAAAAAAGCATTTGGCAATTCAGTGAGACAAATATGAAAGCCTTTTATTTTGGCATCAAAATACTCAGGGTGGGTGAACAAAGATGTACTGTGCTCACTGGATCCCAGAGTCATCCTGCAATTTTTTAAGCTTTAACTGAAATGGCTGCTAAATTAAAGAATTAATCTTCATATCTCTGTCAGAAGAGGGAGAGGGAGGCTGCTCAGAACTGAACTATCAGCAATGTTTGCCTTCCTCCATGGACTAAGGAGGTTGAGATTGATTTGAGCATTGCTATTTGGGAAATGATTTATATATGCACCATGCAAGTGAATTGGATGTCATAAGAACGTTATTTTCTTTATATTTATTTCTGAGTGAGGAAGCTTTTCTTCCTATGTTTTATAGCTCTAAAACTCAGAAGTGTTTAAATATTGCTAGATATATTCAGTAATCGGGAAGGGACTTGGCTTATATTGAGTGAAGCAATTGATTTGTACTGATTAATAGAAATTAATTATCATTAGCACGCTGTACTAGTCTGCTACAGTGGGCTGGCAGGGTTGAAATGACTGTATTGATGTAGGTAAAGTTGATAGGGTAAACTTTGTGCTCTAACTCCAAAGCTGTATATTACTGTTAAGGACCTGCTGGGTCATCAGAAGCATCCTGTTGAGGACACTGTAGTCATAAGCTCCTGATTTTAAAGTTTTCAGACTTCACTTTAAAGGGAATTGAGATTATTATTTTTATTACTTTTTTACCCTGCCTATTCCCACTGGATATCTTTTGTAAAGGTCTGCTCTGCTGATGGTTAGAAACCTCCTCATTTCCTGCTTAAATGTATTCATGACTGTTTTAAACTTATCTGCTCTGAGAAACCGTGCACGTAGCTTTCTGGTCCCAGTGCATTGTTCATCAAGTCAATATGTGTCTTTTTATCGGCTTTAGTAAACTGAACCATGCTGACATCAAACCAGATCCAAGTTGAGATGAGTGGGAATGCACAGGGTGCTGTCTAGGTTTTCTTTGTTGATGTTAGCATGCCACTAACGTATCCCCCTTCTCATGTGCCTAAAGGTCCACAGTGTGCTCTGCCATTCGATGCCTCATCCATACTTAACGGAGCTCTATTTTGTGAAAACATTTCTGAAGCTCCAAACATTCAGCAGTGCTGGCTGGTGTGTCGCCAGGGCTTCCACAGTGCCTCTTCTAACATGTCCTTTCAGTGTGATGTGCAACAGCGTCAATGGGTCTCGACTGCCCCGCTCTACCAGGCCTGCCAGAGTATGTCTGAACTGCTGTGGGTTGGGAATGGGGCAGAGCAGTGTGAATACATGTACAAAAATCTGCTTTCATCGTGAAGCTAATGTGTGAATGACTGTAATAGGACACAAGGGTTGTATGGGAGTTGTTAAATTAGGGTGGATTAGTTGTGTCTTCTGCCACCTCCTTATCTTAGCAGGCTCCTATGCTAGAAACAGTCCCACTTTTCTGTTATAGTATAGCTATAAATAGTTATTCAATCTATATGGGGATTTGAGGGTTGGAACTAGATGATCTTCAGGTCCTTTCCAACCCTAACTGTTCCATGATTAATCGTTGTTAGTTAAAAGATGCTGGCACCATGAAGTGATTCCGAAGGAACCACTTAGTCCTTAGGAAGAACAGATGAGCGCCAGATGTTTGATTTTGGCAGAACTTGACTGTTTATTTGCATAATCAAGTCACTGTTACTTCTGCATCTTTTTGCAGCGGTCAGTTCTTTAGTATTATTGTTGTGTTGGTTGGCTGACCTGTGGAATTTTCAAGGAAAAAAATGGCACTTTAAATCTGTGTCCATTCAGAGCTCAAGTAATTGGGTATTAATGTTGGCCTTTTCAATTATTTCACATAGAGATACATAGATACATTCTGATCAAAATGGCAATGTGTAGCAATGCTGAGCTTTTGAGAAAGGTAGATCTTGAGGCCAAATTTGCATCTACTCTTAATTTCCAAGATGGGTTAAACCCATTCTGGAAATCCCTATATTGACATATTTCCAATTGTACCCCAGGTCTTCTATTCCAAATGTAAACATTTATAAACTCTGTATTTCAGACCGAGACTTTTGTCTGTCATCATGTTTGCTACGTTTCTGTGACATGTTATGAAGTAGCTTTTGGTTTTGCCTGATAGCAATTGAATAACTGTAAGGACAGAGGGGAGTTTGTGGCAATCTGATACAAGGTGCTGTTTAATGCAAGCTAAGGACTTCCCTCAGTAATTTGTGTTTGCGACAGTGCATGGCTTTAAGGAGAAAGAAAAAATTCCCAACGCATCAGAAAGAATCATGGAATCATAGAATAGTTAGGGTTGGAGAGGACCTTAAGATCACCCAGTTCCAACACTCCTGCCATGGGCAGGGACACCTCACACTAAACCATATCACCCAAGGCTCTGTCCAACCTGGCCTTGAACACTGCTAGGGATGGAGCATTCACAGCTTCCTTGGGCAACCCATTCCAGTGCCTCACCACCCTCACAGTAAATAGCTCTTCCTCCTTATATCCAGTCTAAACTTCCCCTGTTGAAGTTTTAACCCGTTACCCCTTGTCCTATCACTACAGTCCCTAATGAAGAGTCCCTCCCCAGCATCCCCATAGGCCCCCTTCAGATACAGGAAGGCTGCTATGAGGTCTCCATGCAGCCTTCTCTTCTCCAGGCTGAGCAGCCCCAACTTTCTCAGCGTGTCTTCATACAGGAGGTGCTCCAGTCCCCTGATCATCCTTGTGGCCTCCTCTGGACTTGTTCCAACAGTTCCATGTCCTTTTTATGTTGAGGACCCCAGAACTGCACACAATACTCCAAGTGAAGCCTCACGAGTGCAGAGGGGCAGGATCATCTCCTTCGAGAAAAGCAATTGTATTCACAATTATGGAGAATTCACTACAAACTTGGTAGTTTGTTCCACTGAATAATTACCCATGCTCTTAAAAATCTCATTTCCTGTTATTTATGTGTACATTTCAATATTGTGGTTAAGTCAGCTCTTAAGTGCTCTCCGATAAACTAAAAAGAGAGAGGTCTTTGTGCTGTGCAGGACGAGGCAGGCTTTTGTGTCACCTGGTGCTTCTCACCATTCTCCTTGGAAGCTCTCCACCCCTCACTCCTTTTGGGGTGAGGGTGGAGAATTATGCTCTAGCAGTGACACTTGTATGTGATGCAGTGAGGGTCTGTAGAAGAGGTGAATGAGGGAGAGCTCTGCTACTTGTCCAGGTTGGTAGGACAAGAGCCAACTCCATTTGGAGGTGGCATGACAGCATGACCTCTGTGCTGAACCAGAGATAAGAAAGCCTCTGTGAAGCCTGGGATCCATGTAACTCCAATGGAGACAAGAATCTGCAGCTTTTTTAATGGCTAAAAGCTGTCCAAAAAGATTCATACTTTGTGACTGATTTGCTCATGGATTTCTCATCAGTTTGTGTGATTTTCATCACTTCTGTTTGCTATCATAAAATTGGAAGGGCCTTGTAGATGTCCATGTGAACACCATAAGTATTCAATCAGATTTATTCTCTCCTAAAACTTGATTCGCAGTTAATTTGGCAAGCTAGGTTCCTGAAAGCCCATTTGAATCGGTATTAATTGTTTTAACCATTTAGTCACTTTTAAAATAGAAGTCTTTTCATGGGCGTGTCTAAGAGAAGTGGATGTTGACAGATCAATAATTCCTGTCTTCCTGTATCTTTTCTACCCATAACATTACCTTTTATCTAGTTCCCTGGAAATTCCTATCTGCTAAAGCTTCTAAACAATCCATTAACAATTCAGATTGTTCCTTATCCTTCTGGGAGTGCTGTAGTGTAAAATATCTCTTCATTATTATATAATGATATCACTTGGCTTTTTCCCTAATGCACAACGTAGATGTATTTATCAAGCATGTCCCTTGCTGCTTATTATTTACTACCAACAGCTACTGCTTTCACCTGGAAAATCAAAATGCCAAATCAGTGTTGTCTTTTCCCAAAGTGACTTTGAAAGTCAGTTTCTACATTAATGAGGCTACTAAATACCCTTTTTCTACTTGATTTTTAGAGCTCCAGTTATTCCAGACAGTCCAAGTTCAAGCACACTTTCAACTACTACTGCCTCCTGAGAAGACCTGTAGTTCTGACTACTCTGGATTACTCCAGGCATTCCAGATATTCATTTTAGATGAGTTGAAAGCTCGTGGTTTATGTCACCTCCAGGTAATTTCAATTCCTTGTTCTCTGTTGTTGGTGGGTTTTTTGTTTTGGTTTGAAGAGCTGAATATGCCATGAAATCTGTCCAGATTGGCAGCATTCTCATATGGATGACTGGGAATATAGGATCTTTAGTCTCACTGAACCCCCACTGGCAGATCAGCTAAATTGTAGCCATAGAAATCATATCACATCAGTCCAATATTTATTAAAAACATGTTCTGAAGGAAGAGAACATTTTAAATATTCTTTTTGTGAGTAAATGACCTGCTGAAATGATCCTTTCCTAGTTCTGTTTTTACAGGCCCTCGTGAAAATGTTCCTTTTGAGCATAGCACAGTGCACACAAACAGGGAAAGGTCCTCAGGTTGACTAACCATGGTTTAATTTTGAACTCAAGGTAAATGCGTTTGGAAACACGGGCTCAATTTCTGTCTGTGATGATTCCACTGTCTATGTTGAATGCCTGGGCATGGACCGCCTGGGGGTGAATGTCACATGGAGGACTCAGCTGGAAAACATCCCAGCAGCTTCTCTTCCCGATTTACATGATATTGGTAAGGGTTTTCCCCCTGGTATTTCTGTGAATTAAGCCTTCTTTGCTTTTAGTTGTCTTGCTTCCCTGTATCTGCTCTTAGAGGGCACTGATAAGGTATTATAAGTGCCCATTGAAACAGTTTATAACACTGGAGTTGTCTTTGAGCTTTTGGTGTTGATATATTATTCTTGGAAAAGAAAGGAGCTATAATTGAATGTTTTTTTCACAAAGGGCCGCCTCTCGCAGCTTCTTTGACCGAGATTGAAAATTACTTTATCGGGCATGAGCTGATCTTTACCAGATGTTAATTTACATTGGGCAGGTCCTCAGTGATGGAAAAGATTGTGTTCATTATTGTCAGAGAGGCACAATTCACACATTGCCAAAAATATAACTAATTCGTTCCAAGTATTTTCTCTTATTTTCTATCTTCCCTTTTTCTGTTTATTACATTACTTTTGACACCAAAGAATGACCCTTACCTCAGACATCCTAGTGGAATTATTCAGAGACCACTGACTAGCAGATCTTTGCTGTGGTTTCCAAGTGAGTTAGGAATAGTGAAAGGAAACTCTTTCAAAGCAGTCAATGATTCCCTTTAAAATAAGGTGTAAAAGACACATCCCAATTTTATATGCCCTCTGTGCCGCCTTTTCTCCAGCCTTAATTCTTTGCAATGCTGTTCCCAGCTCTAAATATCAATAGCACTGCCTGTACGTGATGTTCTCTCTAACTCTAGGACATGGAGAAGTGTGCCCTACAGCAGTTTTTGCCTGATCAGAACTGAATTCAAAAGCCTTCAGGATGCAGACCGTGGCTGTAGTGGTGGTGTGTTTCTGGCTTTACAGTATGTTTGTATTTACATCCATTCAGTTGTTCCAGATTATAAGAGAAATTCAAGTGAATGTTCATATAAGTGAATATTCAAGCAGTTTGCAGGAGTGTGCTTGGTTTTATGTGGAACTTTAGTTTTGAAAGCATTCCACTTTGAGGGCATTACATTTTTGACCAACTCCACGTTACAATTTCCCTGTAGTACTAAAATTGCTTTTCAGGGAATGACTACGTGGTTTCAGAAGAGGCTGAGCCAAACCTGCTCTCTGTATACCCTTGGCACCACCAACTTCCCTTACCTTCGAAGGCAGCTTTGGATCTTTCTGTTTGAGGTGTTCTCTGGTGTGTTTATACACAGTGAGCAAATTTGCTCTCTGATCTGAAAATCTACATTACTAAAACAGCTTTATTCTTCTAGCTTCTATATGGGCAAATAAGAAGGCTTCCTTTTTTCCTTTCTCCTATGAAATAACCGAGAAAAAATTGCTAAACAGAAGCACAGTGTGTGTATGTTCCCAGTGGAGAGCCTCAAATCTAAATCACTTGTGAATGCTTCATTACTTCTTTCTCTTGCATATATTTTCATGTACTGAATTCTGAGGCTGTGCAGTGTGCAAAGCCCTTCCTGTAGGATCTTATACCATTTGGCTCTGTAGCTTAGACCTCTAAAATATTGAGGAACACTTGCAGCAATTTCTCTCTTTTCTGTTCAACACACATAACCAGTATGGATTATAAAAATGAGCCTGAAGTGGATGAGCATACAGTGAACAGTCCCCATTAGTGAGACTAGAGGAAATCAGTCCCTGCACTATACAACTGCTATTTCGAGCTGTGTCTTTGTTCTCTGCGTTTTCCTAAAAAGAAATTAAAAAAGAAAAGTTTACTTTTCTTTTTCTTTCACTTTTCTCTCACTTTCTCATTTGGCCCATATAAACTCCAAGTAACAGGATGATCCCTTACCTGTTGAAATTAGCGTTTCATTCAACAGAAGAAAATCTTACATCAGATTTCTGCCCACAAGGTAACATAAGATGCAACAATTTGCAGGATATTTCTGTGTGTGAAAAAATGTATTTTCCCCTAAGAAGTCTAAGTTCCTAAAGGTATACTAGGCCCTGGAGAAATGCTCAGTAAGAGCTTCCAGTAAATCTAACAATGTATGAGATGTGTAGTAGCTTGAATTTCCAGAACTGTTAATCAAAACAGGAGCAAACCCAGGGAAGCCCTATTATATCTGGTGGGCTTTAGAGCTTGCTGAAAGTCCTAGGAAGCTCATCTTGGACCAGAAGCTAGGTCCCATGTCAACAGTGAAGCGTGGCCCATGCTAGAAGGGCTGAATCAAGGCAGCTTGTGTCAGATGTTACTGGTGAGTCTGTGGCTGGCATGTCCGTCACTGAACATCCATCTCTGCTGAGACATTCCAGGATGTACCTGTCAACTTGCAATGCATGAGCACATATGCTGCAGTTAAACACTTGTCTATATACTCTAAATGCAAAGGGTATTGTATATGCATGGATATATAGTGTGGTCATAGCAGGGTCACATTTAGTGATAGTGTTAAGAACTTCTCAACACAGCAAAATGTTTTAGATTAAAGGACATTCAACAGACCTAACTGGATTCTTCCTGCTTTGCTTCTTTTCTACATGTGAATTCCCTCGGCTGTCATTCCAAGGTTATTTTTAATTCTTCTACAGTTAGTCACTACACAATTCAGAAGGATATTTGCTTGAATAAAAGGCTAATCTGCTTATTCCTGCTTTCAGTTATGAGACAATTTCTGGCAAAACATATGCAAAGTGTTGTTGATTATGTGGTGATCTCCAATTAGTTCCTTGTGAGTTTATCATTTTTGCCTGGGTTTGACCAAAACAAAGTGCTGTTTTGTTGATTATAGGTTGTGTCAGTGCAGTGGAAGGATAGGGTGCTCAAAACTGCAGGAAACAGAGCATTGGGAATACAAGGACACAGCTGTCAGGTTTAATGTGAGGACCATTCACTTTAGCCCATAAACGAACAGTCTTGTCTCCCTCCTTTGCAAGGGTGGAAACAAGATCTCCATGACAGCAGTCAGCTATGGACCAACATTCAGGAACAGAGGGCACCGATGTTTTCAGTATTTAAAGGCTTAGGCCCTTGTCTTGCAAATTTGGACCAATAAACCACATCAACATTTCACTTAGTGTCATAAACCCTGCAGGGACAAACAGAACGAGACAGCAAACAAGATCTGCTGCGAACACTGTTCTTGTACTTCTGGTCCAGCCAAACTGGGAAATTTGCTATTGATCTGGCACTGAAAACTGCTTGCACAAGTCATCAAAAGGGAAGCTGTTTGGGCAGCTAAGAATATAGAGAGTAGGAAAGGTGCTCACTGCTTTCCAGGTTTAAACACCGGTTTCAGCAATTGTGAAGAGTGTGCCTGTTCAATAGGTGGATATGTTGAATATCAGTAGTGTGATGAAAGGTGATTGTTATATTGCTACAGATGGTGGCCTTCAAAAACAACAAAATGCTGAAAAAGAAACAAATTATATCCATTCACCCCCCCAAAAAAAACAAACCACAAACCTAACCAGGAATAAATTAAATCTGAATGTCAGATAATCCTGGTTTTCATCTGCTGAATTTTTGTTACTCAGAAGTTTTGTTTACTGATGCTTTATTTTTGGGGTGTGCTTTCTCCCCCTGTCTCTTTAACACCTCTACATATTCTGAGATTAGGATTTTAATTTGATGGGTACTGTAGAGATTCAAACTTGTCTGCTGTTTGCTATCAATCATACTTGTGTTTCTACATCTGCCTATGGCTTTAACTGAAAGTTTATCAATTTCTATGTTCTGTTCCCATATTGTAAATCTCTTGTGATATTTTGTTGTATTTCCCCACCCTCCCTTTAGAAAATGCAATTGTTGGAGAAAATCTCATTGGAGCATTTATAAAAGAGATTAAGGATGGTGATTTCCTGCTGTATTTGGAGTCCAAGCAGTTCCTAGCAGATTCTTTTGTTGATTTTCTGCGGGATGAAGAGTTTGATCTATCTCCAAGTGTGCAGCTGGGATGTCGAAGCGGGTTTCGAAGAATATCATCTCCTGGGCAAGCAGTCCCAAATTCACAAGGATGTGGTATGTCTCCATTTATCTTTCCCTTCCTTGATATTGCTAGGAATTAGTATTAATCTAAAGTTAGAAAATTGCCAGTGAATTTGTGTTTATAGTCTATATGTGAAAGGTGTGAATCACAGGTGTGAATGATAAATTGGAGGAGAGGTGGGGATTAGCTCTTTGCTTACTGTTCAGTCCTTGCATTGAAACAACAATTTGGAAATAGACATCATGGCATTGAAATGGTATACAAGGTTTTGCAAATGATCTGTCTGGTATTAGAAGGTCCTTCTGTAATGTACATGACCTTAATAGAAGCATTCATGAAGGTAATGTAACTAGTGCTTCAGATGATGATAAATTACAGAATAGAAAACTAGAGGCAGAAATGGCAAAAGTCCTGAGATTGTGAATACCTGGGCCAAGTCCAGCCAGCTCTGATGGAAGCTTTCTCGCTGTTGGCCATCACCCAGACTTGATTGCACTTCTGTCCTCTTTTCATCTTCTTTCCTTCTGTTTAGTTGGCTTCCCTGGAGCAGGCTGCCTTTCTGTCAACAACCTGCTTAGGGCTGACAAACCTACTTCTTTGATGGATCCCCATGGCTGTGCCTCACAGTCCTGTATACCAGGTCATGCTGCCAAAGAGCCTTTGCTTTAACAGCCCTGCTCTTGTTTCTATCAATCAACATCAACCCTCCTACAGCACAACCCTGAGCATTCTTGGTAGATCATTCATGTTAGTGTCAGTGAGTCTGTGTCTTACGTCGACCTGGGATGTATTCACTATGTCTAGCTTTTTTTTTTGGAACAGAGGAGGGATGTACCACTTCTAGGTGTAAGATCAACAGTAGCAGGTATTGGGTACATTTTCCAATATGGGGAATATTTTCAGATGGGCAAGCTTTAGCACTGTGCAGTTTAAATTAGAGACCTTAGAGCGAATCAAAATACTTGAAAACAACTTGGCTCCCAGCTTGCTGTGGTGGTCTTCTTTAAGTTAGGAGAGCTTCCTTAATGCCTGGTCAAGGTCTTCAAAGTAATCAAGCTATGAATCAGTTCTGAACTGCTGCAGTTTCCAGTTTGGACTTTTAAGGGTAAGTTGGCCAGTTTCAGTTCGTCTTCATGATCCGAAACACTTCAGAGTTTGGTTATTTAAATACACCATGCAGAAAAAAAAGATCAATTCCTACTAAGAAAACGGATTCTGTAATGACTTTCAGTTACTTAACAAGATGTACTGTTATACTGAGTTAAGGTATCAGTATTGAGTCCATCACTTAGGGTAGAAGAATTTACAAAGACCTTACTTGGTCTTTGTAACTTACAAAGAACTTACTTGGACCTTTTTGCATTGTATTTCCTGCCAAGGATAAAGGCCTCTTTAGGAAGCAGTGAATTGATTCTGCTTAATTCCTTTTAGGAAGCAGTGAGTTAATTGAATTTGTGAGTTAGTTCATACATATTTGGACCAGCTAGCTGTAGTAAAAGTCACTCAGTGAAACAGGTTTATCATAGAGATGTGGAAAGGAGACAGTTTGTGCTCAAGCTTTTGGCAGAGATTTTGTATTATAAGTTGTCATGGTATGCACACTAGTGGACACTGGTTTGTGCAGTAAGACTGCATATTTTATACTAAATGGGATTTAGGAATTCTGTTTCTGCTTCCTTTAAGAGAGAGAAAAACTTATAAAAAAATATATCTCTTATGTATTTATATATATATATATGTTTTAATTTGCATTATGGATATATTTTGGTCACTTATCCTGTCCAAGTCTCTACTAATAATAGGGACTAGTAGTAAGAAGTATCACCTTTGATTACGGAGCTGGAGGAGTGATATCCTTGTGCAGTCACTCCAGTGAGTTGTTCTTCAGCCTAGAATTTGCTGCTCAACATGATGTTCCCCTGGTACATGGAAACCTGAATCTAGTTAGAATTGAGACCAGGTTACACATTTCATGTACAGGGATTAAATTTGGGGTTTAATGTTATCTTGATACTTTTAGTTATTTTTATTTATTTTCCTATTTTAGAGATACAAATTTTAGCCCAGTGCTAATACTTAGCTCTGAGATTTTGGGTAACAGCTGTTCTCTAGTTTCTCCTATTGTTAAAATACATGAATGTTGAATCTTGAAAGAAGTACAGTATGATGTTTTTTTTGACTTCTGGATTCAAACTTAACTTCTCTACAACCATGTAACCTATAGCTGACATGATATGGGCCTCCAAGAGTTATAGAGTCTAGAAAACAAGTTTTGCCCCAACTTTTTTTGCTGTTCTTTTTGTCCTTTTGTTACTCTAATGTGTGAGACAAAAGGCGATTATGCTTGTTTAAAATGTGATGGGAGACACAGGTGTTACTTTCATATCATGGCTAAAACTACAAAACAAGGAGAATGCTTAACAGCTTAATTTGTCCCTTGTTAATTTTTAATTGCTTAATGTTCCTCATCCTTTGCATTTTGTCTTTAGATGAGGCATGGATTACTCATTTCATTCCAATTTCTCCTGTCATTCATTCGCAATGAATATCGTCCTTTTTACGTGTGTTGGAAAATGCCTTTAAATACATCAGACACACATAATGTGCTTAAGACAGGAGAATTCCGTCTGATCCGGGATTTCCTGAGTCTGAAATTGATTTTAGATATGTGTTATACCTAGAGTAATTGTCTTGAAATTTTCTTCCCAAGTACATATCATCTCACAATTGTCTCATCCTAGACCTTCCCATTGGACCTTTTATAGCAGATGAAGGAAGATATGATCAGTTTTACACTAATTATATAAAAATTATCAGATTATTAGGTCTTTCTGTTCTATTATAATTTAGGTGTTTCTATAAGTGAAATTAATTAACATTCCAGTGTGTTGGCCAGAACAGAAATTCATCATTTGGGTTGTAGTGCAGATGTCCAATTTTCCATTACTGTTTCTCTCTCACATAAGCTTAATCTGCTGTTAAGATGTAAGGCAAAAACAGAAATGAAGTTTTTCACCTTGTCAAAGCCCCAAAATATACATTTGATAGTGTTTTGGAGGAAGTCTACATCTGCAAAACAGCTGTGAAATAACAAGTAAAGGTATTGTCCTGCAAATGTGTCTGTTACTTTTCTGCTGTAATATTCAGTAGGATGATCTGGAAGGAAAGACTGTATTTCATGAACTTCCAGAAGACAAAAAGTTTTTCTTTGTAATATGTATCAGGTCAGCTGGAAATATTGCTCCTGATTGTTCTGAAAATGACGTGTGTGTGTGTATATATATATATATATATATATATACACATTAAGAACATCTTTTTGTTTTGCGTTTGGGTTGTCATGTGCACAGCTAGTGATTTTTAATCCAGCCATTACTGTTTAGTTTGGAAGTGCTTACTAAAAATCATTACCAGGAATTCTGAATGAAAGTGTTACCATATGGTGGGTTTCTGCATGATGTTTCTGGAGTTTCTGCTCCTAGGAGCCTTCCATTTTTTTGTCCGTAATGTTAGAAGTTACTCTGCTTGTAGCTTGCGTTTCTTTGTTTTCTTTCACAACTTACTTACCCACAAAGTGCATTATCTTATTACAAATGCATTTGACAAATGGAAAACAGGCCTGGACTTGGCATTTCAGAATAGAAATTCTATCATTTCAGATAGGCTGAGAAAGTTGGGGCTGCTCAGCCTGGAGAGGAGAAGTCTGCGTGGAGACCTCATAGCAGCCTTCCAGTATCTGAAGGGGGCCTATAGGGATGCTGGGGAGGGACTCCTCATTAGGGATTGTAGTGACAGGACAAGGGGTAACAAGTTAAAACTTATACAGGGAAAGTTTAGATTGGATATAAGGAAGAAATTCTTTCCTGTTAGGGTGGTGAGGCACTGGAATGGGTTGGCCAGGGAAGCTGTGAATGCTCCATCCCTGGTGGTGTTCAAGGCCAGGTTGGACAGAGCCTTGGGTGACATGGTTTAGTGTGAGGTGTCCCTGCCCATGGCAGGGGGGTTGGAACTGAGTGATCTTAAGGTCCTCTCCAACCCTAACTATTCTATGATTCTATGATTTCCAAACAGCTTGATGTACACTAATTCGTGAACATTTTTAGGGTGAGAAGAAAAGGCCACAGTCTATATTCCAGTCACTGGTGAGTTTAATGAACATTTAAGGAGTGTTTACCTTTGTTAGATATAACTGTATTAAGTTCTTGAAGTCTATGAGATGCAGGCATGAGATATATATGTACGTACACACCCCACACATCTGTGTGCAGATGCCTGAGCTGGTTGGATTCCAGAGAGTAATAAGGTGATTGTTCTCTTTGCAGTTGTTTGCCCTCCAGGCAGTCATTTCCAGAACAATGAATGCATTCCCTGCCCTCTTGGCTACTACCAGTATCAGACAGGACGTTCCTCCTGTATCAAGTGTCCTGTGGGCAAAACTACCAACGCCTATGGCGCAACCAGTGCTGAACGCTGTAAGTTGAGCTCATTTTTTTCCCTTGTCCTTTGTATCCTGGCTTCAAATCATGAATGGATTTTTTCTTTTTTTCACCTCTTAAGTTTTAAAAAAATTCAAACCCCCTCCCCCCACCCCTATCCTCCCTCTGGGTATTTTTGGATGGATATGATCCCTTTTGGATACACTCAAAGGCATTTTACAGACAGAACAAACTGTCTGGTGTTTTGACCAAAAATGCATGAGAAACGAGTGGTCATTCTCATCCAGGATGTTGTGGTTCCTTAAGATATGTTCACTGTCCTCAGGAATGGTGTCTGGGTGTTTAATATCAGTGAGAAACATCTTATGTAGTTCATTAATTGTCACTTAAATGAACACTAAATTAGTCTTTATGCAGCTCTTCCTTCTGCAAACACTAATACTTCTCACAAAGCAACTATTGATATGTTTACTAAAGTTGGTACATTCAGTTTAAATTACTTATTTTTGTACACAGTTCCATAAAGAAAATCAGTTTTTAAGTCCAAATAAAGTTTTGTCTTAAGAATTAGCTCACAGATAAAAATAAAAGTGAGTCATAAGAATGGGTTTCCTGGGAGTATCAGTGAGTATAGGGAGTATCAGAGAGTATACATGCTTTGTTTTGTTTCAACCTATTTATTCTCTGAGGTGGGATAAAAGGTCAGGTTTATTGTAAGGCACACTGACATCAATCAGCTTTTACTTAAAGTTATCATTTATTTCCATATGTGTTCCCTATGTAGGTAGTGGACTCCTGTGATGGAGGTTTGCTCCAGTTTTCTTTATTGCAGGTGCCGGCAACTAAACCTGCTGCCTGCCTGGTTTTCACCTTACCTATTGCTGAGTCTCAGTACTGGCCTTTTCCAAAAGGCCATGTCCTACACATGTAGCTTGCTACTTTCTTTCCCTGCTGTCTCCTTGCGAAGTCTGAAGAGTTTACTGAATTAACTCATATGATGGCTCTTCTACTGATGTTCATGAAATTGCACAGATCCATTGCAGCACGCGCTGAACAACCCTGTATGAAAATACAGTTCCTTCTCTGTACTTCTTTGCTTTACAGTACTTAGCATAAATGGGGATTTGATCCCTGGCAGAGAATCCTAAAAACGTTTGGAATATGTATTGCAGTAACAACAAAGCAGCGCCATGTTTCAGAGCATGGAATATTGTGCAAATTATAGATTAATTTTCAGTGAAGTCTCTGCTTTACTTAGAACACTTTTGTCTTACAGCATTAAAACACGTCCCACTGCCTTGACAGGACCAGAGGCAATGGGCACAAACCAACCATAGGAGGTTCCCGCTGGACATCAGAAAACACATTTTACTGAGGGTGACCGAGCACTAGCACAGGTTGTCCAGGAGTGTTGTGGAGTCTCCATCCTTAGAGATGCTAAAAAGACATCTGGACATGGTTTTGGGCAACCAGCTTTTAGGTGGCCCTGTTTGGGCAGGGGGGTTGGACCAGGTGACTTCCCAAGGTCTCTTCCAACCAAACCCATTCTGTGAAACCCAATGACAGCATTATCAAAGTACCTTGTTTTCTTTCCTTGTTTGCTTGTTACAGGCATGACGTACTGTCAAAGCAACGAGCAGGGTCTGCAGTGTGATGACGAGGGCCAGTATAGACCTTCCCAGCAAGACCCTGACACTAAGAAATCCTTCTGTGTTGACAGCTTTGGAGCAGCACTGGGCTGGACTGAAGCAGATGATCTCCTTACAGACGACCAGTGCCTAGGTTAGTGTCAGGAGAATACTTTGAGTATGCTTTAACACCACATAAATGAAACCTGCTAATGAAGAGACTCATCACTCAACAGTTTATGGGGATTCACTTTCCTATAGTTGTAGCCTCTCCTCCTTAATTTTGCATTTCTTGACTACACTGGGAAATTATTTCCAGTAAGGGAAGAGAGAGAGAAGCAGCTTTCTTGCACTCTTTGATGGCGGACAGCTTTTGATGTATGCTGACCTCTTGCTTTGCTGCCTCGAAACCCAAAAGAATAATGAAAGGACTAATGGGAAAGAAGCAGAATTATGAATTTCTGCTTGTATAAATATATAAATAAATATATATATATATATATATAAAAATCACTCATCAATGTGTTCAAAATAGACTGTGTTTGACGATGTCCTCACAGCCGTGGCCTAACATCACTCTCTGGGCTCCTGCTGTACAGTATCTGGCTTGGTGAACATATCCTTACAAACATATCCTTATAAACTTACTTCTGCTTGAAAACAGTTCTGGAAAAACAGTTCTCAAGGATGAATGATTTGGAAAAGAAGTCATCCATCCAAGAGCCCCCAACCTGCCTGCAGTAAGGTCTATTTACACTTCTCAGCCTCAAAGCTTTTGCCTTGCCCAAAAATAGTTTTGAAGTTTTTATTACTCATCGTATCACTGGTATCAAGTTTAATGGAATATTCACTTTGGAAACTGAGGTCATGGTGTGCTCTGAATCAGACAATGTCTTATGACAAGTGCCATCAGTGGAAGGAGTGTGAAATGAAAGCTTTCCCTTGTGAGGAGGTTGCAAAACTATCTTCAGTTACAACAGCTGTTTTTCCTCTGAGCATACTCTAAGACAGATCTAGTTAGGAACACGAGGTCTTGGCCTCTATTGCTCTCAGTCATGGGGTAGCTGGGATGTTTCACAGCAGCTTAATTCTCCTGTTACTTATTTACCTTGAGCCCTTTTGTAGGAGCATTTCTGGCTCTGTCCAGGATGGAGATGTTGCAGAATTCTGTGCTTATTTTGGGGATCACACTGGAAGATTTCACTACAAATAAATACTTGTAAATGTTGATAATTCAGGGTTTGAAGTACACAACAAACAGGAAATCTGGGTGGTTGGTTGTTTTAATGATTTCCAGGCTACTTTAATCTCTTTTTCTTTCTCTTCTAAAGATGATGCTGCATTTCCAGAAAGTGTTATATGAAGTGAAACTGATTATCTCTATTTTTACTTTTCCCCCGTCCCTTCTATTTCCCTTATACTGAATTCAACATGCAACAAGACAGCAGGGCCCGAAGACTGATCTTGCTTTGACAGCAGGCTGGTGATAAGGCCGGGTTAATAAATAACCCATCTGCTCTCTGGGCTTTGAGTCTTTAGGCAGAAGAAGAATTCCCTTGTATGAATACACAGTAATAAGCTCTAACCACCCATGCCTATTTTTAGTGTTGTCTCCTGTTATATTTTAAGCCACACATAACATTTATTACAACAACAGGGATAGGATCTAGGGTTTTACTCCACTAATAAGTGAGATGGAGAATTTCTGCTGGGTGTTAAGCCTGTGAAATGGATGAGTACCTACATTAGCGTTGAGAAGAGTGCAGCATGACCTAACAGCTTCATGAAAATGGGTTCTCATACAATATTTTTCTTATCATTTTTTTTTACAAAGTAGCTTTATGGATTCAGGTTTTTTGCCTTTATATGTAAAGAAACAAAATTTGAGAGTTTAAAATGGGAGCTATTCTATTAGTTATGCAATACTTTGTGTTTAATGCTTCATTGCACTTTCTCTCTCTTCTCTCTTTTTCTCCCATATTATTGTAGAGAAAATGGAAGGGTGAGATGAAGCTGAAATCAGGAGAAAAAAACAGGCATCGCTGCAAGTTGCAGATGTAGAAGGGATTTAGTTTTGTGTGGAATTAAGCTAACACTTATATTCTGACGTTCTGTATTTCTAGGAAGGAAAAAACTTCCACCTCTGTTTACAACCATCACTCAACCCTCACCCAGCTGGACTTTTGTGTGTGTGTAAAGAATCTGGCTTGCCTTCATGCTTTTTCTGAGCAGAAATGAGGGTTTTATCAAAAGCACCTGTTGGCTCAGCCCTGACAACAGTGGACATTTGCTTCTGATTTAGTCCTGGCTGTTTTGCTGTAAGAGTACAAATGATTGTTTTGAGAGCTTATCCCTAACTTTTGTTTTGTGGCTTATCCAGACATTTCAGGGAGAGAGGCCTGGGATTGTCCTGCTGGAGCTGAGCTTCCAGTTGTTCCATATGCAGATGTCTCTCACAGGCTGAGATCAGTCAAGGAGTCCTGTCTCTAAGGTCTTTTAGGCCTAGGCCAAACACTGGCTGCATTAAGCCAGAGGTTTACTTTCAGGTGGGGCATTTAGAGAAGTCTGGTACCTGCAGGGGTGATGCTAAGTCACCATGTTCTTTCCTTCTCCTTAATACTTTGTGCTCACTGAAGGACACTGGTATATCAACATGTGGACGTGCTGTACCAAAACCCCTTTGTATACAGGTAGTAGCAAACTTAGCAGGGTACTGGTGGTGTGTCCCTTCACCAGACTATCATCTTCTGTAGGGCACAGCCAGGGCCAAACCTTCTGCAGCTTAAACTGGATTTCTCTCCCCATTTAGTGACCTTTGGGGTTTGCATCTCTAGACCCCAGGAGCTTTTTCCAGTTTGTGGACTCTGTGTCAGACATCCTTACAGTCATGTGCAGCAGGTCCAATACAGAGAGAGCAGATAAAAGGGTTTGGTAAGCAAAGTGACAGTCTGGAGTTAAAGCTTGAATGAAGAATGAAAAAGGAGCATGTAGGACATACTACCTTGGGTGGATGCCTGAGCCGGAAGTCAGTGGAGATCAGGGTGTTGTGCTCCTGTAAATAAAGGATAAGCCTCCAAGATTTCCTTCCTAACCAAGTTATATTGGAGCCGGCTCTATTTTCAGTGGCTGTTGGTTCCCCTGTTGACTCAACAGTTGGTTCAGTGCCATGAACAGGTAATGCAGATGGCCAGTCTGCTGCTGGAAGAGAAGTCTCACTTGAATATAAACTCCCAGCCCACTCCTAGCTAACTGTTTTTTCTTGAAAAAACAGAAATGATATCCTCAGTCCACCTGTCTCCTGTGTTAATTGTGGAATTATGGAACAAAACTCTTTCCCTACAGAATTCCTCACTGTTTATTTCTACCTAGAGTTTTTGTCTCCCTGCAGCATGGGAATCTATAGTAGTACTTAGCTGGTTTTTTGGTGTTTTTACAGTGCTCAGAAAATTTGAGAGAGCTCCTGCCTCCAGCCTGGTTTATGGGTCAGAAGAAGCTCAAATACTTCAGTCTCGGTCATTTGGGAGAGACCTGCAAAATCCAGCTTTTCAGTGCATTTCAGGTGAGGAAAGCTCAGAAAATCCGTGGAGACAACGCTAACCATCATGGAAAATAATCATCCTTTACTATGATGAGCTTATAATCAAGTTCCTAAATGAAATTAACTCTATATTTTGCAGTTCAGCACCAATTCACTGCAAGGTATTTACAACTTTTGGTGACCCTGCTTCCGGGAAGAGACTGGGCTCTCTTTCAGAAAGAAGTCTTCTGACTTTACATACCACTTCAGACAAGTCAACTGACTTTAAAGCCAGTTGGTACACGTTGCAATACAGACAAGAGCTGAGATTCAGATCAGGAAACATTCATCAGACTTTCCAGATGTGCAGACAAAACATGGATTAGGTGTTCAGAACACGTGAAAACCAATCTTTCCCCTCTTCCCTAGTTACCTGATTGGCACATAAAAGAGGAATAATCATCCTTGCTTATGTCACAAAGGTATTATAAGGAGTGCAGAGGTATTTCTTTGCCAAGCTTTACAGTGTAAATACTATTTTACATCTGGACACATCATGTTTGCTGGTTTATATTGGTTCAAAGTAATCTAAAAGCAAGTGAAATCATTGCACTGCTTTCAGGGTGCTTTGAATCAGTCTCACCTTCTGCTTCCTAATGCTCAGACTGTGAAAAGAGATAAGAGGGTTATGTTCAAAATAAAAACACCCTGGGAGGAATAGCAAATGTGACAAAGTCAGTGGCTTTTGTTCACATACCGTGGTCTAGATGGAGCAGTCATCTCTCGTGCCAAGATGTGAATACATAGAATCATAGAATAGTTTGGGTTGGAAAGGACCTTAAGGTCATCCAGTTCCAACCCCCCTGCCATGGGCAGGGACACCTCACACTAAACCATGCCACCAAAGGCTTCATCCAACCTGGCCTTGAACACTGCCAGGGATGGAGCATTCACAACCTCCCTGGGCAACCCATACCAGTGCCTCACCACCCTAACAGGAAAGAATTTTCTCCTTATATCCAATCTAAACTTCCCCTGTTTATGTTTTAACAAGTTACCCCTTGTCCTTTCACTACAGTCCCTAATGAACAGTCCATCCCCAGCATCCCTATAGCCCTCCTTCAGATACTGGAAGGCTTCAATGAGGTCTCCACGCAAAATGAAGCCTTATATGTTGCTAGAATGATTTTCCTGCACCAGATCATCCCTTACCTGTATGATGTAAAGTTTCTTGCATCTTCCTCTGAAACTGAGCAAGACACCAAGCTGAGAGAATCATGGGAATGAATTTAGGGAAGAAAAGACATCCCTTTGACAAGCACTGATTCAGTGCACATAGCCTGTGTTTTCATTATAAGTTACATCCACTCTCAAATGACAGCAGTTCTACAAATGCTTACTGCTGGGGTGGTCACTGAAGGGTAAGAGTTAATCTTTCCCTTTGCTTCCTAGAAGTCAGCTAGCTTAGCTTGGATTCCCGTTATCATCTGATCATTTCTGATGACACTTTGATTTATGCTGGTTGAATTTATTCTAAAGACATTTGGAAACCATTTCACCTCCTGCTCTAGGAGCAGAGCTGTGGGAGCAAGTGATTGGTGAGTGTGTGAGGGCAGAAGGATCTTCAGCCACCCCTAAATCTGGAGGGGGTTGGCTGCTTGCTCCCTTACGCTGGCCAGGTGATTGCTGCAGAGGCAGCTGGCACAGTTGAATTTGATGTTTGCTTCCTTCCTATTACTCTGATACTGCCACAACCTGTTTGCCAGGGGCTTACTGTATCGGGGAGATGTGATGTGCTGGCAGGCTGGTTCATGAGAGTCCTCCCTGCCTCCCTCAAGCAAAGGTATCCAGCAGACACTAAATGTTTGGATGAGTGGTTAGACCTAACTCAGCTGTTTGTATCATTAGGTGATGAACAGCTTTTTTCATTAAATTGAAAAACCTCACCTTCTACTAAAATAGTTGAATACTAAAGTTCATCTGGCTGATGAAATTCATGTGCTTGCAGTGCAACAGACATAAAAAATAGGCAAATATCAGTAAGCAGTGGAATTTGTAGCAGAAATTTTGCACATGCAATGCTAGGAAAACAGAGGTTTCTTTCCCATTTTTCAGGCTGTGAGATGGACGACGCATGTGGTTTTGTGGCTGTAACTCCTGCTGGTGCTAAAGTTCTCTGTGAATTATACAGTGCTGCTGAAGTCAACTTCAACTGCATCACCTCAGGATTGGTAAAAATGATGATATCTAAAAACATGTGTTTACCGTAATACTGTACATTCAGTGTAAGTACATGGCATTCCAGAAGAAAGGCAGGCTCTTACCTGAGCCCTTGGACATCGCTCTTCACTGTGGCAGTAATAAATTCCTGCAAGATGGTAAAGAAGCTACACCCAGATGTTTCCAGAAGTGACATCCGAATGCCTCAGTGTTTGGTTGAAACATCACACAGCGCTTTTGCTCCTAAAACATGCTGCAGTCAGGAAAATGGGTTAACTTAAAGAGGGTTAATCTGGGTAATCCAAACTATAAGTATCCAAGTTGGTAATCAGGTCACCTGAAACAGTCATTTCTCAGTCCCTTCCTCTAGCCCAGGGTTTGAACAGTGGGCTCTTTAGCACTGTAACCTCTTCCTATTCACTACTTTTAAACACATCAATGTAGTATTGAAGAGTCAAGATCTGAGTTTGAGGGAATTAAAAATGTTCACACTGGGCCAAATCTTTGCGTTGATTCCTCCCTCTGAGTTTCTGATTAAGGAAAATGTGTTTTAGGGAGAGGAAATCAATCAGGTTGTATTGATTGTGCATGCCTGTCTTCTGTCTCAGGTGCAAGGTGTTTTGGGGAACCCTGATGCCACGGGCATTGGTCGTCTCAGCTGTCTGATTCATGTCAGGAATCCTGAGGGAGATGCAGTGATGGTCTATTTGAAGAGAGGTACCAGATACAAATCACTTCTCTGTTGTAAGACTGCTCTGCCCAAACTTGTAGTTACTTCTATATAGGGTCATATCTAAATGTGGGGAGCATCTTTATTTAAGAAGACATAATACTTTTTCAAATCTTAACATTTAGTGCTAGACCAGTCTGAAAGCAAGCCAAAAGTATCCTGCATCCTCTTGGGTGGTTTTGACCTTTCTTTCCTGTTCTTTCTACCCAGAACAGAAATTTAACTCATCTGGACTCAAGACCTTTGAAAGGACCAGTTTTCAGAATGTGCTTTCTGGCGTGTATCGCTCCATGGTGCTCTCAGCAGCTACAGCATCTCTGACTGATGCTCAACTCTTCTGTCGGCAGACATGCAGCAGGGACTCTTGCTGTGATGGCTTCATCTTGAATCAGAATGCGCTTGATGGAGGTATTGTCTAAGTGCAAAACAAAATAACTTCACAGTGGAAAACCAACATTAATTGAATACAACTCAGTTTTGGATGCAGTGTATTTTATATCATACCAGTATCGGCAGCTTGCCTCTACATCAGTAATCTTTTCTGGAGTAGGCAAAATTTGAGTAATACAAATGCATTGACCTGGAGCAATACGGATAAAGACCTGATGTCGCAAGCTGCTCTTGGAGAGAAATTGACATTTTGAAAGGATAATTCTTTATTTAAACATCTGCATCCAGATGAGCTAAATAATTCTGAAAACACCTCTTTCCTTATGTAGAGCAGCTCAATTGCAAGAAGGTTCTTTTCAGGTGATGGGACAGTTAAGATGGTGTCTACAGACCTTGTGGTGCAAATGTAAATCAGCTCCCTTTTTGAAGCAGGAAAAGAGGATGCTAAACAGGGAATTACGTTCTTGCATGCAGAAATGCTACGATCTCCTAAATCTGGATGTCTAGCTAGGAAAACAAGTGGGGGTGGGATAGACAGTCTGACAGTGGTGGGACTTAGGAGGAGCCCAGATTCCTGCCAGAAAATTTAAGCACTTAATGTGCTTAAGAAAACAGTGCCTGGTTTTTGTAGTTTCTTTTCATGGTCACGTGGGATCAACTTTCCCTTTGGAGGTGGATTTGCTATAGAAAAAGTGAATTTCCAATTGAGATGTCTCAAGATTTTAGAGACAGGCTCTTACAAATCCGGGCACGTGCTACTGGCTGCTATGTGGCAAGCAATTCTCCAGTTTGGAGTGGAAAAACTGATCCTGGAATTGAGGAAATGTCCTCTGTGGAAGCTGCCAAGCAAATGTTTCCAGAAAATTATTTTTTGTTTTGGCATCTAATGGTTTGGTTTTGCTTTGTTTTTTTTCCATCAAAATAGTCCAGGTGATCTTGTAAAGCCCATTTCTCTGTAGAGAAATTTTTGGGTTCTCCATACTCGTAAGAGTGGAAGGGGATGTGGAGAAGGTGAATGCTATAACAACAACTCTGTTTAGTTGGGGTGCCCTATTTGGATCAATACCAGAAGTAAATGGGTTACTTGGACTGGCATTCCATTTTAAGAAAAAATAAAAAAAAAGGAAGAAAAAAGCAGCATATTCATAGAATCATGGAATGGTTTGAGCTGGAAAGGATGTTAAAGCTCACCTGGTTTCTATCCCCCTGCCATTAGCAGGGACATCTTCCAATATATGAGGTTGCTCAAAGCCCATCCAAACTGGCCTTGAACGCTGCCAGGGATGGGGCAGCCACAGCTTCTCTGGGTAACCTGTGCCAGCGCCTCAGCACCCTCACGGGGAAGAATTTCTTCTTAATACCTAATCTAAGTCTCCCCTCTTTCGGTTTTAAATCATTCCCCCTTGTTCTGTATGCTCTTGTAAAATGTCCCTCTGCATTCAATATACCCAGTCCGTAAAAACAAGCCAGTGAGAGCATTGTAAAACTATAGAAACATGTGACAGCAAGTGCAGAGCAAGAAGCTGAGTATTGTCTAGAAGTCATGGTAGCAGACTGATGCCAGAACACCTGGCTTTAAGCGTGCTGGTCCCCCTGCCTCACATTGTGATGCTGGAGGAGACTCAGGCCCGCGCTGACTGAAATCAGACACCAATCCAGGAAACCATCCAGGAAAAATAGAATTGCTTTCTTGGTTCAGAGCCTGAGATTGTGAGACCGCCAAAGGCTTGGATATGTCTCCATGGTGCTATAAAGTGCTGAGAACACTGTTAGGTATTATCAGATAATAGTAATATTTTATTGGGTGGTAATGGGGTGTGCTTGAAACCTCTGAAAGGCAGGCTACAAAGTTTGGGTATGAATGGCTACCCTTAGTACTCTAATTTGAACATATGGGTTTTACTTTCTTTTTAGTAGCAATACTAGAACTTACCTATCTCAGTGACACAGGATCAGTTGGCATTTAGAGAAAGTATTGGGATGCTCAGGTGAAAAGCTCTTTGTAGGTGCAAAGTATTATTGGAGTGATGCAACTGTCTCTCTGCCTGAATCTAGGTACCATTTTGTGTAGTTTGATGAGCTACCCAGATGTGCTGATCTGCAGTGTGAATGGCTGGAGGCCAACACCAACATCACTCATAGATCAGATATGTAAAGGTGTGACCTATGACGAAAGAGAGACGATGTTTTCCTTCACCCTGGGAGGACAAATGTTCAGTGGAAGTATGTCAATGAATTATCTCAATTTACATTTGAGGTTACTTCAGTCTGATTTAAATTAAATTTAAAATGATTTACATTTCTTTAATTCTTGTGTAGCTCCTGCCTTTTTCACCAATCTGCTCTTGTACTTCAGTGCTTTTTTCTCAAGTAAATCCATATGTATACAATCAGAAGAGAATATGAACTCTCTAACTGGATGCATTGTTAGACAGACGGGCCTCTCACATTTTACTGTGTGAACATAAGTGAAAGTCAAGAATGTGTTTACTATATCACCCTGTAATACTTCCAGTACTTCATTAGGGCAGATTCAAGAGAATAGTCTGAAAGAAAGATAAAGTCTGGAGCAACGATAAAAAGAGAGATACCCACAGCTGCACAGAAAAAAACAGTGATGGGTAATAGAATAAAGTTTTGGCATCCTGGACTCAGACTAGCACCAGGACACACAGGACCTTTTTCCTTAGCATCTTGTATCATAAATAAGGGGGGGCGTTGTCTAGTGATGTGTTTTTAATGCCGTTTCTGAGCATTTCAATACTACTTGTTTAATTTGAGCAGCTCTTCTAATAAACTTGTTTCTCTATTAGCTTCTAGGTTGGTAGAAGCAGCAGAAAGAAATTTTACAACCTTTCAGCAAGTTTACCTATGGAAAGGTGAGATATCTCATAGAAGTTGTTACTAAAAGCTTATGATGAACTGTAGGCAGTGGCAGATGTGTGGTTTATAATGAAAGTGTCCTTCTCAGTTTATTTTGTATTGTCCAAATTGAAGCACTACTCAAAAGTCATTTCTGGCAGGGGTGGGTGTAATCTGGAGTAATTCTGGAACTGTAGTTTCAGAATATTTGGGTAAATTCGTGTGTCTGAGGATGTACTTTATAACTTTTAATACCTGTGAAAATTGTATCATGGAGACATTTCTCATGAAAGTGAGACATGTACACTTTCCAGGTACCATAATAATTTGGCACTTTGTTCTATAGCTATATAGGTTATTTTTATTAGCATGGTAACCCTGTATGTGCTATTTTTGCAAGTTTACGTTCTGAATGTCACAGCATACATAGCAGGACCTGCCAAATGATTTGTGATGCTGCTTTAAAAATGTACACAACCTCCAGAGCACTGATGCTGAATGCATAGTGACTGTGGGTATCGCGTTTGCTTTCATCCTCTAAACAGCACACTTTGATTTAGGTTTTCCCCAGAGTTATATGGAGATGGTTTTACTCATATTTGATTCAACAGTTGGTGGAACTATCTAAAGAGTTTATCTAAATGGTGCACGTTAAATTTTGGGACCTAAGGATGATACAGTCTTAATGGAAGAAAGATAAAGGGAATTACTATGCTCTTTAATTCTTGTTTCATTCCAGGCTCTGACATGCTCACTCGGACTGAAACCGCTGCATGCAATACTACTGCTTTGAAGGCAGACAATGATCTGGAGTTATCAGGTATTACAGTGAGGGTAGACAGAGAAGACAGCAGAAGATATCAGAGTTTAACCAGAAAAAAAATCATATTTTGCCATATATGTATCATATGATATCGGTATTGTGAACTCCAGAGGTTTTCTGTTAAGTACAGGTTTTCTTTGAGGTAGGAAGTCCAATAAAGTTTTGAGAAACATCTTCAAAATGTAAGACTTCTGCTCTATGATTTTTATCTTCCTAGGACAGGCTGGAAATGAAAGTGTTAAAATGTTCTATGAAAGCTTGTTCTTTCAGACTTATGGAACTGTAATGACTCAGGAAATACTATTTGTCTGAATAAAAATCTCACATAAACCTAGGAATCAAATCCTTAGCCTAGGTACCTGGGCATATTTACTGCTACTGACAATGACAGTAAATATGATGCTTAGAGAAACTCAGGATGAAACTGCAATCAATCACAACTGTTTCTTCTGTGCATTATGGAAGTGAGGGGCCTGTGAAGTTCTCTAGTTCCTTCATTATTCCAGGGCCTGTGCTTCATTACACTGTCATGTATACATCCAAAATAATTTGTATTAATTCACTAGAGTGGCCCTTCAGCCCTGTAGTGCTAAGAGAGAGAGTAGTGGAGCCTATTGAGATCACTTTGGTTCATCTATAATGAACTGCAGTCTTTGCCGAGCAGTATTAATTAATACCTGAGAATTCAATACATGTAAAATCCTAACATGAAGTGAATTGCTGGGTTAGCTTATGTATTTGAAAGGAAGCTAAACTAAAATGCACATTTACCTAGTGGCACTCCTGTACAATTAGTGGTATTTTAAAGTCTAGGCTTAAAAATGAGAGAAAACTGCACTTAATGCATTGGGTGAAATTCTCTTGCATTTGCATGCCAAGGCATGAGTGCATCCCTCAGTGTTCTCCCTTTACCTTGCTGCAGCTGGTGATATCATTAGACATGAAACTATGTCAGGAATGCAGTTTCTTGCTCCATCCCTTAGTCTTAGCCATGACACAAACTGATTCAAGAGAAACTGAATATTGAAGTTAAGTCTTGAGAGGCAGCAAGACTTAAGAGATGCCTTTTTAAAAAGCTATGGATGCATCAAGGAAAATGCCTGCAGAGCTTTTATTACTTGTTGATTATCCTTAAAGCACGTTTTGTATTTTCCGATAGCAAAGGCACAGCTATTATGCACTCCCAGCATGTCATTAGGTTCTTCAGCATTTCAGCCGCAGTCATCAGTATGTTTTCACTTTCCTACTTTCATTTTCTGCTGGCTGTTTCAGTGCATCTAAGATAAAATACCAGAATCCCTCACAATATTGGAGTAACTGGCGATGAGACCTGCTGATGGCATTTGATACATAAAAAGGTGTTTATGAAGAAATTTGATCAGTAAAGAAAGCCCATTTCTTTCAATATCGGATCCTTATTTAAAGGGATCAATTTGAAAGCAGCCTGAAATAGCTGTGTGTTTGAGAGAGGGCTCAGGAGATGTAAAGCATTGCATACATGACTGAAAATCACAGGGAAGTGACAGAAAGAGTTATTTAATGTGGCCTTTGAGAGCATAAACTTGGAGAAATAAGGTTATATGACTGAAATAGGTATTAAGCTTTTTAAGAAAATTTTGAACAGGAGTAAAAGCTTCTCAAGGGAAAATAGGGAAATTGCTGTTTTATGCATTACTAAAACTAGATTCATTAAGGTATTGTAAACATTCTGAGACATTGTATTTCACTGTTAGGTAGATGTGTTGCATGACAGAGTAGAGAGACCCTCCTTATTTCTAGGGACTGAGATTTTCCTCTAGTTTTTAGGTGGTGGAAATAGCCTGACAACGCTATGTTGTGCAGTAAGGATGCATTGCCTCCACAAGCTTTAATAACTGTGGGTGGACAGTTCTGTTATTAAAAGCAGCCTTTGGGGTATGCTAAACCTGCAAAATGGTCGCGACTGTTTTACTGTGAAAGGCAGAATTTTATGTGTAAATAAAATTAATTTATTCCAGATCATAGTCGAGTTTCTTTGTGGGTTTAAGCAGTTTGTTTGTTTGAATCTCAGATTCCACAAAGAATCTTTTCTACCTAATGGACAGCAGCCAAATACAAAGTGGCCAGAACTATTCTCTCCCTTACCAGCAGTACTGGGTCTTCAGGCAGAAGTACTCAACAGAGGAAGCTGTGCTTTGGTGTCTCACAAGTAAGACATATTGGAGACTGTTATTCTGTAGGGAATAATTAACTAAAATCTTTGAATGGGTATTATGACAAGGATAAATTCTGGACTTTGAGGGTTTTTTTGGGAAAACACACAAAATTTTCGTGGAAGTTGCTAATGGGGTTTGTTCCTTACGATCTGTCTGATGTGGCAGAAAGGGTACCTGCCATTCATCATCAGGGTATCCCTGTTATGGGCAAGAGAAGTTGAAGATACAATTTATGCAATACTCTGCTGTTCTTGAAATGTACCTCTCAAAATAGATAGATAATGTAGTGGTAAAAAAAGAAAAGAAAATAAACTTTGGGGTTAATGGTAAAGTATATTTGGATTTGACAAACGGAGAAGAGTTTCTAGCTCTGACTACCAGGAAGGCAGAACTGAGCGTACTAAACAGTGCACTGGCATCGCTGTAAGACGTCAGTAGAGCTATGCCTGTTTAAAATTAAGAACTGATATATATTTACAGAAGCAATTGCCAGAGTAATTGAGAAATGGGTTTTATGGCTTTGTTTCTTTTCTGAAGGTGCAATATTACCCTGGGACAAACTTCAGTGCAAATTCCTGCAGGCAAATGGCTTGAACAACTGATTCTAAAAGTTATTTGTGTTTTTGTGTGATGTATGAACACTTCAGAACTATCTTTTGCAAAACCTTCCCAAGACATTGTAGACTTTATTGTCCTTTTTATTCTTTAAAGTAAGAGACACAGGGCTGATGCAGAGTTCTTTTATGATTAAACAGTTTGTATGTCAGATTTACTGAAAACAAGAGAGATCTTTATGGATCACAAAGTTAGTGACACCAATGCACTAATGTAACGCTTGTCACAACTGGGGAACATATAGCTGTGGTGTAGCTCTTTTTCTGTGCTCCACAGGCAATCCCTCAGTGTCACCAGAAACAGAATCTGTCCCTGTTTCCCTTACACTGTAATATAATAATGAAATTCTTAGTTGTTTGCTGATGGGCAGCTTTACGTGTGCTGAGGATATGAAGAGGTATAGAGGGGTGAAGAACTGTTTGTGACTCTTCATGCCTTTGCTTCCTAGGATGTGCACAAGAGGATGAGTTTTGTCGAATATCAGATATTCAGAACGCTGCAGACACATACGTTGTGTGTACCCTTTATCCAGAGGCACAGATTTGTGATGACAGCATTGATCAAATGCCAGAAAACTGTCGAACCGTGCTACCCTGGCAACCACAGACATTGTATCGTAAAATAGGCAAGTTTGGGGATTTGGATGTATAACGTGTGCTCTAACCCTGGTAATGCAAGCTAGTGTTTTGGCTCTTGATTCTCAGATAAAAAGTATGTCTGTATGAATGATTCCTCGGGCGTGATGGTGGAAGGGGAGGTCAGGCTGTTCTGCACATGGATTTTCATTTTCAGTTCAGTTCCACTCTCCACCTTAGGTATTCCCAATTCAGAGAGGCCAAGGGTAGCTCAGAAAATTTGTATACCAGGTCTTAGATCTTATAATGTGGCTGAAGTGGGAATGTCATTGGGATGTCACAAATCCCATTTTCTACCATTAAGTAGTAGGTAAGCAATGCAAAACTTGAAAGTACTTGATTGTAATTTTGTTAATTATTTTACTGAATCCAGAGTTATGGACATGTGGATTTTAACCTCTGCTCTTTGAATGCCTGGGAAGTTCAATGATTTTTCTCATAGGGCTTCTGTGAGGAAGCTGAACAAAAAAGACCGTTACCACTGTACAGGAACATATACTTTGTAAAGGTCCATTGAACTACATTATTAAATCATGTCTTTTCAGTGATCCCAAAGTGCAACACAGGTTGATTTTCACATTAGTGTGATAACATAAAATTATCCTTTAATCAGTCAAGACCATTGTAGCGTAAAAACATAAACTTTACCCTTAACCATGTTATGACTTAACCAGTATATGGAAATTACAAGATTAAGCTGATTTTCCCAATTTTCTTTTTCCTTCCAGTCACTCTAAAAGGTTCTGTGAAGAGCTTCTACACACGCATACCATTCCGGAAAGCAATGGGTATCTCAGTGAGGAATACAACTGACATGAGCAGAAAAGCTGTTTCAGATGGGTAGGATGACACTGTTTTTACTGCAAGTTTTAACTAGTCCTGGAATACCAAGGTCCTGTTAAGCAGATGAAGGGCATCAGACATGTTGATCCAAGAAGTTATAAATAATAATGTATATAATTAGTCTTTACATATATGAGTTCTTACTTATCCTTCTATTAAATTGCTGCTTGGTCAATTAAATCTCTTGGCAATAATGCAACGATTTTAATAGTTGATATTTATATTTTTAGGGCAGATATCAAAATAATAAAGATATTAGGTGTTGTCTGACAGATGTCAAACATATGTTTGACAGGGGTCAAACGTAACTTCATCTACAAATGGAAAATGTGTGGAAGTGTCTATGCAGTATGGAACGTATAAGAGCTGTGAATAGTCTTAGTTTGAAAGGCATCTCTGCAGGTTCTCAGTGTTTCTCCCCTATGCAATATCCAGTCTCCTCCATAACAGAGATTATTAATGGTACTGAGAGTAATGATGTTTATCCTTTCCCAGCTTCTTTGATTGTGAGCGTTGGTGTGATGCTGACCCCTGTTGCACAGGATTTGGCTTTTTTAATGACTCGCAGCTATCAGGTATTTTTTCACTATTTCCATTTCTTAAAATCATTTTAGTGTCTCTTTATTATTCCCAACTTCACTATTCTTTTGCTGTGAAGGGCACTTTAAAAGGAGATTGATTGCAGATAAAGGTTTCCTATCTCTTCCTTAGTATTTTAGCAACTTAAGACATCTCAAGTAGGATTTTGATCAGTCTGAGGAAATCACAACTTTAAAAGTATGTGTGATTTGAAAGCTATTAGAAAGTCAAACAAACACATTTACTCACCTGGGATGGCTAACTTACAGGATGTTGTCACCCTATGCTCCCTCTGTAGTCAGCAGAGAGACGTATAGACACAACTATGGGGTCATTAAGAGCTTTGGTTGACTGAATCCTGTTCTGGAGGTAATTTTCTTTTGCTCCACTTGCTGTAAAGGAAGTGATTTGTTTAAAAGAAAGATTTAGCAGGTGTTTAAAATTGGATGCTACCTAGGTCAAAGTCAATTAAGTAGTTTTTAGTGTTTTATTCCAAATTTAGATTTAGACTACTAAAATAACTAACTTTGGTTTTGGAAATGTCAAGCGCTAATCATAGAATCAATCATAGAACAATAGAATGGTTTGGGTTGGAAAGGACCTTAACATCATCCAGTTCCAACCCATCTGCCATGAGCAGGGACATGTCTCACAACTCTCTCTGAGGCTATTAGTATGTGCTGATTTTACAATTCCTGTGGGAATTCGGAACACTTTCAGAAATACATATTTTTAATTCCCTTTTCTGTTGAGCAGACATTATTTTCACTTAGTCAAAAATGAGTAGCTTGGAAAATTAATCCAGTGCAGTTTAGATTGGAATTACTGCTCAAATCAAGCATAGTTGACAGTTTTCATATGTCCGTAGAACAGTGTGAAATTTGAAGTCTTAATTGAATATGACTTTAAGTTTCTTTAAATAGTTCTAAAATAAGGATTTTCAAGCACAAAACATGCAAAAACTGACACCTCTTAGCTTATTTGATTAATATGTTTAATCTGTGGCATTTCAGCCATCACGGCCTGGCATTCACCTACTCAAGGGAACTTTTAGTGGTGACTTAGCATGAGCTAGTATAAATCTTCAATGAAATGAACTTCGAACCCTCCATTTTTTCAGGGACAGAAAGATTTACACTAGGTCTTTGAAAGGCAGAATTGTTATCTTGATGTAAGTAGGGGCTGTGTTCCAACATACATGCAGATTTTTAATTTCCAGGATTGCCATAGCCAGAAAGGTCTGCTTGCTCAAAAATAGTTTCTAATCTTTGGTCAGTGGAAATGCTTAGTGATCTTAATAGTTTATAGTGTTGGTGCCCACCTTCTTTCGCATTGAATTCACTGTGATTTTTCAACACTATTTGCAACAGCAGTAAAACTTGGCCCGTTTTAGGTATTTCCTTGTTTTGATTTCTAAGTCAGTAGAATTCCTTTTAACAGTGCTGTATTCATTTTCCTCAAAATACTATCTAGAAGAGGAAAATTTTCCTCATCATTTTTATAAGCATTATTTCCCTGGCAGGTGGAAAGATAATGTGCCTGACTCTGAACAGTTTAGGAATCCAGACATGTGCTGAGGAGACAAGAAGTGCTTGGCAAGTTTCAAATTGTAGTTCACCAGATGCTGAAGTCAGAGTACACCCATTTGGCTGGTATCAAAAGCCTGGTAAGTGAATCAGGGCCTTTTTTGACTGGTTTCTGTACATTGAAGCTTATTAGCTTTAATGTATAGAAGCTCCAGCTTTCAGCTGGAGGACCCATATTTAAGAATCACAAATAGATAAGGCAGCAAGTATGTGCAAGGGAAAGGAAGGTGCAAATTAATCTTCATTTTAATAGAAAAGGAATAGAGGTATAATTTCATTTCTTGGCTTGTAAGGGAGACTTCTGGCCAGTGTTGGGACCCTAATATATTTTGTCCCACTGCACAGTCCTGGTCAGGGTATCATTCTTTGTTTTTCACTGTGTAGCTTATGGTTTAATAGTGTGTGTGGATGCATAACTTCAGAAGGTTTGGTTTGCTATGGGATTTAAAATGTCTGAAATATGAACTCAACCTGGAGCTTTTCAAGTCCTGTACTGGTACTCTGCTCATCAGCCCATCCATTTGCTCCTTTAGTGGGGCAACCCTTGTTACAGAGTAGAGACACCATGGAGCTGAGAGGCAGCATGCAAGCTTATGGAGAAAGATGGGCTGAGAGTCTAGCACTGAGGAAGGAAACAACAGCCCTGGTAACATAGGCAATAGCAGGAGCCTGTGGGCAAGGGGGACCTGAGAGGCAACCAGGGGTAAGAATGAAGAATGGTAGAAAGGTGAAGAGGAGATGGGAGGTGTAGATACACTTCCACTTCTTGGATTTATTTTTCCTGTCATTGGTAAGGAGCCAGCTAAAAATAAAGGAAGTTGCTCACTTCATGGGCAGAGGGGTGATGAAGAGGAACCTGGGGTGTATGCAAAGAGTAAAGTGTTAGGAAAGACGGTGACATTTACTTATGTAGTGAGGAACTGCAGATGTGTTTCCACTACAACACAGAGCAAGGCACAGAGGTTTATGCAAATGGAGATATTTGTAGACAAAAATTTGTATTAGTTGTACTGGTGTGTTGGGTGTCTGGGAGCCAGCAAGTGTAACAGAAACCCTCTGAGCCTTAAAGGGAAAATGAGTTAAATCTGGAGGAGGAATTTACTGTAGTGAGGCATTAGCATGAAACAGAGTAGTTGGTTTTAGTCCACAGTCCTGTTGTAAGAAGATACTTGTGCCTCCGCTTGTGAGCTGTTTGCCTGCTCGTTTCCACTCATAATCAATTACACATAAGGTGTAGTCATGGTTGCAGCTCCGTCAATGAGGAATATACTTTAGCATTTTAAAGAAAGTTCTGGATAGTTGCAGTTCTTCATTCCTGACAATGTGAATGGTAAAAGGCCTTTTTTTATCTTTAGAAATGTCCATTGGTTACATGCAGGGACAATGCGAAGTGGAAGAAGCAAACAGGAAATCCAACCTGTCTTTAGTTTTACAATCCCTACAGCATTCAATCTGTAGAGATCATAATGTATTTTGTCTTAGTAGAGAATCTATAGCTGATTTGATTAGCCAAAGTGGTTTACAAAATATGAGTGCACAGGGGAAACTTCTTGTTTGTTATTTAAAATTATTTAAATACTTAAAGATTTAAAATATTTAAGGGGAATATTAGCAAATGAGAAGTTTTCTGTGTGGAAAATATAAGTGATTATTGGAATTCTAATTTAGAAAGTTTCCTGCTGGAAACTGACTTGTTCTTAATACTTGTTTTGAGAAATTCCGGTTTGCTAATCAGGAGGCAGGGGAAATCTCGCGTCTCTTGTGATGCAGAAAACCAAATACAGAGAGGGGCATGGAAAAAAGCCCACAAAACTACTGGAATGAGTTGCTCCTAAATAACTGCATTTTTGGAGAGTGTTTGTAGGAAAGTTTATAAATTGAGAAATTTAGGAAAGTGTGATGTGAAGTATGAGCTCAAAAGCGCTAGATAGCAAAACAGCCTTGCATCCTTACTTTTGGTATTTGTGGTGAGAAGATGCACCATTCAGATCCCAGCAATAATGCTGGCAATACTGAGGTGTTGATTACATTTTAAACCTTCAAATGTAACTGTTTATAAGTGTTTTGGGTTTTTCTGCTTTTAGCTGACCTGAAGAACACCATGCCTAACCTCTGTCCGCCTGTTAGCTCACCTCTCAGGCCAGAAAGGGGTAAGTGTATTCATGTGTTAAGCCGAAAAAAAAGAAGGAAACATCATTTATTTTGTGTGCTTTTAAAAGATCACACTATAATGAAGTCTTTCTCTTCACATGAGCTTACTCATTCAGGTATTTACTCATTTTTATTAGTTTTTTATCATTTAAATGGAAGAATTGTCATCCACAATGGTGGCATAATATCTCTCCAACTCACTGCCACAAGAGGTCACTGAGGCAAAATATTTGGTAGGATTGATGATGAACTGAATCATTTGTAAGTGTGAATGTCACATCACTTTCAGTGGATAAAACTTCATATTTTAGTGCAGTGGCCACTGAAGATAAGTTCTGGCAAGGGTAGGCCCCTGAAAAGCTGTTTATTGTGTTATTGTCCACAGTTGTCGGGTTTCTAGTGTCTTTCTTGTAGCATCTGGTGCTTGCAGTTTTTGTCAGCAGTACTGAATGCAAGGAGTGACAATGAGTTTTCGTTAGATAATATTAGTTAGATATTAGTTTCAGTAGATAAAAGCAATTGCAACAGAGATGCAAAGTCAAATTTAGAAAATCTAGTTTTCCCCCCCAGAAAAGAAGATGAAAGGGGCAATTACTCCAGAAATTAGTGCAGGTTTATACTGCTTTATTAGTGGTGCTAGAGAAGAATGGTAAACTGTACTGCCTTTACTCCTTGTTTGTGGTTTCCTGCAAGGATGGGAATATCATCCCAAAGATTATTCAGAACTGGAAGACAAGAAAAGAAGTATTTCGGGTGTGTGTTGGGTCTCACTTTTGAAGAGACTCTGTAACTTGCTATGGCACCATCTTTGTTTTGGGAAGAAAGATTATTTCAGTCTTGCAGGAAGTGAACCTTGCGGTACACACATGCATTATTTTATAAGTGGGTGGACCCTCTTAATAAACGAAACTGAAGCGCTGTCTTTGTGTCTATTGCCCCCTAAAAAATATATGCAAATTGTCAATAGATACAGGCTTCCCTGATCTGTCTGCTCAATGCTGTGTGTATCCTTAAGGAAGCAGCTTGACTAGCCATTAGACACCTCAATTTAACCCTAAGGTTAGACTGAAATTGAGAAGTGTCATTGTCGTGGCCCAGGACAGTCATCCTTCTTGGTTTTCTTTCTGATCTAAACAGTTTTTAGTCAATTTGTGTCTGCCTTTCCTTAAACCATGACCTTAAGGTCCTTTCTAACCCTGACTATTCTATGATTCTATATGCAACTGAGCTTGCAGGAGATGGTTAATATTTGCAATGAATTTTCACTATCGAGTTCAGACTTTATGATAATTGCTTTATCATCATATCTATGACCACCAGTCATGATCATTTTCAGACAATTTGTATTTATTGGTAGACTTTATGCTTTTTTAAATCATCATTTTAATGTAATAGAACTCCTGTCTTTATAGGTAAGCAGAAATATTTGTGTGAAATGCTTTCAGGAGCCAGTGGGGTATGTGGAGGTTGGGCAGTTCAACTCCTTTGCACTGTTTTTCCTATGGGATGTTGAAAACCACTCTACTAAAGCTTTCTGTCTCCCACTGTGAAGCTTTCTTCTTCGCAGTGTGAAACTTCCCAGTGTGAAGTAGTAATTTTGTAATTTTCCTTTTATATTTTTTTTTTCTTTCTTAAATCTAGTGAAATTCTTAAATCTAGGAAAACAGTGATCTAAGCAGCACTTAAGGAAATTAGGCCTTTCTAACTGTCATTTGTTTTCTCTCTAAAGACTTCCCGTAAGGGAGCTACAGCAAGTGGGGTTATCTTATCTTACCCTTAGTAACAATTTAGATCTATCACACCCATTTCCAGGTCATCTTTCCAAACACAGAGCAATGAGGGATGTCTGTGGTTTACAAAGGTCTGGTTAGCCACCCAAGTGGGCAGAGCCTCCCATAAAGGGGCAGGGTTCTGGATTAGAGTGGTTCTCCTAAGGACAGCAGCTGTGGAATCATGGAATCATAGAACAGTTAGGGTTGCAAAGGACCTTAAGATCATGAAGTTCCAACCCCCCTGCCATGGGCAGGGACACCTCACACTAAACCATGTCACCCAAGGCTTCATCCAACCTGGCCTTGAACACTGCCAGGGATGGAGCATTCACAACCTCCCTGGGCAACCCATTTCAGTGCCTCACCACCCTCACAGTAAAGAACTTCTTCCTTATATCCAATCTAAGAAGGGGAAGTCACTGAGTCACAAAATGCATGGCTAGTCTGGAAGTCTAATTAACACTAGCGCCCTGTGGTCTTTGAGTCCCTCACACCAGTGTGTGCAGCAGCACATTCAAAATGCAACTGGGCACCATCTGCCCTTCTTATGTTCTGCGTCATTGCGATAGTACAAATACCAGCCTGGTTATTTAGGTCAGATGCTGTCTGTGTCATGTCAGAGGTTTGAGAAAATTTCCAAACACACTGTTTCCAAACTCTTTATGATTAAATACGTTATATTAATATGTAACATAGAAGATTAATTGTTTGAGAGTTGGGCATCACAGAAAAGCTAGCAGTGGCTGAATTTCTTATGTTGTGGTGTTGCTTGTACATGGGGAAAAAGAATTATTGTGACTTCTGTGTGGTAACCAGATGGTGAGTGTGAGAAAATGCTATTATTTAATGGGCACTGTTGTGTGTGTATGTATGTGTGTGTGTGCATGTAAGCATATATATATATGCACATGTAAAAAATATATATCAAAAGATCAGAAGATACTTAAATTTGAACGCTTTGCCAGAAGTCTCTGAACTAGTGAAGTTCATCTCATGTCCAGTTAGTCAGAGTTTACTGAAACACAATTGTGTCCCCTATTTCAGTAGGCAGTTAATGCATTTGACTGCCTCGTTTTTTAGTTAACTGGTTTGCAATACTCAATGTCCAGCACTTTGCTTCCTCCTATTTGCAGTCAGGCTGCTGACTCCATTCCAAGTCTGTGTTGTTTCAAGCCCAAACACCTTCTGAAGAAACCCAGATTAGCAGATTTAGTTTCAATCTTGAGGAAAAGTAGGAAAAAGTAATTTTACTCATTATTTTTTTCAATAGAGAGGGTAGAGGCATGTAGGACCATAGAACAATAGAAAAAGCCTCAACAAGAAGGATTTCTACATATACTTGGGCAGCAAAAGGAAGGGTAGAAAACGTGGATCTGCTGCTGAACAGCGCAGGAAACTGACAGCAAAGGATATGGAAAAGACTGAGGTGCCTTCTTCATCTCATTCTTTACCTCAAGTCCAGCCTTCAGACCTTTGAGATGAGAGGGGAAAACTGTAGCAAGGAAGTCTTATCCTTAGTGGAGGAGGATCAAATTAGGTAATAAGCTGGACATACAAACCTATGGGACCAAGCTGGCCTTGAACACTGCCAGGGATGGGTCAGCCACAGCTTTTCTGGGCACCCTGTGCCAGTGCCTCAGCACCCTCACAGGGAAAAACTTCCTAACATCTAATCCAAATCTCCCATCTGTTAGTTATATCATATATATCTTATAGGCTCCATTCCCATTCCATTCAAATCAAGTAATTAACTGTGAAACCACCGAGGCATATGTATGTAATGATCTGTTAGGCCCTTCTTGTTTCTGCCTCCTGTGATCCCCTAATGATTTATAGCCATTCCCTCGATGTGGTGCTGAGCAGTGGCTGTGGGATTTTCCTATGTGGGAATAAGTTTCCCATCTGACTATCTCAGACCTGGGGTATTTCTATTCTCAACAGTACAGGTACTGGTTTGCTGACTTTGCTGATTAGGAGTATCATTTGTCTTCCTGTTTTCCCAGAATGCTGAGGATATGTCATAGGATCTTTGGTGTGAAATAGAGGCAGCCTTCCTTTATCCACCCTCAGGAACTGATCTACCATGCCCCTGTACAATGTGTTGGAGCTCTGGTGCAGAATTTCTCTATCTTTAGTTTTTATTTTGATTTTCATTCTATTTGCAAACGTGAGGATTTTAGCCTTTTGAAAACAGCTTCTTTTAAACCTGGGTAAATATCTGGTACATTTTTGGTGTTCTATTACTCTATCTTTTGCTATAATTGACACTACTCAAGCAGGCAGAAAGTTTGCATTTAACATGGGCATAGATTGCTTACTGCTAAAAGGCATAAATAACACATTTGCTAGTTTGGCGCGTTTGGGGGGTGATTATAGGTATTATGCAGCAGTTTTAAGAAAATTACTCATTTTGAATTATTCAAATCTCAGTGGATGGACAAAAATGAGAAGCAACTCTTTTAGAGTATATTTTCTGCAGGTCCACTCTGAGTTGATGATTTTCTTGTTTTAGAAGGTGTTGCTGTACAGGCAGTCTTCATTGGAAAAAAGCCATCTCTCTAGGAATATAAAGCACTGAGTTCAGTCTGTAAGCATGTTTTTGACTTGAGTCAGGGCTAATAAATATGGCTATTTATTAAGCTATTTAAATATGGCTATTTTGTATTTGTTTATATATAAATGTAAATTTCAGAATTAAGATCAGAATGTTTTCAAACATAAATTAGGCACACTGAACCCTAGATCTGATTTATGTACCTCCTTAGCCTCATCTTAGCCTCATCTGATTTATGTCCCTCCTCAAGTTCATGAGATTTCTTTGAAGTTTAATTTATTTTACTGCATTTCTGTATCTCTGTGTCCTTATACCAAATGTCAAAATTTCCAGCAAACTCAGGACCGACCCCTCGTTGCTTCCACTGAAGTCAGCGATGAAACTTTTGTTGGCTTTGTGAAAAGGGGTTTATAAAATCATTGTCTGTGAAGTGGGAGGCTGAACTCGGTGTCCCCAGGAAATCTATTCTGGTCTTATAATTTGACTTAAGTGGGAACAAGTGCGAGACCTTTCGCAAATCCAGACTTAAACCTTGCCTACCCAAACAAGAACATCTGGAAGAGAGAGGCTGTCTGTATGGCACATCTATAATTTTGCAATAAAAGTTACAGGGCTGGCTGGATTCAGAATGCTGTAATTATCCAATGAAGGCATTTGCCAAAATGTGGTTTGGAATGTCAGAGCTTAACCTATATATAAACCAGGAATGTCTTCCAGCCCATCAGGTGCACTATGCATTTGCAGTAAAGCGGTGCCCAGTTTGTAGCTTTGTGCCTTGCAAGAGCAATTTCTAGATGAGGCAAGTTTAGGTCAGCCATGGAAAGCTCTGCTTTGCCCAAGTGGATGTGCATACCTGTGGCATTGCTGGATTTGCTGCCAGGAGAAGGGAAGAAGGAAACATCTAATAGCTAAATCTCCTTTGCAGCTAACTGCTGCCTGGCAATGTCCTCGGTGGTGCTGTGGATGGCTCTGGCTAAAAGGAGTTTGCTCTGTTATTAGAATAAGCAGTAGTGTTTCTGCATTGATCTGCATCTGGGGTCATCTGGGCAGAAGATCAGAAAGGGAAAACACTGGAACTCTCAGTATATAAATCTGAGCTTATGAATGCTTCATCCAGGACTAAGAATAAAAAAAGCCCACCCCAAACCAACCTGGGAAACAACCCCTGTGTGTTGGGAGGTTGCAAAAGTCACTTCTGTGAGATTTGGGGGTGAAGAATAAGCAAGTAAAATGTGTTTTAGGTACGAATGTACAATCTATGGATGTTTGCATCATGAGTGGTCACTCTTCTGTGCCTATCATAGGCTACAAAGTGCCCGTTGTGTCTTCTGTGTATTTTAAATGAATGTTATCAAGTCTGTCCCACATATAGGGATAATATAGAAGCAGGAAGTTTAGCTTGGGATCAAATGTAGAACACATTACATGTAATGACATTATGCACTCAGAAGCTTAGTTTGAGCACTTTAAAAAGATTTTAGTAGTGGTAAACTAGTAAATCTCAGGGAAATAGATACAGGAGGCAGAGTTCAAGTGTTAGAGGTGTAAACCCAATTCATTTATTTTGCTTTTGTGGATTTGTTTTGTGTTTCTTCTCTGAGAGAGCAGAATTTAGCTTAGCAAGAGCGCTCTGCATGTTTGATCTGTGGGCAAATGGAGGCATATGAGGACTGTGGGACTTGCCAGAGGTCACTCGGTGAGTCAGGGAATCTAGGGGAACAGAATCAGTCTGGTGAGAAATCTTCCAAAACCACTGATGCACCCAGACTTGTTGACTTACAGTGGAATCCAGACAAGGCTCTTTTTGGAAAGAATTACAGCTAGTAATTTAAAGCTTTGTGTCTGAACCTAGAGAGATTACTTGTTCCGTTAGTAGGACCTTAGTTACTAGTACTATACACAGTGCAAGATGACAGTATTGATCTGTAAAAAGAAAGTTTAAGTCATATTGATAACATAATTTTTTTTTCTTCATGTTTTCCAAACCAAAAATAAATAATAATTGAAATAATAAGTAATTGGAATAACAAATTATTGGAATAACAAATAATTGAAAACATTAACTGACAAGATATAATCTGGAAAAGTAAGACCTGGGGATCTAGTAGTGCAGGCAGATGATCTCTGGAGAGGATGTTACACTTTTAATTCTCCATCACTTATGGAGCTGATTTCTGTTTTTAAATATCTTTCTAAATAAATGCCACCAAGTGTCACCCTAGATGTGGAGGCTGAAATTTTCTAACATGGGTCATGGAACAGGTCATATTAGACAGTTTTAAAATAGAGAAACCATTGTCATATGAAATTTCCACATGACTAAAATCACTGCATTTGTCTAAAATAATTTAAGAGTCAGTGGTTCTGTTACAAAAGTCAAGCTGTGATTGCAGGGTTGTTGCTCCCTTACTAGTTCAGATTCCTGAATATAGTGCTGATGATGATAGAATTATAGAATGGTTGGGATTGGAAGTGTTCTTAAATCTAGTTTTAAACCACCTGCTAAGGGCAGGGACACCTTCCACTCGACCAGGTTGCTTAAAGCCCCATCCAACCTGTCCTTGAGCACTGCCAGGTATGCGGCAGCCACAGCTTCTCTAGGCAACCTATTCCAGTGTCTCAGCACCCTCATAGTGAATAATTTCATGTTACTGTCTAATCTAAATCTACTTTTTTTGTCAGTTTCCCCCTTGTGCTATCACTACATAAAATTGCAAAATGTCCCTCTCCGGTTTTCTTTTAGGCCTCCTTTAGGCACTGGGAGCTGCTCTAAGGTGTTCCTGGAGCCTTCTCTTCTCCAGGCTGGACAAGCTACATAATCAAGAATTAATTCTATTTCATATATATGTACACATGTATATACGCATGTGTATTACATGTATACAAACATGCATACTCACATATATGCATGTACATGTGTAAGCATAATCACGTGCATACTGTCTCTAGCATTCCTCAAGAATTATTCTTCTCACAGTGGAATTTAAAAAATGCAACAAACCTTTTTTCTCATACACAAGCAGCTAAAAATATCTGCAGGCTCTCAATTTTGCACACAGAAGTCAAAAAAAGAAGGCTTGGCCTTTAATTACCTTAGCTCCTTTCAACAGTTCAATGTATTCTCAAGGCAAAAGGGCCCTGCTGTGGCTACCAAGTCCTAAACAAGAGGTTGGTGTTACCCTCCTCATGTAATTGTAGGGTTAGGACAGAGTAGAGCCAGCTGTTGCCTTGCTATTCCTGGTGAGCCGATCTTGCCGTTGTTTGAATTTACCACACAGATGCAAAAGTTGTGGCCATTCATTTCATTAAAGGTTTCTTTTGGTCTTCTGAGAAATGGGTGACTGACAAAGACAGCCAAAGTTTCCTTCCTTCCCCTCCTCACAGAAATACAGCTGTGACCATAACACAACATCAGATCTGGAGTTCAGGTCAGGGGTTCATACAATCAGGGCTGTGGCATGCCTTCCCTGCAGCTTGGAAGCCCTGATGGTGACATACTTGTCCGGTTGATGAGAATGCAAGACCCAAAAGAGACCACAGACTAGGCTGGTTGCATCATTCCTTGAGCAAGTAAGCAGGGAATAGCAATTTCTAAATCAGATTTCAGAACTACTCTATTCCAAATAAATGGAATGATCAAAGGTTAACTGACAAAGCCCTGACTCTGTGTTGATGCTTCTGCAAGGTAAATCCTTCCCAAGACAATGTAAACTGCAAGCACAAGTTATCTCTCAGAGCACAAGCTCAAAAAACCTGATGTGCAAAAGAAGTGTGACCAGCAAGACAAGGGAAGTAATCCTGCCCCTTTACTCCTCTCTCATGATACCCCACCTGCAGTACTGCATCCAGTTTTGGGGTCCTCAACACAAGAGGGATGTGGACCTGTTGGAATGAGTCCAGAGAAGGCCACAAAGGTGATCAGAGGGTCCCATGGACTTGTGACCTCTGAAAATGGGACTGGATGCTCTAGTCAGTCAGAGGCCTTTGAATATTACATTAATTTATTCCCAGTTGATGCAAAGGAACTTCCCAATGCTTTTACTTTTGCATTATTGTCCTCTGAAGTTTTTCCTGATTCCTCTATTTATATTATTTTGTATGGTTCATTTTGCAGAGTATTTGGATATATGGCAACCCTTAAATGTGTCCTCTGTTCTCATGGATTCATCCATCTCAAACTTTGAAGTTGTGCAAGTTAGTAGAGATATATCCAATTACTTCTCCACCGCCAGAGAATATTGCCTATCTGGTAAGAAATGATTCTTTATAGCTTTAAAGAAGATACTGGCTTGTGAACCTGAAAAACCACGAACAACTTCCCACCACCACTTCTGACATAGATACACCAATTTTACTTGTTTTTAAAGACTACCCCAGTGTTTCTGGGTTTGAAAGAAGGGAACTGAAATAGGTTATCTAATGAAAGATACAAGCGACATAAAACGTTATTGAGTGATTGTGTAATTTTGACACCTCTTGGACACAAAGATCTCTTAGTTCTCTAGGCATTGGATAACTTGGAGAATATTGTGATGAATAATTAGAGGGGTGATGTCATTACTTTCTGAAGAACAGTTAATTAAAGCTCCTCAAGTGAGACAAATGAAGTCACCTACAGTTATCTAAAGTAACCTGTAGCTGTGTGTGTGAGGGCAGGTTAACCGAGAGCTGGGATGAAGCAGGGGTTGGGTTAGGCTGTAGTAACAGCCTATTTTAGTAACAACAAAGGAAACTACATTTTTCAGTATCCTGACTAGCAGCAAAGGTCTTTTCACTTTGCATGACTGGCAAATCCCCAGTGCCACAATGTGCTAGAAATAAGGAAAAGCTCCCACTTACTGCAGAAGATAGTCCTTTGAATGGTGTGGGGGTTTTGTGTTAGATGGTCCTCACCTTATGAAGGTGAGCAGTATAACTTACTGGTTTTCCCTTTTCCTGTAACTGTTTGAAGGATCCTTTCCAAAGGGGAAGTGTTGGATACCCACCTCTAGGTACAAACTGGGTGATTAACTTTATCCTGCTTGTTTACTGTATATATAGACATATGCCTGATTCGTGTTCGTGTGCTTGTTTGCTCTAGTGTGCTTGTTTGCTTTAGTGTTATAATGGATGGGAACCTGAGAGTTGATTTCTTTTCATGACTGAGAGACATAACAAAGTATGGTTTTTGTCAGAGTATATTCGGTAGAGTATATATGTGTATGTTCCTTGTGACTGTTTGTTGGAAGGAGCAGTGAAACAGAGATGTTCAGCTGCTCTGTGACCTTCATCATTGGCCACACTGGGGCCAATGCTCTCGACATGGACAGCAGTGGGATCATGAGAAACTGCAGGGTGCCAATGAGTAAACAATGACAGAGCTGGCATAAAGCCGGTTATTTTTCTAAAGGTATAAAATCAGGACCCTCTTGTAACTGAATCCGAGGTCCCACCTATGGGTGGATGCACAACACAGGAATTTCCTAATTACCTGAGACTCCTGGCATTGGCTGCAACGGGGCTTCCCACCTTGAAGTGTGGGCCTGGATAATGGTTAGGTGGTAATTGGTCATGGATTTCTTCTTAATCACTGTTCTCTCTATGCAGTAATGATTTGATGTATTGCTAATTTTCCTCTGTGCTATACACTGGGATCCGTGAGTGAATCACCTTTCTTATTCTGAAACATTTCCCTGGGGCTCTCTTCAGCTGAGGTCCTCAGTACTTTATTAGATGTTTTTTCTTTTCCTAAAGCCTGTGATACCAGTTTTCTTGATGTGTTGCTTCATTTTAAAGCAAATATAACCTTTTGTCCTTCAGCTGTTTTGGAGAATATTCTGGGAATCTGAGAACATTTATGTCCCATTATTCTGTTTTATAGCTACTTCATATTCTTGTTTCTTGACCCGTTGTAAAACCTTTCATTTAAACATCTTATACCAGTGTCATACAAAATACTTTGGGAATACATTTTTACCTGCTCTTTTTCTTCATGTTTCACTTCACAGCTTGTTCAAAGAACCAGTCATGTACAGTAGTTACACTGGAAGTCCAGCCTTCAGCAGTCAGATGCCTTTTTTACCCTGATACTCAGATATGCACACATGGTCTTCAAAGACACAGCTGCCGGCTTTTAATCAAAGAACCAGCTACATATATCTATAGGAGACGAGGTAAGAGCAGGTTAAGGCTGTGGAGGAAGGAACCGTGGTGGCCTGTGCACAGTTGTTGCGAATGGAAGAGTGAGGATATCCTCACTAGACATAAACCACTACGGATATCTCCCGGACAGCTGTCCATTGCCATTTCAATTGAGTTACAGCCAAGTGAGATGGGAAAATGTCCCAAAAATGTATGAAAAAATTAATGTTACCTTTTAGTGTTGAAGCAGGTATAATAAAGCAGGTATAATAAATCAAAAGATGTATTGGAAAGTGCAGAATGGTCAAAACAAACAAACAAAAGCAGTAATGAAAGTCCAGCTCCTTCCTTTTCATCTGCGGAAGACGTTTCTAACAGGGGACATTTAGATTGGATATAAGGAGGAAATTCTTTCCTGTTAGGGTGGTGAGGCACTGGAATGGGTTGCCCAGGGAGGTTGTGAATGCTCCATCCCTGGCAGTGTTCAAGACCAGGCTGGAAGAGGCCTTGGGTGATATGTTTTAGTGTGAGGTGCCCCTGCCCATGGCAGAGGGGTTGGAACTTCATGATCTTAAGGTCCTTTCCAACCCTAACCATTCTATGATTCTATTACCTACAATTTACCTTAACTTTTTTGGGTGCAAAGTGGGAGGTGAAGGCAGTAGCAAGAATGTTCATTGCTTTTTGCAACATTAATGGATGATAGCAAATAAAATACATATCCTTCATACTTAGAATAATGCGAGCTCTTTGCTTGCAAAAGCCATGTCAGTGAGACACCAAAACAACTGCAGAACTGAAAAAAAAAAACCAAACAACCCAACCCCCCCGAAAAACCACTCCCCCCCAAAAAAAACTGTTGTTTTCACTTCCCTTCATTCCCTAAAATCTCCATTTAACTCTTTCATTTCCCATTCTGTAATTTATTAACTATTCTATGATTCTGTATGTTCTTTCTTTTGAACTCTGAGAATAACAGAAGGAGTGTTGAAAACCCACCGTCAATTGAAAGTCTTAAGAACCATTTCAGAACAAAACAACATAAAAACATAAAACAAGATGAACTAATATTTTGAAGAAGGGAAATGATTTAAGAGTGAAGTTGTGTAGACCGGTAAAAATGTTATTGTTTGGCTATGAACTTAATTGCAACTATAAATTTTATTGTTTTTTTTTCCCCTTGAGTTTAAAAGAGATTGCTTTCTTTTGTGTGATATTGATTATTTCTTTTATTAGAAGCAATTCTAATTGGTAAGGTAACAGTAAGGGTAAAGGAAGAAATATTTCCTGTTCACTGAAATTTTTGCAAAGAACTGTCAAATTAATGAGAACCTTTTAAACTCAAACTCTGTAAGAGAAAAGGGGGTCTATCCTTGTCAAAACCAGCAATTCCTACACAAGAGTGCAGAGAATTTGGATATGGGTTATACCTTCTGTGGAAGCTCTTCTGTCTCACATGATGAAACAGGTACTAGAAAGGGGTATGAAATGCAAGGCTTTCCTGTTGAGAGTCCAAACCATTGAGTGTTGTGGTTATCTTTCCTCTCTCTGACCCGTTATAAAAGTTTAAAGGTTTAACGCTGTGCTTTTTAGAGCTTGGGGCAGGGGGAAGCCTGCAAATCTCTTTCCCTTCTTGTAGAAATGCTCAGATTTGTTATTCTAATGTGATGTCTGATCTGGAAGAAATGTTTGAGTAGGGGTTTGGAAAGTTTTCATATCTGGTAGCTAATATGTAGCATAGCATAAAGTATTTTATAGGGAAAAATTAACACAAATTTATCTATGTTTCATTTAAGGAAATGAAATAATCACAAACATTTTAAAATTAAGGGAAATGGGATTAATTTTCATTTCTGAAATGGTACTAACTTGAAAAAGCAAATTCTTTTTTCTTCCCCTCCTCTCCCCAATAGATTTATTCCTGTCCATTTCTGAATCGGATTTAACCCCATCTGTGTACCTCCCATCCCATGGAGACCTGATGGGCAAATCCCAGGTGATCCATGTTGGCTCGGAGTGGAAAAATATCATCCAGTTCTTGGGGATCCCATATGCTGCACCTCCCCTTGCAGCAAGGCGCTTCAGTCCTCCAGAGCCATTTGCTGGGGTGGAAACATGGAATGCTACTGTGGCTAGGTAAGAAACCCCTTTGAACTGCTTGTCCAGTCCATCCAGATGTGTGAAAATAGCTGGAATGATGACCATAATATTCATGTCCTGTTTTTCAAAAGAAGCAATAGGGTACAGATTAATACAAGTTTGGGGCTTTGTTTCACAAAAAGAATAATTACTCCATCTATATGTTAATGCATGCAAGCACCTCAAGAAAATAGGCAGATTCTACTACATTGCCTTAAGCCTATGCATAACTCCTCATCAACTGTCTGCTGTCAATCCCTGTTCATTCTGAGTCCTTATACAGGTAAATATAATACTTATAGAAATAAATCTGTAGCATATTTAAGAGACGGGGCACTTTAACACTGGTGTAACCAGAAGCTGTGGGCCTCGTATAGAATCTCCTATGTCTAGATCAGGCTGAAGGACCTAGATAGTATTTTCTGTCCCAAAACTATTAAGAGGCAAATACTTGCTAAATTGCTTGGGCAGATGTTCAGGAATTCTAAGTGTTTTAGGTAATGCCTTAAGAGGAAACTAGCACTAGGATCTATATTAGCAGCTAAGGTAAATTTCTCTTAAGTCTCTGTATCTAATGTTTCCCATTAGCTGGCCTTGGCTCTCCAGGGCTGTACAGACATCACTGCTTGGTGAGTTTAGGTTGGAGGCACTCTGTGGACATAGTCTTTGTGTGTCTGTCTGTGTTTCATTTAGTGTTATGATATGAATCTTAATTTTGTTGTGTGGCAGAACCAAAATGACAAAGTGTGGATGTGTATTTCTTGAAGAAAGAAGCATTTGGGTGACACTACCGGTATATCTGTGCTGTGGAATGTGTTAGGAGAGTGAATTTCTTTAAACAAAACAACAAACAAACAAAAAACCAAAGCATACAGAAATGCAGCAGCAACAAGAAACAAGCTATGGAAATGAAGTGTTTTTTATATGGCCTTTCTCAATGCGCCTGTGGTCCACATAATAGAAAGCAACCTACAGAGCAAATGAAACCCATCTGAGTGAGCCATGCTGCAGATGTATGCAGAAAGTTGATGCAGGAGAGCTGGTACCTGATCACATTGCTGTCGATAAAAAGCACTATTTCAAGGCAGATGTGAGGAGCTGAAATAAATGATTGAATGGAGATTGAAGGTGCAGAGCAGTCAAAAGGAGCCTGGTGGAAGGCTCGGTGAACTTTCTATAGAGGGAGTTGAAGAAATTAGGGCTGAAAGCTGATGTTTAGTGACTCAAGACCTTCCCTGAAAGCTAATGTGGACCTGAGGCCTACTGAGACCCTGTGTTATCCTTCCAGCCGTGCATCCTGTTCAGTTCCTGGCACCAAGAGTGGTCCTCATGTGGTTGTTGACAAACTAACTGAGCTAGCTGGTGTCTCCAAGAGCTTACAATGGTTAAGGGAATGGTGGATTTTGCAAGGGAGCTAGAGGATGGACACCCTGCAGCCCTGACATGGATCACTACCTGCTTCAGGGGAAGCACAACCTAAGGCTACAGATTTAGAGACTTGTCAGCTGTGTGGAAGCTATTTGGTCCCTTCATTACTCAGGCTTTGTCTTCAGGAGTTTCTTGCAAAGCCTATGGTGAACAAAATGAAAAGAGATGTGGTGTTGTCTTCAAGAGCTGAAAGAGAACCAGGCCTTTGGTAGCCTCATCCTTCAGGTTGCACCTGAGTTGTGGAGGTGTTTACAGCATAACCACAGTATCCATGCAGTCTTAGACTGTTGGAGGGATGTGGTGGGATGTGATTTTGTTTCCTCAGGTGCACGGTGATGTTAGCTTAGCACACACACCACCAGCTCCTTCTGTCTGCAGCCACAGCATAGTGTCTGCTAGGGCTTTGGTAAGACCCATCTGCATCTGCAGTCTGTCTTTGAGGACCTGCTGCCTGGCTGAGAGTTTTCAAAGCAATTTAGGGGTCTTAGTTAATATCCTCCCATCTTGTGAATTCTCAGTGCTTCCTTAGGCCAATGAAGAACTTGGCCATTATCTTTTAGTATTCATTTAAGGCTAAAAAAACAATTATTTGAGCTTATTGAAGAGAATCGAGGGGATCCCACTCACACACTATACACAAGTCAAAAAAAATATAGGGTCAATGCTTTCCATGCACACGGCGTATGGAAAGCATTGACCCTATATTTTTTTGGACTCGGTGTTGCACTAAATTTGTATATAAGAAATTCACGTTAGCACAGTGCCATTATGATGGAAGAGAAGAATTTATTTATCAGCCTGGTCCTGATAAAAGACTTAATAAAAACCCCAAACAAACTAAGCAAAACCAACCAAAACCGCCATCCAGCTATTGGAGTCTCCAGGTTCTGGAGGAGCTGTGGACTTGCCTCAGTAGGTGGCAGTCTTTCCCTGGAGTCAGTCTTGTCATGAGGAGATCCTGGGAGGTGAAGATGCCTATGGGTGATGATTCCTGCTGTCCTGTGGAAAGCTGTGTGATTAATAGCATGGTTCCTACCTGGGGATTCGTATTTTGTCTGCCTAAAATAGCTTTAGCAGTTTTGGTTAGATATGATGTGCTTCACTGCGTCAGCGTGAAAGCTGTTGAGTGATATCACCATCCTAGGAACCTCCCCTGTGGAAAGATTTTGTAGAACTACATTAAAGCTAGTCTTTTCCTTGTAGCTTTCTATTAAATTCTTCAGTGTGAAGTTTTATAAGGGCATTAAAAATTTAGATAATTTAGAAATAAATCTCTGAGATATTACTGTCCTTTCCATAGCCTCTTTTAGCTTCTTCCATAATAAATTCTCATGCTTTTCCATAACTCACTATGTGATATAAATGTAGCTGTGAAGTACAAGGAATTGGCTTCAAAATAGCTTTGATCTGAACTGCAAAAATCATCCACTTAATTCTTGTGTGAGTGCTTGAGCATATGAATCTCATACAGAAGATGGCCAGAAAATGATTTTCTGTATGTGGCTGGCTGCTGAATTCCTATTGAAAGGTTACTTTTACCATTGCTTGGCACTGTTTAATGTTGTGCTATGATGCTTAGAGCAAATGGGTTTTTAAAATGTGTGAAAATCTTAAACTTACCATATTTTCCCAAGGAACATTACAAGTTGAAATGAATAACTGACATTTCAGCAACAGAATGGATTACATAGGTGTGCAGGCAATAGTGAGGGGAGACCTGGGCCTGGGACCCCCAGCCCTTACATCTGGTGCTAATTTTTTGCAGTTTATGCAAAGTGTGAGTTTTCTGAGAGCTTACTTTCAAGTTCTAATCCTTTTAAAATGAGGCTGATTTTTCTGAGGGAAGGATTCTAGGCATGAAAATGTTTTGCATTTGTATGGGTTTATAAAAACCACCTCTATGTTACTAAAGTATAGGTTGGCATAGTTTTAAATATGATCGAGATCTACAAGTTTAATGATTTTATGAACTTGATGCATCAAAATATAAGGAAATAGCAGCAGTTGAAAGAGAGTATAAGCCTTTTTATTGTCATTTTCCCAATCCATGTCTCTAGGGCAGCTTGTTGGCAGCCGGGAGATGGAGAGGCCCCGTCATACTCTGTCAGTGAAGACTGCCTATATCTGAACGTCTTTGTTCCTGCCACCACTGTAAGTAGGAGATGAGTTAATTCTTTTCAAAGTGCTTTTAATTGGCATAAATGATTCTTTTTCACATGTTGTTCACAAAGCCAAAGGTTAAATTAGGCTCTCTGTTGTTTTCACTGGTGCAAGAGTATTCCCTTGTAGGCTTTCAGTGAGCAGTGCTTGGGTAACTGAAAGTGTGGCAAATTAAAAAGTTAGAAGACGGAGGAGGAGACAAAACGCAAGAAGGTGGTGGCAGCAAAGGAGAGGAAATTAAGGACAGAAATGTCAATGTCCCTGAAATGCGACCCTTTGTCCAGGAGACAATAACGCAATACAACACATCACATCAACGCTTACCACTGGTCAAGCAGCAGCAGATGGGTTTTTCACCCTCATCCTCACTGTTCCCATTGGCTCTGTTGGAGCTCTGTTGAGGAACGAGCATAGCAAGCAATGCTAGATCTGTGCCCAGCCTGCAAAGTGTAAAACCAGATGTTTTAAAGATGACTGGGCCAATGGTACAATCTGAGAAACTGTTATTTGAAAGCTCTTGCATTTCTCATAAACAGATATAAAATAAAGCTCCAAGTTTAAGCCAAGCTTAGATGACTGGCCAAACCCCTGGGGGACTGAGGATAAAGATGCCGAATAATATGTGAATCCCATTGAAGAGTGGGCCCAGAGCACAGGAACAGTTTTTCTTTCCAGAGTACTGGCAATATTGCAAAAGTGATGGTCATTATAATAGAAATTTATGGGCCTGTCATACTGCATGTCTGGAAAGAGCTACTCCAGCTATCCGAGAGCAGCATACCGAGTCCCTTGCAGGCCCTTTTTAATCATCAGAAAGACCAGCAGTCTGTTTTCTCCCTGCAGCATCAGGCTGTCATTTTGCCTTGAATGAAGTCATTGCTTATTGAAAGCATCAGGTCACCGTCCCAGGCAGTTTGCCATCTCTGCTTAAGTGCTGCTTTCAAGATAGCTTACTTGAAAGCATTGTATTTTCTACCATCTGATAAATTAAATAGGCTTTTCTTTTCTCCTTAGTGGTACTGTGAACTGAATCCCTCCTGGGTTTTGTAGCGGTGTAAGGTAGAAGTAGATCTGATCGAGTCAACCAGTTTCACATGCGTTAAGTCCGGCCCAAGAGAGAAACAAAACTTCTGGTTTTGCAGAAGTAGCTGGGAGCAGAAGGAAACATTTTCCTGTTTCTTTTTGTGGTGAGCTCTATTTTTTACTCACATACAGAGAGCTATAGTTACATATTTTCAACCCACGGAAAGTTAAATAAGCCAGTAAATACTGAATATAAAATCTCTTGGAGAGCAGCGAATGCAAGGGTTGTTCAGGAGAATTTTGAGCCTGGACGAGAGCGCAGCACAGGGACTGCTGCCGGTCACCAGAAGACCGTTTAAGTGTCAAGCAGTGAAGAAGGCAAATGACATCACCTCATTTTGCTTCCATAGCTACGTGTACCACATAACCCTCCAAGTAAAACTGGCACTTCTGAGAGACTTTTTTCCACCTATAACCGTCACCACCTGTCACACTAGCAAAGTAAAGCTGTGCCTCAGCTTGATTTACAAAGGGTTCAAATATAAGATCAAGAGTTGAAGCTCTCCCCTAAATAAGAATAGAAACTGTACCCCCTTTCCTCTTCTCCCATCCCCTCCATGTGTTATTCCCATCCTTATCACATCATCCCTGTTGGACTCAATTCTTTAAAGAGCAACATTGTAGAGTAGTTAAAGCACTGGAGGTTGCCTGGCTGGGTAGAGTTTAAATCTAGCCCTGCCAAATAGCTCATTAAGGGCTTTACTGTAAGATGGAGAAGATGGTTCTGCATATGATGAAACCTTTCAGGCTTTCAGCTGACTTGCAGCTCCCTGGTGGATGCTGAACTTTCTCCATTCAGGTGTTGCACATGGGACCTAAGCCCCTACAGGCATGAGACCATGTTAGAGCTGCTGGGCTCCTCAGAAGACATCCCCCCAGTAGCTACGCCAGAAAGCCATCTGCCCATGTCCCAGCTGGAAGTCTTTACACAGATTTTACACCTCAAAGTGTGACTGCTTGTGTTACATTGCAAACCATACACTGGCCAGTAGACACAGGGTATCCATGGCTTGTCCACCAGGAATGTGCTGGTCCCACTCTGGCCAGCTACTGTGTGTGCTCCACCAGCATTGACGCTGGTGGTGCTGCATCTGAGCTTGATACCAAGTTGTGGTGGATGAAGGGACTGGCTCCAGCAGGCTTCATTTAAGGTCTTGTGTTTCTTCTTCCTCAAGGATTTAATTGCAGTGGTTGATTGAATTTGGTTGAGAGCAAGGCTTTGGGAAGTTCACTTATATCCAAAATAAGTGATTCAGCAGCTAATGTATTAGTAAAAAAATATTTGACAACCAAATATGCAGAGAAAGATAGGTGATATGAAATATCTCGTATTGTGAGGCATAGTTCAACAAAAGCATGAAAAACTAAAGCATTATACTATGCTGTTAAAAGGGCTAACAACAAATGCGAAGATAATTATGTTAAACCAGCTTCATCTAAAATGTCCAAATCCATGAGCTCTGAGATTGAAATCCTTTGGGGTTAAAACCCAAACTATTTTTTCATTATATTTTACCTTTGCATAAGAGAGGGGTCTGTCATTGCTCAATGAAGACTAGAAATGGGAACGATCCGTCCAGACACTTGGCATGAGGCACAGCCCCAGTACTAAGTCTTCCCCTAAATTGCTCCATATCTGTTACAGCAGGCTTTGTTTTCCTGGTTTTAACTTTTATCTCCTGCTTTTGCCTTTCTTAAGCTTTTCATCCTTACAGCATTGGGTAAAGGCACTCGACACAACTTAGAGGGCAGCTGGAGGTCAGGGTGCTATGCAGGCTGTGGTCACATCAGAAATGCCTGGTTTGAACCTCAGGCTTAACTATGCTGAGCTGAGGGGACGGAGCAGGCTCAACATCATGTTTAATACCATTTTAGCTGACATGGCTCAATGCAGTTCTATTTTAGAACGATTTTCTGTGTGAAAACAGATTCTTCCAGGTTTTTCTTTACCCCTACCTCTGTCTCTGTGCTACAGGCAGTGCAGATATAGGAACCAGGGACCACTGTGAATTAGGCAATTTCTATTCAGGAGCAGAAGCTCCTGAGAGTGAGCAGCACGTTTCAGTGCTTGCAGTTTCTTGGGTTTTCTTGGTAACACTGTCATGTTTACAAGAAGCCTCTGAAGTGATTCTCCAGACATAAGCGAGGAGTGCACACAATCATCACAAATTAATGGCAGATGAGAGGAGTTTGCCTCCTATCCTGTAGTTTTGAAGCCATTGCTTCCCTGCTGCTTCTCCCATACAGCCAGAGACATTGTTTGCCAGAGCAGATGGGACTGCTGCGTTTAGCTGAGCCTCATCCAGAAAATAACAGCAGCAGAGCCCAATGCCCTGTAGCTGCAGTGATAAAAACAAACTTCAGATGTACTTCGATGCTGCTGCAGGGGCCACCAGCTCTTTGCAAAACATCATCAGCTGCCAACACAGAGAGGGAGAGGTATTTCTTCAGTGTCATCTCGACAGAGCTGTAATCTGCTGATAGATGCTGAGGTCTCTTGGTGCTTTTGTGCTGCTCATGCAGCAGCAGCCTGGCTGCAGCCCTGCTGTGCGTACAGAGAGGGTCCTCACAGATGTGCTGCTGATTTGGGGAAAAGCGTCTGTTCCTGTGCAAAATCGTGTGGCTCTGTAAGAAGTTCTAACATGGGCAGCAGCCTGTTGTATCTCCTTCCCATCCCGGGAGTCCTGCTGGGCTCTTTTGGGGCCCTCTGTGTTTCCTGAGATGTGACTCTCTCCCATGCACAGAAAAAGTCCACTCTGCAGGACACCTCTCTCTATATCTAATAGGGGAAAACCTCCATTGAAGGAACAATGAGTTCTTGTCAAGTGAGATTTTGGAGACTAGGCAATATTTAGTTCTGAAGACTTGAGAGCAGGAAGCAGCCCTGCACAGCTGTTGACTTAGTCCTGCTGAAGATAAAGCAACCCAACAGGACTTTTTCTTCTCCTGTTTCCCACTTGTTTGAACTTTTCGAATGCATTTGTGTAAAGCAGACATGTTGCAGCAAAGATGAGCCCACCATGAGCTCAATGGCCAAGTCAGCAGGATGGGTCTGCATTGAACTAATCTGGTAGAGTTGTTGGCTGATGGAACACAGTGGTGCCATTAAATCTTTATACTGGACATAGTATCTTCTTGAATGGTATATAGGTCATTGAGGACAAGTTACCCCTAGCATTTCAGACAGATGGACAGATATTCCCTCATTATGGTCACTCTTAAAGAGCTATGAATGGCTCCAATAATGTTAATGGGGAAGATGCTTCTGTTCTCATCACCAACCTACAAAAGCAGTTGGCTGCAGGGATCTTAACCTGATTGTTGTCATGGCAGGTGAAAAACTTGTCAGTGTTGCTGTTCTTCCACAATGGAGAGAGTTACAGTGCTGAGGCTGGAAAGACAACCATAGATGGATCATACCTAGCTGCCATCAGTAACATCATTGTTGTGATGGCAAACTACCGGGTCGGTGTTTTTGGCTTCCTTAGTACTGGTAAGTGATGAATTTCTAGATCAAGCACAGCTATGGGCTAAATTGCATTCTGTAACACTTCTGTTCCTATTCTTTTTTTCTTAAAGTTCAGTTATTTTTAAACTTGAAAAACCTGTATTTTTCACTGACTGTTTTGGGGGGATACCACTGGGACTTGAAGAGAATGGGGAGAGGCTATGGAGGCAAAGGGACAAAACCAAAACCCAAGCATTTATATCAAAGCACTGGCTAGACTTGTGTTTGCAGATGCAACTGTGGATATTGGGTTTTGCAGACACACATGAAGACAGGTTAGGAATCATAATTCCTGCTAATTCCAATGCTTGTTGTTGTGGCTATGGTTTTCAATGTCTTCCAACTGTTCCATCCCTGAAATTTTGCATGTTCTGAGTTTGCATCCCTTCCCCGTACTCTAGTATTTGGGGTTTTCTGTTGCTTTCCTATTGCCTCCTAATATGAATTGCCATTAAAAACTGCTCAAATACTGTATATACAGGATTTTGTCTTCTGCAAAGAGGCACGTACACATGAAAATGCACATTCACTCTCCCTAAACCTCTGCCGTAGTGTTGTCTGGTCTTTGGGATTGCTTTTTCATTTTGCCTTTTACTAGATTTGCCTGCTTAAGCCAGTAGGGAACACTTTTCTCCAGCACCTTTCAATTCTGCCTAACGCAGGAGAGCTTAGAGAGCCATGGAGAGAAAATGCAATGATTGCAATTGGAGCTCTTCTTCCATCATGCTGGTAGCAATCCTTGACCTCTCTAGTGGACATTTTAATACCTATATAATCTTTAGGAAGTTGTATTTGCCATGTTTGCAAATACCAGACTCAATACTTTGCCTCATGGTTCTTTTAAGTATTCACTGCTAGTGATGCTGCCTGAATTTTGTCTAGTGTGGGGTATGTAGCTGCAGCTACAGGTTATTTTTTCTCTTCTCTGTTTCACTGTTCAAAGCTTATTCCCAGGAAAGCCTGTTTTTCATTCAGTAACCAGATTGCTGGCACTACGGATTCCTTAGTAATTTAGGTAAGAAGTTGGTAATAGTTGTATCTGGGGAAAGAATCACTGTTTTCATCAGTGTAAACCAGATGCTTATGAAGGTGATACTGTGGCTTCATTTTGGCTAGAGCCAAATGCGGTGTGGAGCTGTGCGAGGTTCCATTACGCAACACTGTCCACACGTTACCCACTACCCTCCTTCAGCCCTACAAAACTCACCTAGGTTCCTTCCAAAGTGGAAATTGCTAGCTTGGCTGAATATTATATACTGGTATTTATATGGTAGTCCATGATTTTGAGATTTTTCATAGGGATCTGCATGTATGTCTGGAAACATCAACACATGAGCTGAATGGACTGAGTTTAGAGATAGAGGTGGTTCATTATGAGTGAGAAGCATGCAGGGGCCCTCTTCTCTGTACTGTGGAATTGCAACCAGGGAAAAGTGCGGTCTTTTCTGTGCCTTTGAGGAGATGCTGTTGCTCAGGAGCAGGAGCAAGAAGGAAAAGCTCTTTGCAAGAGTCATTGGAGCAAACTAAGCACCACATTCATGTGGTGCCCTAAAAATTCCTGAATTCCATGTTAGCCCTAAAAATTCCTTCAGTGCCATGCTACCTTGTTTCCTCTTTAGTCCATGTAGAGAGGATGAGTGTGGTATGTTTGTACCAGGCCCCCTATCAGCACGGATTTTCAGTCATGCCCATTCTGGTGAGCAATGCTCTCACTGAAAGATCTATTCTTGGTTGATGAAATACCCCTGACTCCTGTGCATGACGAGTAGCCACTGGGGATTTTCAGTGAAGGTCAAATACTGTAAGGGTTTTATCTTAAGACTCAAACCAAATCCTTAATGATATGCCAGGGTGGTTTCCATTCTTACTGAAAGACCTGGACAAATCCTGGTCCCTTGGAAGTTTTGCCACCAGTTTCACAGGAGGCAGGAGCTCACCCTTAGGACTCTGGAGGGACATTAGCAGCAGGGACTGTTGAAGGGCCCTGAAGTTACAAACAAAAGTTATAATCTTGTGAGCAATATCACTTTCATGGTCCAACTAAGCAAAGTGCTGAATCCTCTCATGTTGACTTGTTATAAATTACAGAATGAGAAATGAAAGAGTTAAATGGAGATTTTAGGGATTGAAGGGAAGTGAAAACAACAGATTTTTTTGTTTGTTTTTGTTTGTTTTTTTTTCAGTTCTGCAGTTGTTTTGGTGTCTCACTGACATGGCTTTTGCAAGCAAAGAGCTCGCATTGTTCTAAGTATAAAGGATATGAATTTTATTTGCTATCATCCATTAATGTTGCAAAAAGCGATGAACATTCTTGTTAGTGCCTTCACCTCCCACTTTGCACCCAAAAAGTTAAGGTAAATTGTCGGTAATAGAATCACAGAATCATATAATGGTTAGGGTAAGAAAGGACCTTAAGATCATGAAGTTCCAACCCCTCTGCCATGGGCAGGGACACCTCACACTAAAACATATCACCCAAGGCCTCATCCAACCTGGTCTTGAACACTGCCAGGGATGGAGCATTCACAGCCTTCCTGGGCAACCTATTCCAGTGCCTCCCCACCCTGACAGGAAAGAATTTCCTTCTTATATCCAAAGATATAGATATCCTTATATCTAAACTTCCCCTGTTTAAGTTTTAACCCCTTACCCCTTGTCCTATCACTACAGTCCCTAATGAAGAGTCCCTCCCCAGCATCCTTATAGCCCCCCTTCAGATACTGGAAGGCTGCTATGAGGTCTCCACGCAGCCTTCTCTTCTCCAGGCTGAACAGCCCCAACTTTCTCAGCCTGTCTTCATACGGGAGATGCTCCAGTCCCCTGATCATCCCTGTGGCCCTCCTCTGGACTTGTTCCAACAGTTCCATGTCCTTTTTATGTTGAGGACACTGGAACTGTACGCAATATTCCAGTGAGGTCTCATGAGAGCAGAGTAGAGGGGCAGGGTCACCACTGTCCATGTCAGCGACAAAGATGTTGAACAGGACTGGTCCCAACACCGATCCCTGAGAGACACCACTCGTTACTGGTCTCCAGCCGGACATTGAGCCATTGACCACAACTCTTTGTGTGCGGCCATCCAGCCAGTTCTTTATCCACTGAGTGGTCCATCCATCAAATTGATGTCTCTCCAATTTAGAGGCAAGGATGTTGTGTGGGACAGTGTTGAACACTTTACAGAAGTCCAGGTAGATGACATCAACTGCTCTACCCCTGTCCCTCAGTTCTGTAGCCCCACCATAGAATGGGGTGGCAGGAGTATGGAGAAGACAGTCATGTTTTTAAGCCTGATTCTTTTAAGAGTCTATGAAGTCATATAAACAAGGATTATTTTCATGCTTAAATTTAGCACTATTGTTCTCCAGTTTAGTAGTAACAGAAATGCATGTGTATGTGCTTATTTGCTTCTTTCTGAACACCGATTTCTTTTCATTCTCCTGTGGTCCTCAGGAATGTGTTCTTTCCCTGCAAAAAGGCAGTGGGAAATATTCCTCACAGACGTGTTTCTTTTGGTTTAACTACTGTGAATGTCCATGCATGCATTTGTTCCCTAGTGTGGTACATTTCACAGCATGATTGTGGTTTTTGCCAGGGCAGAAGGAACTGACTGTATTTCTCTCCTTGGTCATGTTTTTAGCATGCCAGTAGCAAGGCACATTGTGTTGCTAAAACATTTACATGGATTTACATACAATAATTTCTTCACCAAAAGGGTTGTCAAGCACTGGAACAGGTTGCCCAGGGAAGTGGTTAAATCACCATTCCTGGAGGTATTTAAAAGACGCTTAGGGACATGGTTTAGTGGTGGGCTTGGCAGTGCTGGGATAACAGTTGGACTCAATGATCTACAATTCAATGATTCTATGATTTCACTTCCCCTGGGGAGGTCTCACAAGGCACACAGCAAGCCCATGAAGTGGTATTTCCTTTTTAATACCATAGTATGGTTTCATTGCTGGATTGAGAACCCTGGGAAATGGTCATGGTGTGCAGAACAAACTAAAGCAACCCTAAAAACAAAAGCAGGGAAAGTTCTTCCTCTACTGTTTCACTGGTGTGGCTTGGCCTGAGCATCTTAAACTGTGGCTAAAGGTGGAAGGTTGTAGTTTCTGGGGCCATTTAGTTCTTGGCTGTCCCACTGTGAAGGCACTTATAGAGGTGGCTATTGTGTGTATCTGTAAGAGCTGCAAGGCTGTCAATAAGCTGGTCTCCTCTGTATTCTATTCTGCTGCTTAAATTGGTGTCTGTGATCTCTCAGTAATTCATTATGGTAGGCATATGGATATCTACTACAGGACATATACTTCCAATTACTCTTTGCCTGAGGCAGGGCTACCTGTTCACAAAGTGGCCTCTTTTCATTCCACTATCTGTTCATTTTGATCCAGTAGTTTCTGAGCCTCTCACATTAAAATTGTACTATTTGGTCTTGGCAATGGAAGAAACAAATCGTTTCAGCTGTGTTTCTGTTCCTGGCTTTTCTGTCTTTTTTTCTTACTTCCAAGTTTTAAATGTGGAGAACTTAAAATCATTAAAAATGAATGCCTCATTGTGGATTAAGAAGCAGCAGACAGTTAACAATCATTTTCTATTCCTTTCTTACAGACTGTGCAGGATTTACTTATTTCTGCTTTTGTTGTTAAAAAAATTAAGCTTGTCTAGGGGGTTGTATCATTAGATGCTTTCACCATTGCTTTCCTGTTGTTCAAATCAGGTTACCACTAGTTGGTATTGAAAAGAAAGTAGCCTTTCAGTGGTAATACTGTATTACCTAAGCATAAGGGGTACATGATTCATTATTTTTCTTTTATTTTCTTAGGAACAAAAATATGAATACATATAAATAAGATCTCAGTTAGACATAGGTCAGTCTCAAAGGATATATGTGGAGATAATGTAAACTGCAAAATTATATCTGTATGTGTTTCAAGAAATGCAAGATGATGTTACATAAATGATTGGTCAGACAGGGTAAGTGTAAAAGGGATACAGGGAGCAAACAGATGCAATTAGGTGTACTCAAGGGAAACAGTTGATGATCCTTATGGGTCCCTTCCAACTTGGCAAACGCACAGATTTTTTTTGTTTGCTTTTAATTTCTTGTAAGATCAAGCTACTTATGTAGAAAAAGACTCTCATGGCCTGAATTTATGGATACTTGAGCCTGGATTCAAGTCTCCCACCATGAGCTGTCAAATTGAAGCTTAGAAGTTGGAGTGTTATTTTTATGTCACCAGGACAGACAATTAGGCACCTCCAGGGATGCCTGGTGGAGTCTGAAATGGAGTCAGTCTATAAAGTGATGACCTCGGAGGAGACAACTTCAGATGCTGAAACTCTGGTATCAGTTTTGTCAAGGTTCAGCTGCGAGAGCTGCTAAAAATGTAATGTTCAATCAAAACTTCAAATATTTATAGTCTGATTTCTTTTCAGATCTATTTCATTATTTCCTACAATAGGTTCTCCTGATGTGATTGGAAACGCCGGCCTTTTGGATCAGTTAGCAGCTTTGAAGTGGGTGCAGCAGAACATTGTGAGCTTTGGAGGAGACCCAAGCAGGGTTTCTTTAGGAGCTGACCGTGGTGGAGCTGATGTTACTAGCATCCACCTGCTCACAGACACAGCTGATATGGAACTCTTCAGAAGGGTAGTGTTGATGGTAAGTCCCATTCCTGCCCCTTCATAATCATTGTGAAAGGATGTTACATATATGAGGATGTGGCAGTGTGTGGGTGCTGGTTTTATTTCATCCATACCGTGGCAGTGTTGATAGGGCTGTTATTGCTATAGTTATTTTTCATCTCACCTGTGACCGCTGTCTCCAGGAGCAGGGTGCTTCACAAGGATGTACAAGAGATGCACTTTGCTGGTTGATTTAGTCATACTAAGAATCTGGTTTTCGTCACTGTGGTTTTCTTGTGTATTATATAAATAGTCTTGTTTCATAACTTATAGGTACAACAGGTTAGTTTCCATTCCATAAATACAACTGTTGATCAGCAGTTTTTAGACTGATAAGCCCAACATTCACATGTTGAAAGTGTCCAATCTTTTTATCTGTTCTCACAACAGCTTTCATTTAAAAGAAAAAGCAAGTTCAGGCAGAGAGTAAAAATCTGTTTACCCACAGGCTTGTTTGCTGTCAGCTCAGGCTATTTTCACAGTCATCCCAAGTGATCTGTATATTTATAGCACTTCCAGTGTCAAATCTGGGGACTTTTTGCCAGCATCAATACTACCGTTGATCTTTACAGTCTCAGATAATAGTAGTGTGCTATGAAATAAGTCTTCATCTTCATTGGAGGTTTATATATGCAGCAGAAATAGCATGTGGACAAAATGATCCCTCTGCTAGCAGTGTTGACTCGAAATCAAAAAAATCTTGACTCGAAAATGGTGACATCTCTATTCAATAACTTTTCTTCAGTGTGCCCTTGCTCCAGGAAATATAACTTACTTCTTGCATCCCCATGTCTCAATAAGGTTGTTTTAATTACATCACTCTAGCAGGGAAGGCAAGGGAAGTTGATGAAAATTGCTGTTCAAGAGTTGTTTTTATGTGTCATTCTTGGATAGTTCCTCACACAGTTCCTGTAGTTTTACTTAGCTCTTGGCATAGCAATTAATTTACTAGAAACCCATAGTTCTTTTCTGTCAGAGTACGGTTACATCCTACCCTTTCTCTGAAGCCACATACCCTTTTCTGACATAGGTCTGGATGGGGCCCAGTGAAAGCCGTAGCAGTATACAGTGCAATTTACTGCTTATGAAGGGAAATGTAAGGACCTCTTTGTTTATCATTACTTTTGGGGTGTAGTTACACATTATGTCTTGTCTTTTGTAAAACAAAGTTTGAACTCCTCCTTTTTCCTACAGTGGGACATCAAATAATGGAAAACAGTGCATAGAGCAGGCAGGTGCATCAAGTCTTCCCACTAGTGTTTCTAACAACAGTTTTCTTCCTGGAACTGTGCATACCGCTGTCTTGGCAAAAAGCAGCATCTCCACTTATTTCAAAGTAATATTAATTATTTATCCTGAGAGGGTCATGGTGGATTTAGTTTTCTTGTGAAATACACTGATGAAATCAAAAGCAAGCAGTAATAGCAGTGTCTTGATTTTTTTAATTCATTTTTTGGTAATGATATTATGCAGAAACAACTGTTGGTTTACTCAGATTTCTCACCTAGACCTCCTGTCCAGGGATGCATCTTGGTTTTGTTCCAAGATGCCAAAATCATTGCATACTTTTAATTTTACAGTGAAAAAGGAGGTACACACTGCCTAAGAATCATGAAAGTGAGAATATGTACCAGATAGAGCTTTCCAGAGGGGAAAACCCCATGAAGCAATACAGCTTTTCTGCAAAAGTTAGTTTTGTGCTCTTTACTTGGTCTTTGTCATGCATAATAAAGTTAACACTGTTTCTGAGCATGTAGAAAGGTGTGATGCATGAAGCTTTCTCTACAAGATGTGCATCTGAAATAACAAAGTGGTTTTGAGTTTCCTATGTCTTCCTATGCGAGATTTTGTTTGGAAGAGATCTGAAAAAAGATGGTACAAAATCACCGCAAAGCTGTCATGGGGACCTTTTGTAACTTACTGCACCTTTCAGTAGTATGATTAGAAAAAAGTTTCAGTGATTATGGTAGTGTTTTAAATCAGTGAAGGGCATTAACCTGGTGTTTGACTTCATCTTTTGATTAATTACTTCATTTACCAGTGCAATTTTGATGTAGAAGCATGGATCAATGGTATGGATTGCCTCCCTCTCTTGCAGGAGGCTATGGAGGGCAGATCTGTTAGGTGTCCCCTCCAGGCATTCCCTGGTGGGTGTCAGGAGGAGAGTTCCCAGCTTTCTCCACCCAGTGCAAGGGAAGACACCAGGTCCCTCCTGGCCATGCAAGCAGGTCAGCCAATGGTGGAAAGAGCAGATTTATTACCCTACTGAAAACTACTGCAATCAGCTGACACAAACCCTAAATGTTCTATTATTAGATACCCTTTCTTCTTAATTTTCCCATTTCTCTTTTTTCCCCCCTTTACCACCCTCATTCCCTCTTAAACAAACCAACCACCTCTCTTTGTTGGCCCCAGGTTTTTTACATCTCTACCCAAATTTGGTATTTCTGATATTGTTTCTTAGGTAATCTCAGATTTTTATAGAATCACCTCAGTGCTATTGGCCCTTGCAAGACTGTGTTTCCCAAAAGGTCCCAAGTATAGTTTTTCAGTTACCTGGGAGAAATGGCCAGACTTGACAGAATTTCCCCCCACCATCTGTGAAATCCAGCCATCCCTTATGGCACAATTCATAAGTTTTTGTCATCTTTCATTGTTACTGCGAGGGTGATCAAGCACTGGCACAAGTTGCCCAGGGAAGCTGTGGAGTCTCCATCCCTGGAGATATTCAAAAGCTGTCTGGATGTGATCCTGGGCAACTGGCTCTCGGTGGCCCTACTTGAGCAGGGGGGTTGCAGCAGGTGACCTCCAGAGGTCCCTTCCAACCTGAACTGGTCTGTGACTTTGTGGACCTGTTGTCACCAGAACGTCTTTCCTCCTTCCTACAGAACATGTTCCAAGTGCTGCCCAGTTACATGGGCTTTTGGATTCTGTTGCTTTCCATCAAAGATACTTTCTGTCAGTGTCATTGCAAGACTGGGTGTTTGTATTAATTGCACATGAGGTCTAAAACCAACACAAAGTCATTACTGGATATTATTTTAATGAATAAATACAAGTCATGACTTGACTTAAAAATCTGTAATGCTCCCCATATACATTTCACTGGGTAAAATGCAGTCACCATAACATAGTAATGATCAGTAACAGTAATGGGATCATATAAACACCTAGAGTTCCTGAGTTCATCTTGCTTTGTGGTTTTCAATGTTTGCCAGTCAAATTACATTCATCCATAAAATTCTGAAATATGTTTAAACATGCTGTGAACTATTTTGATCTCTGAATCTGTCTTGCTAGTGCAAATGATATGATAAAAGATCTAAAGGGCACACAGATTTGTACTAAGAAGTATTTACAGATGATACATATATATGTATATGTATAAACCAAATTCTCTATCTTGAAACCTTCATTACTCAACTCTGTGCAAAAAAGGTGTGACAGAATATTAGATTGGAAAGATCTGGGCTTGAGAACATGGGTTGCAGCATTTTACACCCCCAGATGTGACTACTTGATTTAGAAAACAATCCCAAGTCAGGTTCAAAGGACCATGCTAGCTGCTCCTTCAAGAGCACATATATATAGAAAAAATCTCTAATTTGAGATAACCTGGTTACAAATCTTGACGGAGTTTGATGAAATGTGTCGTTATCCTTTGACAGAACTCTCTTCAGACGAGAAATTGAGAAAACTCTTTAAAATCCACTGTCGCTGATTTGCTCTCTTAGTTTAATTATTAAAAAAGCTGCTATTAATATAAATATTGTACATAAATATGGGGGTGCCTTCAGGACATGAGGTTAAAATGTGGTCCTCTACACATAAAAGGTGACACCTTTACAAGCCTACCTTTGCAGTTAAGCACAATATTACCACATTTTACTTTTCAATTAAAAATCTCTTTGTTGTATATCTGGTAGACTATGAGCAGCTGAGTTAGGCTTTTGCCTGTACTCCCTGCTCAGGGTTAAACAGGAACTGCTTTTCCCAGTGAGTTAATCCTGTTCCTAATTTTATGACCATTTTGTGACACCACAGGCCACTACATTCTCCTTATGGAGCAGAAAAAGGTTCCTGTTCTCATTGTAGGTAGTTCTGTAAAGATAGTTTTCAGCATTGTGGAGAATACCAGAGTAAGACTTAATTTAAGCTCTTGAGCTATAGTTAGTCCTTCTGTATGCAATCACCTTTGTGCAATGCTGGACATGCTGAAGAGTCATCTGCCTCACTTGACTTTTGACTTTGAGTCTGTCTCAGTCTGTTCTGCTTGTGATTAGGTTCTAATATTGGGTGCACTGAGAATGTTCCCAGCATATGCTGTGGATGAGACAGCATCCTTAAGAAGGTCTCTGGTTAACATTCAGAAGAGGAAATGCAGAAGCATTGCCAGTTATTTGGTCATCAGCTGGTGTGCTTCTACCTCTTGGCCTTTGAAGGACTGCAGGACCAAAGAATGCTCTGGGTTTCTCTTTTAACTCCTCAGTTTTGTCTTTTTTTTTCCTCCTGGTTGTCTTACATTTAGTTCTCATAGTATGTAGGTGGTAAGTGAAGGGTACTCTTGCGTTTGCACCCTGTGTATATGAGTGATTGGGCTTTCTTCTTTCTGGTACTTGCAAAAGAAGTGGTGCCATCCCCAGTTAAGGACAGATAGGAAGCGATACTTTCCCTCAATCCATAGCTAAGACAAGAGTCATCCATTGCTGCCAGGGTGCTCTCAGTATCTTCAGTCACCTCCAGCCTTTAAAAGAAGAAAATTTTGTTACCATTTCAGCTACTTGAACTGAGACTATTAGTATAATATTTACAGCTGTTAAACCAAATTAGGTTAATTTTGTTGTATAAAAAAATTCCAGTCCCATAAATCAGCAGATATTTCTGTCAGTGCTTTCTGAAACAGTCAGTACACCAGAGGTATCTTAGTATCTAAGTATTTTTCTTCATCTGAAAAGGAAATAACATCTATATACTTTCTTTCTTGTTAACCTGTAGGAAAAATGGCTTCAATACTGCCCTAAATTTTCTTACGTTTGTAAGCAAATGAATATGCTTTGCGAAGGAAGGGTGGTAGAGGGAAATTTACACTTCAAAAAGAAGAGGTGCTGTTGTTTCTGAAGGTGGTTGTTTCACCAGCTTCTGAAACCTGACCTACTTTCTCTAGCTGCAGTCAAGACACTAGAAATCTTGAGAAACTTGTGGTGGGCTCTGTATTGAGAGACATACAGCGGGAAAGATTTATACCGGGATGTGCTCCTTGAATGTGTGCTGCTTCTTTGATGGCCACCATGTGAACAATGGGGAGCCATTTCCAACTGTTGGAGCTCACCTCTAAGACCTTACATGTTACTGTGCCATTGGTGGTGGGTCTGGCTAGGCTTTATGGCCTGGATCTTACTCCTGCACCCTTGGTGGAGAGGACTCATGAGTCCCAAAGGGACTGCTTATGTGGCCACACTCTTGCCTGGGTAGGAAAAATGATAGTTAACTATGCTTCCAAAGTTAGACCAAGAGCTGGACATCCAGTTTTCATGGGTTAACCTGCTGTCAGCAGCTTTGAAGAGTATCTGCTCTTTAAAACTGCTCTCAGGAGAAGGAAAAGGCTGCTTCTCCTGTGTTGCAAGTACAAGTATATACAAGGCTGGAAAAGAACCCTTGTTGTTTCTGGCAGACTGTGTTGTAATGTGGTACCTGTGAATATTTCTCCAGTTGAAGTTTTTATTCCGCATCACCACAGGAGGAACTTGGTTCATTACGCTGTTGTTGTTAGTGGACTGGGTAAGACAAGGTGTTGTAAGGACACAGCAGAGACCATCAGCAACTTCTGAAGAGGGAAATGAATACACAGTTAGTCTTTTTTCACTGGTATCTTCACTGTTTTCTTTTCCTGGTGCATAAGCAGTTTTGGGCACAACAGTAGGAGTCAATAAATTGTGTGTTCTGAGCAAGATCACTGTGACATGTTCCTCATACCTTTGCCTTTTAATTTATCATGGGACATATGTACCACACTACAAGTGAGAAACTGAGACACAGAAAGATAAAGTGACTTGCCTGAAGTCTGGAAGGAAGCCTGTGACAGAGCAGGGACTTAAACCCAGGTTTTCTGAGTCCTCAGTGAGTTCTGCTTTTGCCTCCCATTGCCTCAGCCATGCAAATAGAACATAATTACTAATCCAACCATTCAGGTTGGATTGTATGTGCACTATTCTGCTGTGGAACACAGCTATGGAATGAATCATGGTTCACATGTAACTTTCATCTAAGTTCCTTCTCTCTTGCCTTCTCCTTGCTCCACTAGGAACTTTGCAAACATTCTTCTGCTCAAGTAGAGAACATCATGGCTGAATGCTAGTGTTTTACATCTCTGAGCCTTATTTCAAGGTGAAAATCTGTTATCTTGTCATTGTGAGAGGTGGAGAGCTAAATCTCACTATGTCTCCTCTTACACATATAACTCAAGTAAAAGTTGTTGTAAATTCTCCTCACCCCAAAGTTTAGCTTTTGACTGTTTGACTGCTTCTAAATAGAGAAAGGTGTCAGCTAACTAGAGTGTAAAAAATACCCAAACCAATATCCTGTAGAAATTCTGTTTATATCATTGGAGTTCAAAGTTTCTTTTGCATGTTTCGAATATGAATATGGTTTTTCTCCCCAGTTTAGCAGAATACTCTTTGGCAAGAAACTTTTTCATTTACCTATGAAATATGCAGATATGGTAGCTTTACGCTTGAGTACCCATTACTAATTAAAGCACAGAACCTATTGTTCTTTTGTAGCTTTTATGCAATTAACCTATTGCAATCTTCCTTCCTCATTTTAAAATGTTCTTATTTTAATGCGTGGTAGCTGCAGCCACTTAATTGTGTTGTCAAATTATTTCTCTGACACAGGTTAAATTGTCATGAATTTAGAGAATTGAGATGGGTGTCATCCACTGGACTGATATTAGTAAAAGTGACAGCTCAATCTAGATTGGAGCTAACAGCTTGAGTCCCTCGAGATATCTTCTGCTGATAAAATCCAGCCATGCTCTTCTAAAGTAATAGGGAAGAAACTAACAACATTTCTGAGAATTATCTGTTGCAGATAAGGTTGTGTGATTTAGTGGTTCCTAAGAGAAATGTGATTGCAGAACCTGGTCTTGCATGTACTAATGCTATCTGTTTGTCTATATGGTAAATAAGTAAATGGAAGACATGTCAATGCTGGTAAACTGTGGCCTTGGGACCCAGAACCATGACTTGTATCTGCACAGTATAACATTTTCATACGCCCAAACTATTGAGTTTAGCTGTGCTCCTAGAGGACTGGGTATCCCTGTCCTGTGCTAACCTCCAAATTCTATTTGAGAGTTATCTAGCAAGGTTCTAGACACTAGTGTTCAGACCAAGCAGTGTTATCGACATGGCCATCCAATATCATATTCCAATATGGGTAAAGCCTATCTGTCTTTATTTAGCTGACTTCTTGGGTTGATTTCAGTGGTACTGTTAAGGGTAACATATTTTATTTAGGATAAAAAATAAAGTGAAACATATAAACCAGAAGTTTTTCTATTACTTGTTCTGTGGCAGTAGTTGCAAGTCTTGGACAAAGGCAAAACTTCTTGTTCTGGATCTTTGATAGATAGTTTTACAGTTACCAGTGGGAAATATGTCTATCCCGCAGTTCTTCTTACCTGAGTAGTGATTCACAAGGTCTTCAAGGCACTGGAAGGTTTGCCGTGGAGAGATGTAATACCAGTTATTTGGAAGGCGGAAGATCCTGTAATGTTTTACTTGTCTGTGCCGCACCGACAAGGAATATAACCCTGGAGAAAGAGAAGAGCTCATTACACAAAAGTAGGGCCCTAATTCTGGAGGGAAACCAGTGACCACAACCAGATATTAGATGTGGTGCAATGATCCAAAAGGTTCCAGAAAGATCTGGAAATATCTGAGTGGCCATCCTAATTTCTACTTATATAGTATACTTCATATTTATACTTGAGTATAACAGAGAGAGCAAAGGGCCCAACATCAGGCCCTGAGATTTGGATTGAATTTGGACTTGGATTTTCCTGTTTCTTTGTCTAAAACTATTTGTTTTAAAACTATTGTTCAGCATGTGGTTGGTAAGGATTGAATGTTGATCCTTAATTTCTTTCAATTTAATATAGCTATTGTGAAAGTAATTGGCCTGTGGTATGGAAAAGATCAGGGTAGATGGTTTATTAGTCCCTTCTAAATGTAGTGTCATGATATTAGCACGTGTTCTGATGCTTCAGGAAAAGGGAAGATGACACGTTGCACAATGGGAGATGTATTCCCATTGAAGAGCATTGAAATATAAAGTGTGTTCAATAGAGTTCCCAGGTAGCAACAGAGTTGCTATGAAAGTGAAATTGAAGTCATGTCATTTTTTAAAAGTAAATAGAAGAACAACCTGTTTATATAAGAAATTCACTTATCAGCCACCCCACTGCTCAGTGTGTGTTTTATAGCTTCCTCAGGCAATCTTTCATGGACTAAGGCAAACCTGCAACTTTTCCTCCATTTGAAAAGTCCCACTGCATAATAAGCTATGCATGAGACCAAAGTAAATAATAGTGTTTGAACAACCGAGTCTTTTTTTGGGCTGATGCCTGTGGAACTTTCCATGGCCATTGCTAACCCTGTTGCCAGCGCTGACTATGAAGACTGATATGCTGCACTGGGTACCTTTTCCTTCCCAGTACATACATTTTCTGGTTTCGGACTGATCCATGTGGTGCAGACCAATGAGTGAACTAAAGAGCTGTAAAACTGTTAATGTCTGAGATCAACTGTTAATGTCTAAGATCAAGGGGTAAAAATGGTATTTTCTCACCTTTCCTGGTTTCACTCTCTCTGATCATGAAGGAGCCGACCTTGGTGTTGGGTAGCAATAGAAGTTCTTCTGCTTTTTCTCTTCCCAACCCTTCAAATAACCAGCTGTGGAGCAGGAAAAAACAAATTCTGAAGTCTGGACATCAGTGAAACAGAGAGCAGCATGTGGCTGTGAACGTGCAGTGTTAGCCAGGAAAAGTGACTGCAAAAACAACACTGTGGCTTTCTATAGTTATTCTCTCAACTGTATCCAGGCATATTTTCCCAGTTATGGAGAAAATTTTGCTCTCTTTGAGGATCCATTAACTGTGAGACTAGAGAAGAGTGAATAAGGTTTGGATTTATAGAAAACAAAACTTTTCAAGCTCCCTTGATCTCAATTGTTCGGGACATATCCGTGTGCTATATTGCTGACATATCTGTGGCATTACTTAAATTCCTCTTTTTCATTTAAATCATTTTTTGTTAACCCCCCAAAATGTTTGATTCTATGGTAAATAAACCCATACACAATACAGATATTCTGCTTATGCTAAAGGAAAAAACAACCAGTTAAGTAAATTGGCTTTGTGGATAAGGGAAAGTGGAATTAGCCCTACTGATTTTCACCATAGCTTGATGCACTGCTGTAGACACAGGTAGTGTCTAACTGTGTAAATGAGCTTCCTCGGCTGGTGTAGGTGTTACCAGCACTTTATTTTAAAGTTGTTCTTGTGTGTTTGATCCAGCGTGCTATCAGCAAAATGGTCTTGGGGAAGCTTCAGAAAGTAGCTTCCATCATAGTGTCTGTGCCTTGTTTTTGTGAAAGCACCTCTATTTCAGGAGGATGTAAAAGCGTATTAAAATTAGAGTACTTTCATAAATCACAGTGAAGTTTGCAGTTCATATGCCAGAAAGGTTGTAAGTGTGTTTAATGTTTTTTTTCTGACTTATGTCTAGGGCAACAAGAAACCTCTGAACCACCCTTAGCTTTTCCAGTGTGAGAGTTTACATTCCTGAATGGCTTATTAGACTTACTATTTGTTCTTTTTGGACTGTTTTTTTCATGGGCAACTCTATCTTAAATTTTATTTTTTTTCAAATATTAAAAATTCTTTCTAAATAGGGTCTTTTTAGTCATGTATTTAAATTAGAGATCAGTCCATGCAACAGAAGTATTTAAAATATATTACATTTGAGGGGCTCTTTTTACCCTTTCCAGCATTTAAAACTAGGATTTTCCTTTTCGTATAATCTAAATTTAGGTGTGGATTTGATGTTCTGAGATTTCAAAGGAACTATTTTAGACTGTCAATAAATTTTTGTCTGCCTAGTCACTATTGGCATTGTTCTGGTTTAACACTGAACAACTGATCAGCGCTGTATATGTAGAAGCATAGTGTTGAAAGGCTATAGGAAATGCATTTGCTTACCCGTGGTAAACCTTTGCTACATATTTTCCTGGAATATAGTTTTCTCGGCCTGTTGTAAGGGAATGGACTCTCCACCAGCCTCCTTCACTGTGTGAAAGCAAGAAAAGGGATATTTTCAGATGTACTTTCAGACTTTTTCCTCATTTTAGGCATTAGTTCAGACATACAGTTTGGCCTGTAACCTTCTGTTTTCGCTCCTGAATCTACGTATTCAGAAAGGGACAGAAGTTTGTCTCATTTAAGATAGTTCCATTTCTAAACCTACATCAGGATTAAATTTGGGCACAGAAACAAGCTCCATTTGTTCCATTGAAATTACGTAAGTAATAAAGTATTTTTTCTGTAGTTAAAAGAGGAAGAGTAAATACTCAGTGGTTAAACCATGCTGTGCTTTGCCTTCCCACAGCTAGACTTGTATTGGTATCCAGGATATCCAGCTTATGGCTGGGTATGCTGTGTCTGGATAGCCCTCTCGTTACTCCTGGAACATCAGGTTAGAGATACTCAGCACCCTGTCTGCCTGGGAACAGGTTTTCAGTCTAACAGGGTCATGCTTTGCTCTTTTCCTTCTGTTCAGTGAGTTGCTGACCAGACTACAATAAATAAGATCTCATAGCTGAAACTAGGTGACTAAACGTATGTTTTTTCAATGATATATCTTAGGTTCTTGCTGTGATGCTGAATGGTGGTTTGCCTTTTGAATACCTTAGGAAGGGCATGGTACCACATATATTTCACAGGGATGCTGTGAATTTTAGCAATTAGTGCAAGGATGCTGATGGTTGATGGGCTCTCTACATCTTTTACTGTAAGAGTTTGAATTCAAGTAATACTGCATCTTGTGCTTGAATGCTGGTTTTGTGGACATGCATATTAAATGCTCCCAAATAATGCCTGGACTTCAGACCAGAGTCTCAGTGTATGTCAGAACAACTGAGGTGAAAACACTTATGTTTTACTTTCTGAGTTATAGCTGCTGGGACTTATGTTTTACTTTCTGAGTTACAGCTGCTAAGACCATGATGTGTATGCTAAGGGAAAAAGGGAAGTGTCTAGTGCTCAGAGCTGGAAATTTCAGATCCCCACAAGTTTTGCTTGTGGGTTTCCAGCTGACATGAAATGAGTATAAGACGTTTAGGTTATTTGGGGTGTTTTTTCCTACAACTCTCCCAGACAGAACCAAGAATTGCAGTAACAAAAACCCTGATAGTTTCAGCATCTTTCTCTCTTCAAACTAATAACTGCTAATCCTGAAAAATCCCTATGATGATTAAAAGTCTTAAAGCATCACATCTGTCATGGGGCAGGAGCTACTGAGCTTGTGCAGACTGGGGAGATCACTGAAGGACATTTGGTCTGACTACTGCCACTTAAATACAGTTGGTCGTTTGATAATGAAAGGTGCCAGATAAGTTTGAAGAGTGAGACACTGTGCCAGTGTTGCTTATCTAACCCTGCTGAGCCAGAGCAGTCACAATATCTATGAGGAGTTGTGTTTTCTATGGGGGATCCATATATCATACTCCTGGCAGGACTCGTGGGGCTGGTTGCCCTTACATGTAATTGCTTTGGTAGAAGGCTGAAAAGCTGCCATTGCAAAAGCAGCACTTGCTACCTGCTTATGCTGTCCTCTCTGTGGAGGCTCTTCATCACCCATGCTGTGGTCATGCCTGCCATGCTGCTCTTCACTTCCAATGCATTTGCTTCTTTGAATTACTTGAGAAGATTATACCTGCAGCCTATGTGCAGCAGGAGTGTAGGCAAACAGTTCCTATTAACATCAGCGCATACCCCAGCAGGGAAGAACAGGTCCTTCAGGTCACTGTGCTTTGCATAGAGCATTGGAGTGTTTTGTCTTCTGTGAACAAGCTGATTCAAAACAGGAAGAGGAAAGTTCCCATCCAGGCTTGCTTTGGCTCTTACTTACTATTAGGAGAAGCTCTTGATCACTGCACAACAGACAAACATGATAAAAACTGCTGCTACAGAAGCCTGGTTCTGTTTGAAGCTTTTCATCCAGTAGATCATACTATGCAGCACATGTATGCATATGATATGCCACAGATATAATTCCCATTTATACATGCGTATGTAGTTATGTGGTGTTGTGAGGGCTTGTAGATGATGAAAGCTGGAAGTGAGGCTTTGACCTGGAATTTTGAAGCTAAAGCAATTGTGCTGTGTCGTGTGTGTTATGCAAACTGCAGCAAGGTTTAAAAAGCTTGAAGTTACCAGAGAAGAATTCCCCTGGTTTAGGGAAGCTTTCCATCAGCAGAAAATTTGTCTAGTGGTACTGTGTGAGCCTGGTGACCTCTAGGTTCAGAGAGGCAGGAAAGCACTTTGTCAGTGGAACATAACTGCAGCCGTTCTGGATCAGACCAAAGGTCTGCATAGCCCTGTATCATTGCTGACAAAGGTCACTGTGGGTAATAGTGGCCTGGAGCTGAGTCCGAGGATTCATCGTCTGTGATTCTTTGAGTACTTCAGTTCTCCAACAATTTGATTCCCTCGGGTAGAGAATTTTCTTTATGAATTTAGAAATCCCTGTATGATTTCTCCTCTAGGATGTGTCTGATCTCCCCTTGAATCCGTCTGCTCCACAAGCTGCAAAAATGAAGTCTTTCATTTCTGTTTAATCGGTGCAAACAGCGACTGTGGGGCTGAGTAACTTCTAGCAGATCACTGTGTGCCGATAGAAGTTGTGCATAAAAGAATATCGGGGCTGCTGGCTTCCATTTTTCAAGAAGTGTACCCACTCCTGTGCGGCATTATCTGCACAATGCTTAAAGTCAATCTGAACTAGTGCTCTTAAGCCTACTCCCTTTTGGGGCTTGTTAATTATTGAGTGGAACTACCTGGGAAATCATAGAATCATACAATCATAGAATAGTTGGGTTGGAAAGGACTTTAAGATCATCCAGTTCCAGCCCCCTGCCATGGGCAGGGACACCTCACACTAAACCATCTCACCCAAGGACTCGTCCAACCTGGCCTTGAGCACTGCCAGGGATGGAGCATTCACAACCTCCCTGGGCAACCCATTCCAGTGCCTCACCACCCTAGCAGGAAAGAATTTCTTCCTTATATCCAATCTAAACTTCCCCAGTTTAAGTTTTAACCCCTTACCCCTTGTCCTATCCCTACAGTCTCTAATGAAGAGTCCCTCCCCAGCATCCCTATAGCCCCCCTTCAGATACTGGAAGGCTGCTATGAGGTCTCCACGCAGCCTTCTCTTCTCCAGGCTGAACGGCCTCAACTTTCTCAGCCTATCTTCATACAGAAGGTGCTTAAGTCCCCTGATCATCAAATCTTTGACCTTTTTTTTTTTCTCCCACTAAGAAAATGTAGAATCAATGAAAATACTTGAGAAAGAAAAAAATCCACTATTTTTTATTTTATATTTGTTAGAGTTGCCCTAGGGTGAAATTGTAAGACCTCATCATAAAGAGTTGTTAAGGAAGAAAGATGAGAGAGAAAACAAGTCAGAGAATTGACATAGAGAAATTCAGATAAAAAGTTCTTTTTCCATGTGATTGAAACTGATCTTGCTCTCACTGCTTTCCATTAACATGGGGGGATACTTCCTCAAAATCATTTTTCAAAGCAGAATTCTTTTTTGAGTCCTACTTTAGAACAGAGCCTGAATCCAGCTTCAGAAATCGGGTCAGAAGAATGCAAGGATCAAAGAACAATCTGAAACCCCAAATCCTTAAACTATAGGGTAATTTGCACCGTGACTAAGTGTCCTTCCTTGCAAATTCAGAACTCAGTTCATTTTGCTGAAGTGCATCCAGTTTGGACAACATGCACATAACAGAGCTTTGCATCAATTGTAACAAAACCTGATTTAAAGCCAAAAAAAGGGGTTAACTTACTCTGATAGCACACGTAGTTTTTCCCCTACATGAAATATAGGTTGGCTTATGTCTGATGAAGGATAGTCATAGAGGACAGCAAGGAAATCACTCTCCTGACCTGTTAAAGAAGAAAGAAAATGTCACTTAAACCAAGATAGAGCTCTGAAGCAGAAATGGATTTTTTGTTATATATGTTACTTTTTTGCATGGTAGGTCAAATGGGGAAAAAGAAATCTCACTCTGAAATGTCACTTGATAAACATAAAGAGCTAAAGATGAGCCTGTAACATTATAAGAATGTGAAGATACTAGAAATGAAGCAAGTCATTTGGTTAATTGTAAGCAACTAAATTTAGACCTCCTTTTTTCTAGCAATTACCATATTTAAAGGACATATTCAGTTTGAAACTAGAAAAATTAGTAAGCATTTATAGTATTAGGAAGTAACCCAGTTTTATTAATGCCCCTGTCTCTAAATGCCTCCAGCTGCAATTTTGAGCCAAACCGATGCAGTACAGTTGAGGAAAGGAAGATGCGTATTGAATTGTTCCATTGTTTAACACCACTGATTGCTTTCAAAGGTCTGAAATTAGTTTAGATCAAGGACAATGACAGTATGGCCATTATTGCCCACTTCCCATCACTTAAAAATTAGCTTGATGAGCAGCCAGCATGCTTTGTTCTTCCCCATTGAGGGGGAGGTAATAACTAGGGGTAGCACGTGATGCCCTTATCTTCAATTGAAGAAGAGCAGCAACATGGGTGTTTATAATCAAATCATTGTACAAGCACAACTTTCAGAACTGAGATCAGTAAAGGATAAAATGACCTTTTACATCAGTTGGGATGACTCTGGGCCTTGCAGCATTGTGTAGGACACTTGCTGTTCTCCTGGATTTCTGCAGGATGGAGGAGGCACTCTGTGCAAGATGGGAACTACAAAACCATCAGGAGCTCCTCATCCAGCAGGAGCCTATGGTGCCCAGTAAATGCATAAGTCATGGCAAGAGGGATTGCACTGCCTGCATTTCTCTTGGAAGCGAGTCCCTTCCCTCTGCACATCGCAGTATGCTTTACCAGCATATGGGGAGACAAAGCTTTCCCTCTGCTTCCAGCAGGTTCAGCACATTGTTCCTTAGTAATACCATCTAAGAGGATGTATGCAGAGATAGTTTGATTTAGGCACTTGGCCTCTCTGTGCAGCTCAACATATGCAAAAATGGAATGAACTCAGGGAAGGAAAGAATGAAATTGCCCTGAGAGATAGACACACTGCTGTATCTCATATTTTTTTTTGTTTAATATAAATTCCTCATCAACTTGTCTTTAAGGAAGACAATTTAGGGAAACCTAGAAGCAGCATCCTGGATGAATGCTGAGACTGATTCTGTGTTTTGAGCCTCTGTCTCACAGGGCCTTACAAATAGCTCACAGTGATAATAATGCAAGACTGAAGGAAACATGCAAGTCTGCAGGAAAGAAATAGTTTCAAGAGAAAAGATTTTACGCTCGTTATCCTTACAGCAGTGATGATGACAATAGAAATGTTACAGAAAATATTAGGTTAAAAGGAGTGTTTTCTCAGTTGATTTTGTGTAGCTGTTTGTTATGTTATAGGGGCCTGTTTTATGCAAGGTAGTGGGTCATTTTACCTTAATAGTCAAACTGACTGTAAGCATTTTGTCTTGCTAGCCTTTACCCATTAAAGTAGCCCCACGATACAGTAAGTGAGCATCTTTATGGATACATAGATGACTCTGGAATAGACATTTTTCAGTTTGAGAATGTGTTTAGTATCAGTATTGCTATGGTTTTCCCAGTTGATTAGCGTCACTGAATTAAACAGGACTAGCCCAGTACCTTTGTATTAATCAACCAACTGCAATGATTAGTCTACTATAACTTGTCATACAATTAGTTCAGCTATACTGAAGAAGTTCTGTGCTAAGCATGCCTTTGTTTGCTTCCCTGTTCTGCACTAAAAATTAAGAGACACCTTCTCTGTCTATGAAACTGCTTGGTACCTGAAGCTAACAAGACCTAAGTATTAGTGCTTTTTCAACAAAGCAAGATCTTTACCCAGGACTACAAGAAATATATGCCAGAAGATATGCTGTAAAAACTGCAGAACAGGGATAAAGTGCCATTGCCTAATTTCTCATAGCAAACTGTTAGGCAGCAGCTGGAAACAGAATGTCATTTTTTTTTCAGCTTAATGACAATGCCTTTAGCAGTGATTTTTTTAAACTTATGTTGTTTATTTATAAGTGTTTTTTTTTTCCCTACTAAAACGGTGGAAAACAAGTGCTTTTCTGCTCTCCTTCCTTGCGTACCAGTGTTTTGCATGTTGTCATGCACTGAAGGGTATATGATATTTTCTCTACTCTGGAAAGATCCGGGTACTTTACTTACACTTTCGTCTTTATATTAGTTTTTGTTTCAATTGTGCACGTGAATTTGTAGTTCTGAAAAGGAAGGTATTAATGATAGCGTTGTCTACTGCATCCATGCAAACATTACCCCTTAAACTGCATGTACTTATATTAGAGTGAAAGTAAAAGGGTTTTGTACTACCCAAGACATTCCAACCTTCTCACTTTAACTGCTATTTAAATCAAGCCTCTCTGGGTGTTTTTGGTCATGTAAAATACCCCACCGCTCTACAACCCCACCACTGGACCACATTTCACCGAACCCATACTAGCTCCTTTCAAACACAAAAGCCTTGAAATGGGGACTAAAGAAATGACATTGTTTCTCCACCCCCAAATTTCACAGTGATGTAATAGATTTGATCTGATGAGCTCCCCACACTTTTAAGTTGTAATAAAAAATAGAAGGCTTGCCTGAGTTGTCCTAACAGAGCCTCTCCTCTGCAGGGTGAGTGTAGGTTACATCTCAAGTGGAACAATTCAGAGTGGAAAGATCAAAGCACACTCATTTCCACTGAATCTGGGTGTTAAATCTGGATGGGTTTTTTTTAGGAGTAGCAAATGAATATGAAATACATGCTAGCTCTGTATTTCTGCATCCCTGGATGTCTTGCAAAGTGTGAGACTGAACACTGCATGCTTTAAATTATTCATTGTGAATGGACTATGAAGCACTGTAAGAGAGAAGGGAGAGCATAGGCAGAGTGTGTACCAGAGAGGGTAAAGCAGGGCACTGGTGTGTGTCTGGGAGGCTGTCTCTATAGCAGCCATAAGGTGTGGTTGCAGAATCACACTGTCATACCCAAATTAGATCTAAACCAGCTAGCTTGGGAACTGAGAGTTATGCAGGTGCACCTCAGTGAGGATTAACCCTTGATTCACAGTCTAAAGGGAGGAAAGAGGACAGGATGGGCTCACAACCCCTGATGACCCCTTGCTGCTGTAGCTGCTCTGAGTACCTAGGTTATGCCAGAGATGCCCTGTGCAGCCATATTGGGAGTCTAAATGCCTCCTTGGGATGTGCAGCTTATGCACTGTTTCCTTTCTCAAGAGCAAGACTGATGCACTAGAGGTGAAGAAGCATGTTTTGCTTTCAGCGCAGATCTCGGGCAGCACAAGGTGCTTATAGGAGTCTGAAGAGCACATTCACACTGCTTTTTCTAATAACTGTTAGGACTATTCTAAGTCTGTGGATTGGATCTTCCACCTCAATTAATGGTGGTTCTTCATGGCCTGGGGGAAATCTTCAGTGTTTGGTGATGTAATTTGGAATTTGATCTGATCAGGAAGACAAATAGATACAACCTCATTGGATTAACCCCAATATAAACTTTAAGTACCAAGTTCCTTTTCTAAAGTCTGTTTTCATTGGGTTTGGATGACAGTACTGATGTTTGTATTCCCAACTTCAATTAGCAACATCTAAGCCGTTACGAAAGATGCTGGTCTGATCCAGACTAAGAGCTGTGTAGGCTGTTAAATCATATAATCATAGAATAGTTTGGGTTGGAACGGACCTTTAAAGGTGTCCAGTCCAACTCCCTGCAACGAACAGGCACATCTTCAACTAGATCAGGTTGCTCAGAGCTTTGTCCAACCTGATTGTGATTGTTTCCGAGGATGAGGCTTCTACAAGGCAACCTGTTGCACTGTTTCACCACCCGCATTGTAAAAAAAATCTTTATTATATATAGTTTAAATCTACTCTCTTTTTGTTTAAAATCATTACCATTTGTCTTATTGCTACAGGCCCTGCTAAAGTCTCTCCCAATCCTTCATATAAGCCCCCTCTGAGTATCAAAAGACAGCAATAGGGTCTCCCCAGAGCCTTCTCTCACTATTTCTTTAAAGAAAAGGTGTTCCATTGCTCTGATCACTTTTATGACCAAAAAGCTGCTTGAACATAGGTATCTGGTGCAATTTCAGGTGTGTGAACATCTGAGACATCCCTACAGCCTTGGTAGCCGCCACTGCAGCTATGGGAGACTTGTTCCCTCTCCACGTGGCAGCCAAAGGTCTGGCAGGATCTGACATAGCACCTTTCCAGATGTGCTAGACATGTAGAAAAGTGCAAGTAGATGGAGCCCTGAATTCCTAAATGGGTAGTTCCCCCATGTAATTCCTGTGCTGTCAATGTTTGCTGACTTATGTTTCAGGGGAATGTTCTGTTTACAGCACTAGAAGCAATGCAGTTGGCTTTAACCTTGTTAACTCCTGACTTTTAGCAGGAACAATTCAAACTTGATCAGAGCTGTGGCCATGACCCCTCACTGCCCTGTTCATCACCAAGGCCCTGCTCTGAGTGTGTGCATGTCTCTATCTTGATGGCCATGGTATTTGTGACAGTAGTTGTTGGGAATGTCAGCATAAAAAACCCCAAACAAACTGTCTATTCATGTTATGGGCCTCTGTACTGTTTGGTCTGTGCTTCATTGCCCATGTCAGCTAGTTCTCGGCTATGCCAAAAGCAGGGCTGGGTTACCTTCCAGCACTAATGTAACCAAGCTGATTCCCTATACTTACAATGATGAGCAGCCCAACTGGACCACCTTTCATGGAAAACCCAAAACCTTTGATTAATGCCTTCTCCCTCTAATGAAACCCCCAAAACCCCAAACAATCAAAACTGTTTTCTCTTCCTCACCTTTGGGGAGTGATGTACTGCAGCCCTTGTAGCCACTGTCTTTTGTATCATGGTGTGAGAGCTGGGGCTGCACTGACTCCCCACCTATTCACTGGTAGTTTGGAAGAAGCAGGTCACTGATCTCTACTGCAGATACATGACCTCTACTGGCCTCGGGAGGGGGCTTCACAATCTGAGTTTTTCACATGTGGATGCAGAGGGTAGATGTGTTGCATCCTCTTTTGGCAACTCAGCCTGGGAAATGTGTGCTTTGGTATAATCTTTATTGATAAACCTAACGACAAGTTGGCTGTATGCTGCTTTTAATGCAGCTGTCTAAAAGTGGACTTCAGGTTTAGTGCAAGCTTAACATAAAGGTTTTTTAACCTTAAATGAAGCAACGCGGAATTTCAAGAACAAGTTTGTATAAAATATCCCATGCAAGTATGTCAAAATACATTATTTCTGTTTTCTGAAGCGGTGCTTCAGTGCTTTCTGGATTGGAAAGAAAGTCTTTCAAGGAGCACCAGCAAATACCCATTTTAACATTTGAGGGTTTTAATTAAACTACTTCTTGGAAAAAGAGCTTAAACATACCTAAAAATAACCACTGTTCCATGTATGCCCTCCTTCTCTCACAGCAGTCTTGCACTTGCATGCTTTAACTACGTCAGGCGGACGAAGAAAGACGTGGAGGAATGTACCAAGTATTTTGAACATCTTTCTCTCTTGAAAGAAATTAAATGCATGCTTACCCATTTGGCTCGGCACATTTGTCTCTTCGGAGGCTCTTGGTGTCTTCATGGTATTTCCCATTGCGCTCTCTAATTCCGTCAAAGCTCTTTCAGAACTAAATCAAAGGAGACATTGAAATGAAGCATCAGCAGAACACCTGCTTTGCCGACAGATGAGAAACGACCTAGTTTGGGTGTCTCCGGTTTTGTACAGTTTTGCTTTTGAGAGCTCTTGTGTCAAATTCATGTGAGAGTTTTACATACTTGCTAAACTCTCACCACCCTGGTGCTTTTATCAGGGGAATAGCAGAAAACCACAGCTAGGGAAGTCACTCAGAAGAACGCAGTGTAGTAAAAGTTTCCGTTACCAGTACCTCAGCACAATAGGAAGTCACAGCAAAGCCATGCCTGCACAGTTTCATACACAAAATGTTCTTTTCAGCATTTGGAGCTCTGAAGCTACAAACAATAAAGCATAAAGCCAGTGGTGAAAATTCTTGTCTTTGAAAGTGTTGGTGGATGTGCAGCAAACAGGATCAGAGAATCTTGGAGCTAAATATTGTGAGAGGAAGAGTTCCTTCTCATGGCTTTACCCTACCCATCCTTCTCTTCAGAGCTCAGAGAAAAAACCCGTTGGATGTGGAAAGTGTCTTATTCTATGGAGTATTTTCAGAAGCACAGGGGAATAAGCTGTATCTGCTTGTACATTAAAGCAATATCACTTAACACCACTATCTGATAGGTAATTATTTTAAACATATGTTGGTTTACCTATGAAAATGAGAACAGGATCTCCAGCAGCATCATGTGGGTATTCTGCATCTTTCAGTCTTTTCTAGCTTAACTATTTCAAAGACAATTACTGCCTTTGGAATGCTGCTTCTTACTTACGACAGGCTGGAACCTGATGGTGCTAGCCGGAGAGGTGTCTAACCTGAGAAGCAGTACTGCTGAAATCAGTAAGACTCTGTTACCAATTGTCTTATTCTAAAAGATTGGCAGAATTTAGGGTATGGCTTAATCCCTTAAATTTTTGATGTCTTACAGTGGGTATAGGAAGACATCCTACAGAATAAAATGCCTTTTGAAAGAAAGAGAATTCATCTCGTAGCGAACGCAAGCAGATCAGTGCTAAAACAGATGGTAATGCACAGTTTGACTCTACCTCATCTGGTTTCCAAGCTTCCTAGTTCTTGTTCCCAAAGGCTTTTTGCTAGAAGTCTCTATTTCATTGGCCAAATGGCATGTTACCCCATCACTGCACTCAGGAGCTAGCCTGTGGCACATCTGTAGGATGCAGCTGTGCATCCTACATGTCTTTCTGACAAGTGTCTGAAATATGCTTTCGTAAGAACAGAAAACTGTTTCATGGCCTGATATAAGTAGTCTAGAAGCTGAATAAAAAAAGCAGCCTTAAATTTAAATAAACTATTTGGGTACTCATATTTGAATAAAAGGGAGTCTCAATTAAAAACAAAATCATTCTCTGCTTAAATGCACCTAAGATTCTGAAACTGAAATCAGAATTCAGAATTCATTTTGGCAGGCACTGTGTACTTCCAAGATTATATTTCTTGAACTAATTATGAATATATGTTTTGCAAGACCTGATTTGAATTTCTTCAACATTTTTCTCTGTTGTAACCCATAAAGAATAAGCATAGGAATAGTGCAGACAGTATTTTGGCTACAGATACAATGAATGTTCCTGGCTTGTGTTCAACTTAGCCAGCAGAATTTCTTGGGCATGGCAGTAGAGAGCTCAATAGGGCTGAAAAAGTCAGCCAGAGAAGTGGAATAAACACCTTGAGAGATAACCTCTGCTGAGCTCTGTGCTGTAGTACCTGCATTTCTGCAGCACTTGAAAAGGGCAGTTCAAATCTGGCTCAGTGTATAGTAAGCAAGCTGCAGTTACCAAAAATGTAGTGCAGTTCCAGACAGGTGCCAAGCGTGGCAGCATAAATACCTTATGCCCATCTGTAAATTTAACACATGCAATTGTTATTTAGATGAGAACAGTGCTTGAATTTTGTGTCACAAAAGTCTGAAAAAATAAGAATAAAAATCCTACCTCTGTCTACCTACCCCTTTATTCCGGGTCTTGGTATTTGAGAGCCGGCCATCCTACTGGCGACCAGACTCGTGACAGTGCTTTCAAGGGCTTTTTTTCCTACTCTTATGATACCGTGGGCACAGTTTTTAGGTGTGCCTGAGTCACTTTGGAAAGTGATGTGTAGCTTTTGTACATGATGGAAAGACTGTAAATTTTACATCACAGAAGCTTCCTGAAAGCACGGCATATTTGAACAAGTCATCTTCATTTTCCTAGATGGTATCTAGGGGTCAAAACTCCAAGCATTGTTTTAAAAACAACTAAAGTGGTTTTGAAAGTTTGCTTATGTGCAGTTTGTAATCAAAACACTTGTTATCTGTTGGACATGGATGAAGTACTGGGCAATGGGCATGTGCCTACTTTTTGCAGAGCACATCCAGAAGTGGCTTAGCTCACTTATGCCATACCAACCATCACTCTTCTCAAGGGAGCTCTGAAGTCAACAGCACAGAGCATGCAGCTCAGTGCTGCTACTTTAGATGTAGAAGAATCTGGCTTACAGAAAATACAAGTGTTATAAAGTAGTTACAGGAACAGTGAAGAGCAATGAAGTTTTGGTCTTTGACGTCACTAGCGTGACAGTTTGCCATGTCTCATTACATTTTCCATGCTGTTTTACTGCCACTAATTATCATTGGTGGCCACATAAAGTCTTGAAAGGAACAGAGAGTTCAAGATGTTCTCTAGAGTCATAGCAGAAGTGTTCAATAAAAGTAAGCAAATGGAAAGCTGTGATCACTGCTGTTAATTCACTTATCCAAAGTGATCAAAAAGAAAATGATAGATATCTGACTGTTTTACCACCAAGGCCACCCGTCATTGTGCATTTGAGCTGAGAAAATGTGTCTATAGTCCAGTCAGAGGTGGTGGAGTAAATGCCCTGAGGTATGGCTAAACTCTGCCATACGAAAATTAGACGAAAATGGAAGAAATTGGGAGTTTTGTTTGAAATGGAAAAGGGTGAAAGCAAAACATTGTTTCTCCTTGGTCACTGTCAGTGGTGTGTCAGTGGTTTTAGAGTATGAATTAGTATACTAACTATACTATTCTATGATTCTGTTTCTAAAACAACAGTGTACATGACTCTACATGCGTGATAGAACTTAATGCCTTAAGTAGCTTGTGCTTGCGTTGAGTATTGGCAGTGCAATACAAATCCATTGTATCGCTAGATGATAAACCATGGTGGTTTTCTACAATTTTGAGATACTCTGCAAAAATGGACTTCCAGGAAACTGCCCAGCATCTTGTGGCCAAGCTGATTTTTTTTTTATCATTTAAATCAATAGTGGAATAATATCAGTGTTATAGATGATACTCTTTTGAAATGGGGAAGCTGTTCCAGGCACCGCATCTCACTTAAAGTTGGTGGCAGTTTGGGATGCGAGTAGAGGTGGCAACTGTGTGTTATTGAAGCAGATAATTATGCCAGATCCAAAGAATATCATTCACCGAGGGACATTTGGGAGGAATTAAGGAGGAGTGGTAGACTCTGAGCTCACCATGTCTATCAACCCAAAGCCCAGCATGGAGGAGTATAGCTGCTGTTCAGCTCAAAGGAACCGCTGTGCTGCTGGGCTGCAAACCAAACTCTACCTGCAGCTCTCCCCACTCATAGGCCACCTCCTCGGGGTTGTGTGGAAATATGATTTTAACCATTAAGTTCACATTTGCAGTCTGCTGTACTTTGGTCCTTTCTCCTCTTCCCTTTCTGCTTGTGCAATGCTGCTTAAGGAAGGCTGGTTCCTGCAGCCATAGCTGTTGCAAGCACACAGCTAGTGGGGTTTAGTGATCTTTACTGCTTTATTTTTGCTGCCAAAAGGAAGGTGTAGAAGCACTAGAGCCCCAGTCCTGCTTTGTGTCCCATTTGTCAGTGGCAGAGCTCTCGGCAGATATGAACTCTTTACTTGTCACGACTGGAGTTTCACTGACCTATATCGTGTGTCCCAAGAACTTGTGCTATTTACACCTTCCATTCCTGCGTGCAGCACATGTAGCAAGAATTTCCTCTCACTGAATCTGTTCTCTGAGCAAACGTGCTTCTGGAGCAGTTAAATAGCACAGCACATAGGAGAGTGCATTGCTTTGTGAGAACTTTGTCAAAGTTATATTTGAAATGGTTGAGAAATAATAAATGAAATGGAAATAATTAGAGAAATAAAAAGGCAAGGTAAGCACCTGAGTAAAGCCCCTCTTCCTGGAATATTGCAGACTAGTAAAATTAGGACATTCATCATTGCTGAGGTGTTACACCCCATTTTTTGTAGCCTGATATTTACATCTATACCATCAGGATCTTAGAATTTAATTCTCAATAACATTCACAGGTAATGCCTTGAAAATGGCATCCTTTTGTTTCTCATTTTGGGGGGAAAAAAAAGGCAGCTTAGATTTCAGAAGCTGTATATTCATTACTGAATTTCCCTTAATTTGTCATTAATCAAAATGAGCATCCTTTCAGCTCTGAGGCATTTACACCTTTGCACTTAAAAGAACAAGATAATGCTGTAATCAAGGTAATTCACAGAAACATGCAACTACCAAACAACACAGAAATACCACATTATGCAAACTTCTAACACTGAATAAAAAGCCCACTAATCTGTGGGTTTATATTTTGAGTTATAGTGCAATGCAATTTGCTTCAGCATCAGGTCCTATGCATCTCTCTTACTGTAAGCTTTCAGCAGGAATACTCCTTGTCCCTTCTATCTTTAGTACCACTCCTTATGAAAAGGATCAAGGCAGGCTTGATTTCTACCTGTGGTGGTACTTGAAATCCATGGTCTGAATATTGTCATTGTCAATGAAATAGAACTCCCTTTTATATAAATAAAATTGAAACATTTGGTCCCATATGCAGACAATCTAAAATGTATCAGAGCAATGATTACCTTTAAATGCTAGGCATGCTATTCCAGGTTGCAGTATCTCTCATAAAAGCCGTAGTCATAATACTGCTCTCATGCTGCCAGCAAGGTTTAGCTGATCAAGTCGAGGAGCAGCCGGTCGAGTGAGTGTGTTGTGAAGTTCACGCTGTCATGTAGAGCAGCATTTGCCAAACAGGCCACATACTTCCTCTCTGAGAAATAAGGAAGGCTCAAAGTGTTTGCAACAGATGAGGTTCCTGTTGCAAGTCATTACTCTAGACACTTTTTATCGGTGGGCTGAGAAAAACAGGGAGGTTTTCAAAGTGTTGCATGGCTGGTTTTAGCAGATATAAAAAAAAAAAGAGCAAAATAATCTGTTTTACATTATCTACACAAAAAAAAAAGGCTTCTTTTCCTCTCCTTTTTGCTTCTTCCAAATTTATCTGGTACTCTTCAGTCCCCAACTGTTTCATTTTAAGTAGCTTTGCTAGTTTTTTTTCATACAGACAGGAAGAGGCACAAAACTTTGTTTTGTTTTCCACTCTTATTGAGCCTGAATGGGAATGAAAGGTTTGCTTAATTCTTAATTTACCCAAAATACCTCTGTCTGCAAATAATTGAAGCGTAGTATCAGCATCAGCGATGAAAGAATATGGAGTGAAAGCCTGTCTATAAAGCACATTTTCATATCAGTTGTACAAAGTACAGAAGTAAGAGCCTCAGGAGCTCTCATCTCAGTATCTGAAATCACACAGGAATATAGTACTGCAGATATGTATATAGAAGTCAAAGGGATTAAGGTTTGCCCTTTGCTTTAATAATTAGGATGTGATCTGAAAAGCTCATATACCTTGTTTTGTATATTAAAATTACAAAACCAAACCAAAGCAAAGCTAAAACCCAAACAAAATGCAGCAAAACCAAATAGAGTTCCTACTTCACACCAGAATAGCTCTGAGTAGATGCTTGTTGTAATGTCAGTGTGTTCGATGATGAAAACTAAAGTTGACAAGTGTGGGAGCCATTGTGTAAGTGTTATTGGAAGCAAGAGACACTGTTCAAATTCCCAAAGCTGTGCCAAAACTTGGAACTGTGGTAATTTCAGGACAACATCCTTTCTTTTTGATGGGCTGTGCTGGCAGTCCTCATTCTGAAGGGACTGGAGAGCATTTGGGAATCTGGATAAGGAAATCGGTCTACACCACACAGCTGTAATAGCATTATAGGCAATCCTCTGGGGAGCTGGTTTTGCCGTAATACCCCAGGATTATCCCCAGCAGCTATAGTTATATTTTGGTGGTTTAGGATCTTATTGCTTTCTTCCAGTCAAAGGGATGTGATATGCGTGTTCCTTAATGTCATTCATTGAATGGATTTGCAATGTCTCTGGAATTCCTAAAAGATCACAGGCTGGGGGTGTCTTCACCACACGTGGAAACAGGCAGGGGGAGAGTTTTGCCTTTTCATCATCCTTCTCACCAAGGTCTGCCTTTGGCAGGCTCTGATGGTCTTTGTGCTTCAGTAAGAAGTAAGCTTGCATCCTAAGATGAACTCATGAATGGGGCAGGTGTCAGACTGAGCAGGAAAGATTGGTCATGCTAAAGAGGAGATTGTACTTGCTTGATAGAGCATGCTCCACTGGAAACACAATAAATCTCATCCACAGTTTGTACCATGCTTGTAAAGGAACAGATGAGTTCACAGTGGAGGGAGGTAAATAAAATTCTCCATTTCCATGTAATTTCTGCCTGTGGCTATTTATTCTTGTGTCATGATGACAGCTAGTTTACGCTTTCAGTCATTCAGCTAATAACTTGGTTTAGATGATAAGATAATTGATAAGCTAATGTTTACATCTAAATGGAAGAAAGTCAAGTAAGGCTTTATATGTCATCTGAAAAGTATTCATATCCTGTTGTTCAAGTCACCAACCTGACACAAGCCTTCTGTGAGTTACCTGAGAGGAGAACATTGCATTTGCAGGGCTACCTCTGATTATAACAAAGAGGGATTTGCCAAGACTTCTGTGTGAAAAGAAATCTTCAAAATTTCATTTTTGATAGAAGAGAGAAAACCCTCCCCTTCCCCCCATTTTAGTCTGGAAATCACTGTTCTAGTAGATGGTTATGGAGGAAAAACTGTCGCCCTTTCCATTGCTGGACTTACCTGCCAATTCCCTGTCACAGTCCATGTGCTAGTGTTTGCCACGTGTCTGCCACATAGCTCCTTAGCTGTGACAGAGACTTCTCGAGTTGGTCCGAAGGTTTTCTACTCCTCCATGTTCTTGAAAACAGACTTGGTCTGGAAGCCTGGGAAGCTGACATTAATGTCTTCACATAGAGCCCTGCAGCTCTGGTGTGCTGTTAAGCAGTTGCCACTCTGTAGAATTAGATGCCTAAAGAAGAGCAACGAAGGATACTGAAAAACAACTCTGTAAGAAAAACCCCCAAAGGCTCCAAACTGAAAACAACTTCAGAAAATACTTTAACTCCAGTCTTTTAGAGGCTAATCTGTTAAACTGATTGGAAAGAAGAGTTAGCTGGCACTTTGTGCTTATTTGCGGGGAGAAAAAAACAGGATATGAGCAGACTCTTCAATCTGGTATTAACTGAAACTTAAGCTATCCCCAAACAGAAATAAGGTGCAATTTTCTGTCAGTGAAGTGGTTGTCTTCAGGCTCAAAGTGCAGAGGAGAAGATTGCGGTACCCATTTCTCAGTGTCTCTGAGCCCAGCTTAAATGCTTGATTCAAGAACAGGCTTTAGTCAAACACAAGGTGTGTTTAAGTGATAGGAAGCACTTGAGCTCAGCAGTCAGGAAATGGAAGAGCCTTGGCTATCCCGGAGGTCAAACCAGATGGCCTGACAGATATTTCTGGCTGGGAACTGTATGTATCAGAGCCTGGAGAAGTGCCTGTCTTTAACAAATAGAATAGTACCGTAGAGATGGCTCTTTTGGGAAAGTAGAATAATCAGGGCATTTTGTTAGTTTGACCGTTTTCATTACATACTTTTTGATCTCACTTTTTGGGTAGTGTTACTGTTATTGCCGTTTGTATTGTCATAGCGTGCTTCGGGGCAGACAGAAAACCTACTTCAAAAGGAGCCTGCAGCCTTGCAGCCATCAGAGAAACTGCATTAATTTGAAGGCAGTGCATGTGTCAAAGAGCTGAATATGGCTCAAGCAGGGTTTTCAGTTTCGAGACAGGTTGGAAAAATCAGAGGTCACGATGTGAGGAGAGGAAGATTTTGGGTTTACAGAGTGTGGGTGATAAAAACTAGCTGCAGCGAAGTTTCTAATCATTAGATCTGTTGTGAATCAGTTTTGAAAAGCTTTGCAGAAGTGAGTTTCCAGAGCAAATGAGGAATTAAAAGACATTCACCATGGCAGCTTATTTGGCAAATGTATTTTCCAGGTATGTTGGGAGACAGAGGTGCGCTTGCAGTAATGTGGTAGGTTGACCTGGCTGGACACCAGGTGCCCACCAAAGCCACTCTATCACTGCCCTCCTCAACTGGACAGGAGAGAGAAAATACAGAGAGGCTCACGGGTTGAGATAAGGACAGGGAGAGATCACTCACCAATTACTGTTATGGGCAAAACAGACTTGACTTGTGGAAAATGGTTTTATTACCAATGATATCAGAGTAAGATATGGAGAAATAAAAAAATGACATCTTGAAACCCTATTTTATCAGGGTGTTATCAGTGCTGTTCCCAGGCTGAAAGTCAAAACCACAGCACTGCACCAGCTACTAAGAAGGAGAAAAATGACTGGTACTGCTGAACCCAGGACACATGGTCTTCAGGGGAATCTCTGCTTTGGTGGCTGGAGCACATCCTCCTCTACTGCACTGACCTTGGGGTCTACAGGGCTGTTCCTTTCACATATTCTTGCTCCTGTTTCTGGCTGCAGTTGCTCAGGCTCTTTTTCCCCTTAAACACATTATCCCAGAGTGCTACCACCATCACTGATGGGCTCAGCCTTGGCTAGCAGTGCATCCATCTTGGAGCTGTATGTAATTGGCTCTGTTGGACATGGAGCCCTCCCACTATCAAAACCTTGCCACACAAACTCAATACAAATCATATATTCTTTTGTATTATCTCATCAGAATAGTAGCAAAGGATTGTGGAGGAAGAATTAGGATGGACAGGACAACACCAGTACAGGTCTGTGATCTATGATGTCCCAAGAGAGAAATTTGGAAAAGGTACCAGCCTCAACTCGGCTGATCGCAGCCTGAAAACAAAGCAGGAATTCTTCACATCATACTGATTTTCATTCATCAGCTTCTCATCATTGTGAGCTGCAACATTTCCTGGTATCTGAATTTCTACTGTCTAGCTTAACCTCTAGTTTTGAAAAGAGAAATAAAGAAACACTTGGAAAACTGCTGGTCACTGAACTAAGGCTTTGCCTTCCATTCGCAATGCCTTCTCCTGTTACAGTAGGTACTATTAGCCAATACTGTAATCCTCTCTTGCATAGGAAGAGAGGCACCCTCTCTTCCCATGAATGTAGGAGGACAGTGTAATATTGCTGTTGTGGATTGTGCAACACAGCTGCAATCAGTTCTCAGCAGCGTAGTACTGAACGTTTTCAACTGGGGGGTTGTCAAAAATGTCATTGGAGCTTCCTCTGATGACAGTGGGTCAATCCATAAGGACACCTGAAACAAGAACTGCATGTGACTTCAGTTCCCTGTCGAGCTCCTCTAAGTGATGCTGAGATAGGAAACAGCCTGTGACAGCAAGATGGTTAACAGTCATAGTTTTGTTATATATCCCCTGTTGTTTAGAGGTTTGCTTTCAGAAAACTGCCCTGCATGGTTATCTGAAGATCTCAGTCGTTAGTTTTAAAAGTGATTTTTTAGCTCTCATGTTCATAGGTATAGGAGAATTCCTGGAGAACTGAAAAACAGAGGATCAACAAAAAGAAGAGTGTTTGTTATTTTGGAGCTGTTCTCATGGGTTTTGGTTTCCTGATTCATGATTCTGTCATGTTGATGGTAATATGGGTGTCATGTAATGGAAATGAACAGTCCCTCTGCTATTTCTGCTTCTGCCTAAATAGTCCTATTTTTTAAAGCACACAACTCCTTCATTCCTGGTTGCTGGGACTAATCACACAAATAAATTATGGTTTTATAGGGAAAGAAGGAAATGCTAAGTGCAGCTATGTTATCCTATGTGTCCTGAGCCTGCCTCTCACGTGGCTACAGTATTTAGGGAAGATTGCTTTGTAATGTGAAAACTGCAGGCTCAAAAAGGAAGAAATTTAGTTCTGGGCAGTCTCCAGCTTCTGCTCTCACTTATTTGTTCCTGATTTTCTTTGGTGAGGATGAGGAAATAATGAGCCTCAATTGTGATGTGAATTTGAAAAACAGAGAACCGGTATAGCTTTGCTTGCCTAACTTCTGAGCAAGAGGAGCTTTGTTTCCAGAGCCTGGAACATATTTCTGATGTACCAGGGGAGGGAACATAATGGTATTGCTTCCAAATACTGCTTGAATGATGTCCGAAGTTCCTCTGTCACCCACTTCCAGTCCCAATAAAAAGTTGAACATGAATAACAGTAGCGGATAACACATCTCTTTCAAACCCCAAACACAAGACATGCTTCCTGAATGCAGTTGTTATAAAAAAACCCTAACTGAGGAAGTGGCCATTACCATGGAAAATAAAAGAAAAAACAGAATAAAGAAGAGCAGATAAACCTGTTCTAACCACTCATGCAATGAAGAGAAAATATCCACAGCTAGCATAAGGCTCCAAACAAGCACTTTCCTCACCTAGCAAATGCATTTGCAGAAGTTTTGGGGTTTCCTTTTACTCATCAAGCTTGGACCATATCAAGTGCTAGCCCATACGTACCTAGGGCTGCGACATGAATATTTGCCCAGTGAATGTTTGGATTCTATGTCATCTGCTCTCAATACTCTCCCTACTCAAGTCAGGCAACTTCAGAATTTCCACTTTCCAGAAACTGCCACTTTCCAAATTGTGAAGCTTTCAGACTTTGGGAAATTGAAACCCTTTAATTTTTTATGGTTTGGTTTGGTTTTGTTTGAAATGAGCGGTAATGATCACTTGATAAAATACTCTGGGCCTGTTCACATCTGATGTTGAAGAACACGTTTGCCAAATTATTGGATGAATATTGTGCCATCCCATGTCTAATTTCTCTGCTATAGCAAGGAGGCACATAATTCCTTGCCCCAAGTGAAAAGCTGTTCCTTTCCAACCCTAACTATTCTATGACTCAACGATTCTGAAGGAAGTGTTATACCTTTTCTAGTCTCATTCATCCTAGTTCTGATGGACTAGGGTGCTCTTCCGATGCTCTTCCAAAAGCTAGACAAAAAACCCAGCATTCATTCTGCATCCTGGGTACTCATCCACACACAGAATTACTCTCATCAAGGATACTTTTATTTCTCTCTCATGACCAACTGAGTCAGTGCACACAGTCAGCAGCTGGTACCCTGCCTTACAAACACAAAATAGGCCACCACAAATCCCACATGAGGATAAAGCCCATTGCTCACTGTAGTTCTCATCTAAATCAAGGGTGGAAGTGAGGATTAAATCCAAGTAGTGTTTCTTTCTTCTTTAGTTCTTCTGCCTTCTTAAAACCAGAGAAAGCTGTTTTAGTGCCCCAGGACTGACAACCTTAGCTTTTTCCTTTGCTCATCTGCAACCATCTGCATCTCAGTCATTAAGATAATAACAATGCTTGTTTTCCAGATCCCTTAAAAAGGAAGAGAAACCTTTCAGGAAGGCAGTAGCACTGGACATTCTACATACAGTGAAGTAAAAAGGCTGTCTCTACATCCAAATGATAACCTCTTTATTTTTTTGAAACAGATTTCCCCAGTTCTGAGCAATGGTGTCCTATCAGTATCAATGTGTCTGCTCATTGGAAATATGAAAATACGCTGGGTACTGGCCAGGTCTGCACAAGCTTCTTAGGGCACAAAGGTTTGAGGCTACTGCAAATTAAAGATTTGCTGTTTTGATTTGCTCCTGGGTTTATGCTTTTTCAGACTTGTAGTTGTGCTTTGAGCAAATTCAGTAAGAAGTTAATTGTCTGAATAGATCGAGATCCTTCATATCATGCATCTAGGGTTTAGGTTATTTTAAAAGTTGGAAACTAATCTTAGCAGTTATTATAGTAAACTGATGTAAATGTCTGGAAATTAGTCATTTGAACCATGTCAGAGCTATTCTAGCCTTTCTGTTCTAAGTGAGATATTACCAGATTTATGCTAATTTATCTGCATTTTCAATAAGTGGTTTTCATGGTTACTCAACAGTATTGTACTGTGTTCACTAGGTGAAGACTTCTTCCATGCTGACACAGTCATAGGAAAGAAACAAAGAGTTTGGGGTAGAAATTGGACTATGCTCTGATTTTGATGTGCTCTGACTCTTAATCTTCTGCAGCTGGGTTTAGCCTTTTGTTCCTACAATCCCTGCTCATAGCTCTTCAAAGCCTTCACTTCTCCTTGGGTTTGCTATCTTAACGTTTCTAGCCTAAATTTATTGTCACTCAACATGAATAGTTAATGCCCATTTGGCCTTGTACTAGCAAGTCCTAAGTTATTCATAACTTTTCTTCATGGACTCATTTAGAAAGATCATGCCTGATCTCAGTTCTTGTTTATCACAGTTAAGAAAGTAAAACTCTATTTAGTCTGCTCTTGTAAGATGGCCTATCCACTCCTTCACCCTTATCCTGTGAGGTATGCCCTTCCTATATGCTCCTGTTTGAATGTTTCTCCTTCCAGCAAAACTGTCATAAAGATTTGTGACTTGATTTTAGACATAACATAGACACTTTTCAGAGATCTTCCAAAATAACTGTGGCAGAGATGGAAACAGCCAAACTTTTCCTCCTCCCCTTTGCTTTGATCATTAGAACTTGCTTATATGATTTAAATACCAGCATTTTACATCCTGCAACTAGGCTGATTTTGCTTCTCACGCTTGTGAGGTGGGCTGAGGCCAACCTCATGAAGTTTAACCATGCCAAGTGCAAGGTCCTACACCTGGGTTGGAGCAATCCCAGGCACAGCTGCAGAGAAGAGATTCAGAGCAGCCCTGTGGAGAAGGACTTGGAGTGCTGGTCAATGAGAAAATGAACATAAGCTGGCTGCAGTGTGCGCTTGCAGCCCAGAAAGCCAACTGTATCCTGGGCTGCATCAAAAGGAGCGTGACCAGCGGGTCAAAGGAGGTGATCCTGCCTCTCTACTCTGCTCTCGTGAGACCTCACCTGGAGTATTGTGTGCAGTTCTGGTGTCCTCAACATAAAAAGGACATGGAACTGTTGGAACAAGTCCAGAGGAGGCCACGAGGATGATCAGGGGACTGGAGCACCTCCCGTGTGAAGACAGGCTGAGAAAGTTGGGGCTGTTCAGCCTGGAGAAGAGAAGGCTGCATGGAGACCTCATAGCAGCCTTCCAGTATCTGAAGGGGGCCTGTAGGGATGCTGGGGAGGGACTCTTCATTAGGGACTGTAGTGGTAGGACAAGGGGTAACACGTTAAAACTTAAACAGGTGAAGTTTAGATTGGATATAAGAAGGAAATTCTTTCCTGTTAGAGTGGTGAGGCACTGGAATAGGTTGCCCAGGGAAGCTGTGAATGCTCCATCCCTGGTGGTGTTCAAGACCAGGTTGGATGATGCCTTGGGTGATATGGTTTAGTGTGAGGTGTCCCTGCCCATGGCAGGGGGGTTGGAACTGGATGATCTTAAGGTCCTTTCCAACCCTAACTATTCTATGATTCTATGATTCTATATTTTATTTACCTGCACCAGGGTACCAGGTGCTTTGACAACATGTGTTGACTGATATTGTCTTTCTTTTCCAGGGAGGCTCAGCTTTTTCTCCAGCATCTATTATTACTAAGAGGAGAGCACAGACCCAAGCAGCAGTCCTGGCTGAAGATGTGGGATGCCCTTCATCCACCATTGAAGAAATTGTAGCCTGCCTCCGCCAGTTGCCTGCTCGTGTCCTCAATGACGCACAGACTAAGGTACACCACAACAAAATACATGCCATTGGCAAGGAATCAGAAAGTTGCTGTTGACACAAAGCTCTGAGGAAGCTTAAGAAATAAACTGGTCTGAATCCTTGTGAAAGAGGAACAGGACTATCTTTGATGGAGTGATGCTGGTGTCCATGACATCCACCTCTGACCTATGAATACTTGCAGCTTGATTCTCCTCTAGACTCAATTCTTTTTACACTACTTTGACTACATTTCCCAAAATTAATCAAAATATAGTTTTTGCCTTTTTTTCAGTCCCCTCTTGTCTGCCCTTGGTTGTTACTTTAGGAGAATCAAATGTCTGTAGCTTTTCTGCAAAAAACTTCATTTCTGCAGGAAAGAAAGTGGGGAGGGATGTCAGTGCTCTGAAGTGGGAGACTTGTGAAAGCTACAGTATACGTATTTCTAGAGATGGATCCTTTACTCAAAGATTAAAACACTGTCTGGCAATACATTTTCCGATCAGGACCAGCATAGAGCCAATCCCTAATTTTATGATTTTAGTTCTCTTTAGTTCTCACCTTGCTTCACCTACTGTCAACGATGAGTTTGCACTTACTGATTGCTTGTTCACTTGAAGGCTATCAACTCAGTTGTCAGAAGCATCAATAAAATGGGAATCACCAGGATAAACTAATTTAAATGCAATACTATTACTTTTTTCCTAACCTAGCTCCTAGCTATAAGCGGCCCATTCCAGTACTGGGGTCCAGTGGTGGATGGAATTTACCTTCGGGAACCTTTAGCTAAAGCCCTGCAGCGTCCTCAACTTCGGAAAGTAGATCTGCTCATTGGAAGTGCTCAGCAAGATGGGTTGATCACCAGAGCTAAGGCCATTAAGGTAGGAAAACGATCACTGTTAAAGAACTGATGGTGTTACTATTATTATAGTGATGGCAATAATCATATGAAGGCAGGACAGGTGCTTTTCCATTTCTACAATTGGTGAATTACATGCAAATATGCAAAGGCATTGCCCATCTCCAGGCCGTCTCGTTTAAGCTGATTAATGCATTATTATGTTTATTGATAGACATTACTGAGGTATGAAGAGGTCAGAGATTAGCAATGATTTAGCATGTACTAATATGCAGCAATATGTTTTACTGTCTCTAAAATCCTATTGTCTATTGCATTCTCAGTTGTATCTCACAAGGAAGAAAGCAAGCTCATAATTTGGTTATAAGTTTTTTCAGCATGCAGCAGGACTAAGTCTTTTCCATGCCAACATTTTCTTTTTTTGGCATATTTTTTTTCTCTCTTGCCTGAAAGAAGTATATTTTTTTGTAAAGGTCATTCTGACTATGGCCTAGGAATGACTAAGAATAGCACTGGCCTAATGTGTGTGCTAAAGATTCAGGGCATAGACTGGTGAAATGAAAAAGAATTGCATCCATGCTGCCCTTTGGACATAAAAGTCCTCAAAATCGTAAATTCTACCCAGAGGGATTTTACGTCTTCTTGTGAACCTTCTGGTTTTATCTGTCCTTCTGGTTTCTATCTGTCCTTCTCTGCGATGGGAATGATAGCATGTCCCTGTTTAACAAATTAGATCAAATGCTCCAGTGTGCTCAGATGTATGACAAGATATCAGTAGGAGAATGCAACATGGCAGGAATTATTTTGAAGGTTGCTTAAGTGAGCTGCAGGTCTGTTGCTAACTTTCTGTAACTGTGTGAATCTCATCCCTTAGGAGGCAGTGAAAGGTCAATCCCAGCTTCTCTTTGCTGGTAGCCAATAAAACATAGACCAGTTTAATTCAGAAATAATGGCAAAATTAACCATCTGAAAGAAGGCTTTTTGACCCAGCTGAATAAATTTCATATTGCTTGTTTAGTCTCCATCAGAAGTTTCTTGCTCTTATTTCATGTCTGTTGCTCTTTTGGAATCAATTAAAAGAGGAAGTCAGGCGTAGGAAATGGACCGTGATGCTGGCAGTCTGCAGATAATGATCCAGACCCTGTGAGAGGGGAATAAACCTCAGTAACCTTATGTGATAAAGACTAGGAAGTGAAATTCTTTCCTTTACCACTATTTCCACATATGACAGTTGTCTGTAAAACCAAAATAAAATGCCATGATGTATGAGAAATTATGCAACAAATCATAATGTTAATGAAAGACAGAAGTGCTAAAGGCCAGCACTGTCAGGTTGAAATGAAAAGGAAAAACCCCATAACTGAGGGCTCGGTAGTAAAATGTTGCCTTTCCAAAAAGAAAATCTGAAATACTTTCTGCAAGCCTTTAAATAACGAAGCTAAGATTGGAAGGGGACTCAAAAACTGGTGCAACTGAACCTTAAGAAATGGTCATATCTACCTCATTCCGAGAGACCTGTATTAAAATCTCCTACTGTTGAACATATGATGTCCTTCAGCAGGGGTTTAACTATCCTTACTTAGAAAGATAGTTAACTTGATTACTAGCTATGATAATAGTAACTACCTTACTTGGTGTAACTGCTATAGGTTAGATTCCATCCTGTTCCTGAAAATTCATAATATTCATGGCAGGTGGTTATATTTTATTTGCTCCCTTTTGATGTCCTTAAGCTGGTTTCATATTCTCAGTAAGAACTTTATGCACATTTTCCTCTATTTTCCTGTGTCTTCAGGTATTTGGGGCTTGAGGGAATATGGCTCTTTTGACTAATGTGTATTCACTAAAAAATTACTGAGATTGTTTTCTTAAATACCTGCTGCAAGGCTGAAGTTTTGTGATTTCTTCTTGGTCCATGCAGTTAGTGTATTAATTGCTGAGAAACGGTAATGCTTCCTTTGTCACTGAGCTATTTAAGAACATGTATTTTCTATCTCAAGGCCGTTTGTACCTCATGGCCATACCCATGCATAGTTGTGGTCAAAATCAGATGATAAAGTCCTGAGTAGGCCACAGACATATTTAGCTACAGTGGCAGAAACCGGTGCTGGTGGTGGTTGTTACTGAGAAGTCTGTGCTCCGTTTCCTCTGTCATAATGTCATAGAAGCCCTTTGATCTGTGCTAAGTGTCCTTTCCCCACAATAGACGTGGAAGAAGAATTTGAGACAACCTGCATTATATCCCACTGTTCTACTTTATTTGATTTAAGAGTTCCTTTGAGGTAGACTTGACTTGAACCTTTCTGGTAAAACTGAAAGCTGGTTTTACTGATGTACTAAGGAAGGTGGAAGGGCTTAGAGCACTGAACTCAACTGGGGGAACCAAAGAATAGTTCCTACCTTGCCTCTGGCTACTAACTAGTTATTTAATCTGTTCTACAAAGAGGGGGCCAAACCTCTCTGAGTGAAAATCCACCTGTGGATGTGCTCCAACTCCGTAGAGGGAAGAACCATGCATGTGTTTGGGTAGATAAACAATGCAGTTAAAAGGTCCTCTGGCAAGAGTATGCAATTTGCAAAGTCCTTCATTTCCATCTCCTTTAGGATGACTGATTTCACTGTAGTCCCCTGCAAAGAGTGGGGAAAGGAAAAGTTGACCCCTGCTGACCTGTCCCTGGGAATTTATGCTGGAAAATTCAGACAAGGTCTTGCTCTATTGATTCTAGTCTTGCTCTGTTAACAGTGATCCTGTAAATGGTGAGGAGACACTTTTAGCCATTTGGATGCAAGCAAGTTTGAGATGTGATGTGAATCTTATCACCTTAGACTGGAGTTGCAAGCAAGTTTTATAAACTCATAGCAGTCAAGTGAGAGTAAAACCTCTAGACTGTAGCCGGACCTGAAGATGGTAAATCCAGTTGGCAATATATTGCTCTGTGGGGGCTTATTTTGTTTCATTGGGTGTCTCTGTATTCCCACTGCATCACTGTGCTTATGCCTTTTAAAGCCCTTACTATTAAAAATGAAATAGACAGAAGGCACCACTTATATGCTAGCAAAACATGTATCTTTGATTTGTTTACAACTGAAGGCTCAGGTGTCCCAGTGGTGCTTGCAGCAGAGAGTATGCTGAACATTTGTGCTCAATGTCTTGCCCATGGAAATGACCGTTTATGACATTCACTTGAATGCTTATTCATGTGAACTGAGACAGATTTACCACTTCCTGGAGCACTTTGTACTCATCTCCAGTGCAGCCATCAAATGGTTGAAACTAAGTGAGAAACAAAGCAGAGTTTGTTAAGGGAATGGCAAGTGGTACCATAATGCACTATTATGTGGCATATGGAGCGGTTAAGCCCAAACCCGTTAACTCCAATTCCCATGACAGACCTTGAGGGATATTAGCTTTGAGTAGACATAGATTAGAGCAGCTGAGCAGAACCTTCTAAAAATGTTGATTTCAATTCTCAATGGACAAAGTTTTATCCCTGTGCTATAAGTGATGCTCAGGTGGGAGGATCTAATGGTTCCTACTGGCATTAAATATATGTGTTTTTCTTTTTCTCTCCCTCCTCAGTACAAATCTAGTCGGCTGCAGAACCCAGAAGCAGAAGATAGTGGAGTGAAGAGATAGATAGAAATATAGTTTATGTACTTCATGTAAGCAACTGGATCTATGCAGACCATTCATTCTGTACTATTTTGCAGTCAGTTAATTTCTTTGTGGATGAGGGTATTCAGCAACATATAACGGATGGCACATATGTGTATATTACTTTTAATGACCAGGGGTACATTGTCCTAGTAAATGCCATCAGTGAGGAGTATGGGCTGATATCAGCTTTTTACTTCATCTTGCAACTAACTGGAATCCTTGAAAGATTAATTTGAATGGCTGGCAGATCTCTCACCATCTTCTGTGACATTTATCAAAAGCCATTGAAGACCTAAAATCTGTACATACCCTGTTGGTGTTACTGCTGTTCTGGTTTGTCAGTAAAGTACATTCTGCCCCTTGGAAGACGTAAATGTTTGTACTACCTACTGCTACAATTTCTGTTTAAATAACACACTGGACCAGATTCATTCATATTCTCCAGCAGCTACGCTGCAGCAGCAAGAGCAGTAAGCGTTATTTAACTCATCATTTAGGCAACTTTGCATCACCAGAACAGTAGAAGGTTGTACACCTGCTGTCCTTAATTACTTTCTTCCTTACTTTCTAAAGTAAGTTGAAAATCCCACTATAACTCTAAGGTCAGCTGCTAATACCTCCTTCAAGGTTAACAGAATGTAAATTGTTTTACATAATGTGCAGCTGCTTCTATTAATCTGGTAGCAGCTGTTATATCTACTGCTATGTGAAAATTGTTCCTTGGTCATGTACTTTCCAATGGGAAACATTTGTTGGACATGGAAATCTGGTCAAATTGAATCAATTTCTGATAATTTAAAATGCTTTGCCCTTTTATGGGCTTTATTAAACCCCTTTCATGGGTTTTAATTTGAACATACTGCTTTGTTTTGTGCTGTCATGTTGAAATCAGATGTTTAAATTACATTACACTGTACCCAAAGTGATACTTGAGAAATCGTGTTTCGGGTTGGGCTAATTTAGTGCTGGCTGGGATGAAAAAAATCTCAAGATGTCTTACAAATGCCAGTTCTATTCCTCATCCATCTCTGCCTCTTGGGTCCTCTTTCACCTGGCTCAACACACCTCAGGGACCCCACTCTATTATCAGTGACTGCTGAGAAAGGTCACCAGAATTTTTGGGGGTGTTTCATCACAGAAACTAGTGTGTACATCACAGAAACTAGTGCATAGGCGCAGTAAAAACCTAATACCAACCACACTGAGTCAGATCAAAAGCCCACTTAGCACAGAATGCTGTTTTCGGCAGTGGCTAAGAGTGGGTATTTGTAGGAATAGGGTAAACAAATCTGATACTTCTGCTAAATGCTCTCCAAACCTCTAGCACTTTGAAGCCCAGGGACTGCCTAGCCTGGGTTAGTCTTTACTTAATAACCATCAACCTATTTTCTTTTTTATTTTCTTTAATTAAAAACTTGTTCATGAAACTTCATCTTCACCGATTTTGGCATCAACAAAACTGTGTCCCAAGGAGTTTCTCAGCTTAACCATGTGTTGTGTGATGATCCATCACCCTCTCAGTGGTTTTCAACCATAATGTTTATTTGATGCTTGACATTTGATGAGGCAGTGAAGGATCAGTTCCTGGGGTACATAATCAGTACCCTATATACTTTTTTTCTCTTTCTTTGTCTGTTTTAAGTATCCATGGAAGGTGCAAAATAAGGCAAAAAATCCATTAAAAAATTAAACAAAAAAAAAACCCAACCAAAATCAAAACAATAAAAGTAAAGCATTGCATGAGTGTTGCTTTGTACAGACTGATGCTTTACACATAAGAGCTTGGGGTCTGCACTGATGCTGAAAAGTCTCTATTCTTATCCATAACTACTAGCCAAATCCACCAGCCTCAGTCTCCAAATGAGAGATTCCCAATCAGACAGCAGCAATGCTTCTGCTGGTTAATATGGACCTGAACTGGTCAATGACAAAACTGATGGAAAGTTTGCTTAGAATTCAGTGAACTTGCAGTCAAGTCTTCAGGGACAATTTGTATTTATTGCAGTGTCCTTGCTGTATTTAAATTGAATGATTTCGCAGGCAAGTGTGCTATGGAGTTTCATTTCATATGTGGCATTTTTGCACATGAAGTGACGTGTCATGTGTGAGTTGCAATCTTCTCTGAAGTGCAGCTGTATTACTGAAACTGGCACCGTGTGACTCTTTACACATTGCATGGGCCAAAATTTAGCCAAGAAGAATTTATTACAAATACCAGAGAAATTGCCAAAATCTTTTTAGACCTTGGGATATTTAGTAGTGTTTTGAAATCCCTTGTAAAGTCACTTAATCAGAATGCACAAAGGATTAGAATATGTCAATAAGGACAGGCCTCAGCCTCAGCAGATGGGGACTTTTTTCCATCCTTCATTTCTGTGAATCTGTTGAAAAGTAATTATTCCCTCTGTACTTTCTGTATAGGGCTGTGGAAAGACCTTCAAGCAGCCTGATGAAAACCAGCTGTGAGCCATCAAAATAATATATTCAGTAAAGCAGCTATGGTAACTGGACTGGGCAGGCACCAGCCTATTTTTCATCAGACTGACTGCCCAAAATAATATAAGTAGTTTATTAGATCTTTTTCTCCATAGTTCTTATACCAAGCTCCAGCCAGTGGGCACCTGCAAGGTGCCCTCTTTAGGAAGGACTTGATCAGCATTTAAGTTCAGGTTACTTTTTTTTTCCAGGACGTTGCTCTGTTTCTGAACTTGAAATAAATCATTTAAAAAAAAAAGGGAAAAAATTACTCAAAGGAAGATATGTTGAAAACTTTCAGCAGTCTTAACTAAGATCAGCTATGCAGTTTGGCATAGAAGGTAGTCCCTTTGCTATTGATAATTCTGAGGTGACATGGGCACTCTGCTCTGGAGAAAATGCCTTTATGTTGGAAAGGTTTCAGACCACCTATCACAAGAAAAGGGTGTTTCACTGTAGGTCTCACTGAAAAGCCCTAGCTGTTATGATGTTTGGAGGTCATGGCTGCTACTGCCATTGGGATTTGGAGGAGGATGGTTTCTTTTCAAGGCCTAAAGCAGATATTATAGAATCATAAAATCATAGAATCATAGAACAGTTAGGGTTGGAAAGGACCTTAAGATCATCTAGTTCCAACCCCCCTGCCATGGTCAGGGATGCCTCACACTAGACCATGTCACCCAAGGCTCTGTCCAACCTGGCCTTGAACACCGCCAGGGATGGAGCATTCACAACTTCCCTGGGAAGCCCATTCCAGCACAGAGATCTGAGCCTATATTGTTCCACTAAAAATGTATCTTTTGTTTTTTTTTGTAAATCCCATGTATGCATTTTGTTATTAGAAATTTGAAGAAAGTCAAGGAAGAGCCAACAGCAAAACAGCCTTTTACCAGGCTCTGCAAAATTCTCTAGGAGGAGAAGACTCCAACTCATTCATTGAAGGTGCAGCTACATGGTATTACTCCCTCGAACACTCAACTGATGATTATTCATCCTTTTCCAGGGCTTTGGAAAATGCCACCCGGTAAGAAACTCAACCTACTACAGCTGTGTGATTGAGGTTAAGCAAGGTTTGTTTTGCTTATCTCAAGTGTGCATTTATATTCTGAAAAACTTGAGTGATTCTTATGTAAATGAACAGACAATGGGGAATATGATTTCATTTTCCAGGAGGTTTCCGATGTAATTGGTAAACAGAATTTGAAATGACTTTTATGCCTTGTAAAAAATTTGAGTAGTCTTTTCCTAACCTGTATATTGAATTCAGAATGCTAATGCTTCTCTGTGAGCTCTTCCATGTCAGAGATGACTTGGTTGTTTGTATACTCTATATCAACTATTCTTTGAGACCTCTCACCCCTGTGACAGTAGAAGAACTAACAGACTGGCTTTTACTCATAGCCACCTAATTATACATTTAGATACTTCTAGTTTTTGGAAACTTGGAGAGTGGTCTAATTTAAAAACTTTGATTTCAGCAATTACATTAATTTTTATATTATGAAACCTGCAAAATATGTTTCTTCACAACATCAGGCTTCCTAAAATCCTCCTATGTAAAACAGTGAAGCATTTGTGAATGTTTAGAAAAGTGGTTCTCAACCCCATTCTCTCCATTGCTAATTTCCATTTTGCCCATGGCAGAAGAATCCCCTTAAACTTATTCCTCTGTTTTCTTGACCCTAGTGTAATCATTTATAGCCGTGTACAGTGATTGTATAATGTCATCCAATATACATTTTGCTCCTTTTGTGTATGATTTCCCATGGTGAGAGAAAGCGGAACTGGGCAATAGGATGCTTCTGTAGGAAGTCTTCTTGTGGAGGTGAAAGGGGAACACATAACTCTGACTCTCACCTTGTTTGATCCACCAGGATACACTGCAGACTCACAGTGCCTCCAGGCTTCTTATGAAGGAAATAGTTGGGGTGAAATGTCATCAGATACATGAGCAACTTACCTCTAGTGTACACGTTCTCATCCTTTGCCTGGAAGCATTACAGGGAGAGACCATGGGGAAGTGGAAGATGAGTGGTGGGCCATGTTCACACCACCTAGTCTATATGCATAGCATCAATCTTTAATTGGCTATGGCATCAAGGTCCAGCAGTTCTGAATAACAGTCGGTTTGAAGAGTTCATTGCCCAGTTGAAAGCAGCAGTCATGACACCGATGGTAGGCCATAGAGACCTAGTTGCTTGGTGGAGCTTTCTGTCCTACTGTGAGCCTCTCCATGAGACTTTAGAGACAAGATTTTCCTTTCAGTCCTCTGTCAGAGTTGCAGGGCAACTTGCAGAGTTGCAGAGTTTCTCCAGGGGAGCCTCAGGGAGCAGGAGATGAACAGGAGCCAAGATTCACTTGGAAACATCTGATACAAGAGAGCGGTGACCAGATCTGTTTGGGGAAGGTTTCTGGGTGGTCCAGGTGTGCTGGTGCATTGAGGTCATGGAGTAAAAAAGTCAGAAGGCTGTGGGTTGAGCTTTGTGCCATTTATCGAGTCTTGCACCATGCAGCATTTCACAGAATCATAGTATCATGTAGGCTGGAAAAGACTTTTAAGGTCATCAAGTCCAACCATTAAGCCAGTGCTGCCATGTCCCTAATCACTGCGTCTACATGTCTTTTAAATACCTTCAGCGATGGTGACTCCACCACTTCTCTGCATACCACAAGGTGTTTAATGAGAAAGGAGTGGGGACAGATGAAGTACTTGGACCTCAGGGATATGAGGTCTTTATAAAGGTGAAGTTTGGCCCAGGGACAGGCCACCCATCACTGTGGTATTTGGGGCCACTGCATGCAGTACTGTGGTCCATGGGTGTTAAAGCCAGAACTTATCTTCAATCTCTTTCCATCACCACTGTTACCCACGGGGCTATAATTGTTTAGTCAGATCAGTAAAGTTTTAAGCCATAACAAACCACTGAAAGACTTGAATTTTAACTCCTCTTCCTATCCAGAGATACCTCCATCAGAAGCTGCTATAACACAGGGCTGTCACATTTGATCATCCACATTCAGCCCAGGGCTCAGTGTGGTGCAAACACTGACTTTTGCAAAGCTACAGTGGCCAGCAAGCTACTTGTTTGCAGCAGGATGTAATACACAAATAGCTCCTCTGGCTCTCAGCCTGTGAGAGCCCTGCAGCAGCCTCCTGGGCATAGGGATTACCTGCTTGTTTATGGTCTGAGGCAAATGACTTGACTAAGGAAAGACATGAATGTCTTAAAGAGTCACCACGAGCAAGCAGGAGGGTGAGTAGTGAAACCAGGACATCTGATGATAATCCTTTGCTATAAACACTTTGGAAATCACTCCAGCTACAGCAGAATGGGAGGGGAAACAGAAGTTGCAGAATGACAGTAACCTACAACATACATGGAGGGCAGAAGAGAGCTTTTTGTGTGCTTTTCCTCTTTTTTGTTGTGGTTTTGTATTTATTTGAATAAAAAATTACTACCAGAATAAATGTGTAACCTGAGGAAAGTTCTGTGTCAGGAAGTTATAACTGACTGCTAAAGTTTTAACAGGGTTACAGAGTGTGAGAAAGCAACAGAAGTGGTTGTTATAAACTACGCACATTGGCATATCTTGTGGTTTTAAAATATTTCCACTTTAAAACTGTTTTAGCTGCAATTGTCTGGTATTTTTCCCAGGCATAACCCAAGTTTAATTTTCTTTTTCTTTCCTTTTATTTAAAATGAAAGGAAAAAAAACAAACAAAATACCCCAACAAAAGCCTCTGGTATGCCATGCCTGTAAGAAACAGCCATTTCAGTTTTGTTTCTTTACTTCCCCAGAAGAGCTGACTTCTCCTCCCTCCATAGCACCAACTGAGAATCAGTTCTAAGTGGTGAAATGTATCTCAAAACATTTCTCAAGAGCTAATGCTCTCCAAAGGCTCCCTAGTTTTCAAAGACCATCTGCTCCTATAAACCCCATACTGGTAGGCATGTGAAGAGCAGTAATTTTTGTTTCATAAGGGTGTTGTCAACCATAACCGTCAAAGAACATTGTGGTCAGTCAGCTCATAGCTTGTGGTCTCACAGATGGGCTTAAAATAAACTTTGCTGAACCAAGATAATTACCCAAACAGTGCCTTTCATATTCGTACCAGTTAAATATAGCAACGTGTTTTTATGCTTCTTTGACACTGTTCTTTCTTGCATCAGTCATTCCTTTTTTACAAGTCTGAAGGAGCAGCTACTGCTTCAGATTCACTACACTGAGGATTGAAACCTCCCACTTCCGCAGCAGATACACTTGTGTGTGCTCATGTAGTTATGGATGTATAAACACCCAAAGAGTGTGCTGAGTCTTCGGGCACATGTAGAATTAGAAGTGGTGATATGTGTACATATAATACTGCTTTGGTGAATCATAATGAGATATGTTGCAATAAGGTGTCCTGTTTTCTGCCTGCCCCTCTTGAACTGCTTGTGCTCCTTTTATCTACTGCTCACCCACCTTCCAGCCCCACTTTCTGGGGCAGTTGGAGCTAGGAAGGTTTAGATAAATTTGCATCACTAGTACCTTTGCATTGCAATAGCTGGTGATAAACTTATTTCACTATCTCATTGCACTCTTCTTGTTTAAGCTTTCTCACCCAGACACACTATACCAGATTTTCCATATTGATGAGCCCTGCCAGAGGCCCTTCCAGGTATCTCCAAAAGTGGTCCCTTACCAATTCCAGCTCTGGAAACTCTACCCCAAAAAAATCACATGGATCCAAATGCAGTAATGATATTATTGATCCTTAACCCAGGAAATATATGACTTTTTAGTAGATGCCATTGCAACCCAGTGCTTCCAGAAGAAGGAACTTTATACTATTACAAGCATGGGCTCCCATAAACTAGACTAAAATGGGAATATTTCTTTTGGCCAGGATACTCCTTATTTGTTAGGTCTGGTTTATTTAGTATCATTATCATTGTTCAACACTCCATAATGCAGCAATTCTAGTGAATTCTAAGCTTTTCAGCGTTTGTGGAGGTTGAATGTGTTTTCCTGCAGTGGGCTTGAAGGTAGAGATATGAGCTGTTTGGGAAGATTTAAAGTAGGCAGTCAATATATAGAGAGGTCTATTGGTTGAGGAGGGGTGTCTTTCCTTTATTCTATTATGTGATTGTGTCTATTCCCTGTTCCTCCTTTTTTATCAGTGACCAGTTTATCATGTGTCCCATCATAAACATGGCCAGTCACTGGGCTGCTGCCTCCAGAGGAAATGTCTTCATGTACCATGTACCTGAAAGCTCCTCACAGAGCAGGTAAGAAGGTGTATTTTACTGTGTTTCTTGGATTTAGGGTTTGCAAAAACAGGGCTGTCTGTTTGGGCATCTTGTGGAGTAAATCTATAGGTGTTGGTACCTCACATAAAGAGTCCAGATTAGCAGGGGAGAGATTGAGCTCTAATAGGTTATTTTTCTCTCTTTACTGTATAGGAATGCTGTTCCTGAACTGAGGCTTTCCAAGTTAGACATCTAAATTAATTTCCCCCTTTCCAACTTACCTACCTTTGCCAGTTCCAGATCGCCTTTTAGTTTCCTACTCTGCATCTGATAAAGCTCCTGTAAAGAAGTGGGATGTTGTCTAAGCCATCAGGAGTCCGCAGCTCTCAAGATAAATGGGGTAACAATTCCTAAGGACTCAACATAATTTAACACTGCCCCCTTTTGAAGTCAGTGCAGTTGTACTGTACTTACACTGAGTGGCCTTCAGTGTGGAGGGGCTCTGGGGGCTCTGGGGCTCTTTATTCCTTCCTGCTCCAGCACCATGACTTGTGATCAGACAGCAGACCGTTTTATGGGAGGACAGATATTTTTGAGCACAAGCGTTTGCAGACTCAGGCTCTCTCTCATCCTTCATGGTAGAAATCTACTTGGAAAACTTTCAGCAGGAGAAGCTGTATCAGATTCAAGACAGAAAGGTCTAAGTGCCTGCAGGAGATGCAGATGTCTTGTTCCCTTTGGCGCAGAACAAGCTGCTAGTCAGAGGCTGTTAAGGTGACCTTTCCTGGTTTTATTTTACACCCAGCCCCTCCCAAAAGTCATGATGAGACACTGAAGTTTGCAGGCAGTGCTGAGCACTTTGGGCTCCTGTGGGACACACCACCGTACCCCACAGACCCTTGCTCTCAAGGGCTGGGTGACCAGAAACTGCAGTGGTGATAGCCCTCCTGTTCCCTGGATCCACACCTTAGGGCAGCACAGCACACAGGGATGGTCTCTTCTAACTGTTCCTTTATGAGGGAGCAGTGCTTGTTCACTGCTCCCTGTACTACCTCTCTCCAAGAAAGACTCTTGAAACCCTTTCCTTTTTCTCAGGCTTTCTCCAAAAGGGCTCAGAGGGGGGACAGCGGGTTCCTACCGGCACCATTTGATACTGCGAACTGCGCAGGTTGCTCCCTTTCCTGATAGAATAGTGAAAAAGCATTTGAAAGAAACCATCCAAGATCTAGGTTACAGATGAAGGCCATTATGCTGTGGTAACACAGGCTCGCTTTCTTTTTAGCTGAGAAGTTAATCCTTGGGGAGCCGTTATTTCGCTGGCGGCTCCAGCGGGAGTGCTCGCAGTGCTCCCTTTGGCTACTGGTAGGCTCAGATAAGTGACTTTTACAAGGCTCCAAACAGGGCTGAATTATGGTATGCCAAAAATCCAGCCACACAAAAAGAAGCCTTCTCAAATTAGCTAGCAAGTTTTCTTTTGGTTTGGAGAATGATAGAGAGCCAGTCATCTGTGATAAGACCTTACTTAATAGTAGATGAAATAGTACTTACACAACTTAGACTCACTGGCTTTGACACAATGATTTTAAATTGATGAGAGTTTCCTTTGCTATCTAGCCTTATTTAAGATCTCCTTGGGCTTAGTTAGCTCTCCTCACGCTTTCCAGTGCAGTTGTAGTTTACATAGCACTAAGCTACACACTAATAGTATTTATGTTGTCAATGCTCTTCCAAGCTAATTACTTTAAATTTTAGTACAAAACTTATTAGTCTGCTTTTTCATAACCCTCTTTAAAAGAATAAATGAAGCCAGTATGCTGTCTGAAACTTGTGGGAATGTGAGGCAGGGGCTCGAATGCCTTAGGCCACTTGCAAGGAGAAATAAGCCTGAATTGGTATGCTGCGTTTACATTCTTACTCCTTTTGCCTTTATGCTTAACTACAATTAAAATAAATGTTGTTTAGCTTGCAAAGGCAAGCGCTAAAGCAGGAATTGCAGAATTCAGCTTGTTCCTGTCCAGAAGGATCTCATTTGACACTAGGACATGACTATTTGTGAAGTGATACCCTGGTTTTCCCAAGAGACCCCACACTAGGCCATCTGCTGAATATACTGCAAGCTTTTTGTTTAAGCTTTGTTGTCATTCATTCCTAAATGAATCTTTCCTTATTCTTCATCATGGTTTTTCCATGTGACCTCTCTCGCTTCCCATCCCTACAGCATTCCCAATGCATATAGTGTACATGCATTGCAGGCTGTCCAGCAGCCTCACTGCATGACAATGACGTGATGATGTTGACGGTAGGAGCTTCACATGGGAGAAATGCTAAAAACTGGGAAACCATCAGTTTCTGAAACCAACAAAGCACAGTGCCTGGGAAAGTTACTGACCATTTGCACTACCAGACTAAAACCAACGGTGCACATGAAACAGCCTTCAAGTAGAATATATAAACCAACACTAGGGAGAGATTTGGCAACCATGTCACATATTCCCAAGGTACTTCCCTAACCACTGGAGTAATAAGCCCTGACAGTTCTCAAGTTCTTTGAAATCTGTGACTCTTCTTAGGAGGAGGAGCAGAGGCAGATGCTGGTACCAAGTACACCTTAGGATAGAAGGTAGGAAGGTGTAGGTTTGAACTGGCTCAGCAGAAGTGAGAATTTAACCTGGGACCCTGCAAACACTTTAGCTATTAAATTCCTGAATGGAAGAACTCTGTTACCACCATTTCTTTGTGTTAATGAATGCAATAGACAACAGTATGCTTTGCACATAGTAGTCATGTACAGGATGCTTTGTAAGTAGACCATACTGGATCAGACACCCTCCAGTGTGTTGTAGCTGGACGACCACCTCATTTGATGTTCCTGATTACTCATAGGTAATTGACAGAAAAATTATTTCTCAGTCTATTTGATATTGAATCACATCTTGGTTTGCTGAGATAGAGACCTTGGCTTATGAAAATGGAAACTTCTCTCGTATTATGTCCATTAAGTAACATAAGAGATAAAATAATGATTTTTTTTTTTTGGTCTTTGATGTCTAAATTCTTCCTAAGATGTCAGTTTACACAGGACATGGACATTTCCCTCTTTGTGTTTGTTACAGATATCAGAAAGATGATGGTGATAATATAATTATCCATAATAACTACTAATAGCTACCTCAGGGGTATTGGAAAGAGTACATTAAAATAATATTGTGTTCAGATAACTACAGCAATGGAAGACTATTTACTCTTAGATAAAATATTCTGGCTGGGAAAATGGCCATTCACTAAGATAAGCAACACATTCACCCATTTCTAGCCTGCCACATCTCTCCACTCTATGCGTGTCCCCCAGAATGTGTAACACAACAGTTAAAATGCAGAGATGAGAAAGTAGTGGTATTTCCTCTTGTTTCACATAGAGCAGTGCCCTAATAACTCACAACAAGATAAACAAGAGAGGAGGAGGAAGTCAGCCAGCGAAGACAGACCCAACTGCAATGGTACAAAGTAGACTAAAAGTTATTAAACAGGGAGGAATTTTTACCACTACAAGTCAATTAGCAAAAGTTTTCTCACAGCTGGATGTTTCTAAGATGTATACATATGCACACATTCCAGCATGCATAGATACAGGGGTAGGATTAAAAAGCCCACCCTAAACTGATGTCTGTGACGTAAGTGGAAAATCACATAAACCCATGGACTGACAGTTTTCATATAGATGAATGGATCTTGCAGAGAGCAAACTAATACCTCCTTCCACGTGATAGCATTCTCCCGAGCTTGGCGTGAAACTGTGTCTGCTTTAGTCTTCAGTTCCCATTTAAATAAGGAGTGGGATGTGTAGCCAACTCCTGCATTAATGATCTGTAGTAAAAATATATACATAACCCAGATGCCTTTTTCTCACTCTCTCCTTGAGAACACTTAGGCCTCGGAGTAAACATTTATTCAAAACAATGCGGGAGGAATGTGACTGCTCAGCATTGCCTAGGATTAGTGAGGAGGACTGGAGTTACAGTAAAGAAATATATGATAGCAGAAGTATGTTTTGACAAGGATAATATTATTAACCATACAAAGATTTGCCTCTTTCACCCTCCAAGAGGTTTCTGGGTGATTTTGACATATTATATGAAGCAGCACTGCTTGCCATGCCAGCAGAGTTTCCAAGTCACACTGTGGTGCCAAATGTGCTGTCTTAAAGATGGTGGGTAAAAATCAGTGCTCTGCTCACTAAGCAGGCAAGATCATCAGCTGCAGCTGGATGGCAAAGCATCATGGTTGTCACTGAGGAGTGTAAACTGAGACTTCATGAAGCTCTATCTTATAGTCATTAACATTGCAATTGTCACAAAAGATTTTAACTGTTGTGCACTGGACAGATTCATCTGAGATTAATGAGCTGCTTGCTTTCTGTTTTGAGCCATTTTAGTTGGGTCTGTCTTTACCTTCTGACTGTGCACTCGTGTGCACATTGGTGTGAGTTGCCAAAAGACTTCTCCGTGCCAGTGCTCAGAGTTGGCTGGATTTCGGTGACACTTTCCGTGGTTCCTGTAACTGAAGGAAAGAAGTTGTGACTAAGAAAAAGAAAAGTTTTTGTATAAGCCCATTCAACTATCTGAAGTATTTTAATTTTCTAGTTGTTATATATGCTGTGCTAATTCTGGCTGTTGTTAATATCCCTTTAATTAAAGGAGATTTTCTGCTCTTTTGCTTCTGTAATAGTCATATCCTTCTCCTTTAATCTGTTCACCACTTGTCCAGTTGAGGATCTCCTCCTGACTGTAGCTGTTAGTCCATGAGTACAAACACCCCACAGGCTGGGGGGGCCACAATGTCAGCTGGTGCTGTGGAGATAGGCAGAAAGTTATGGCTCTGGGCTTCAAAGAAACTCACCTAAACACAGAGGGCACAGGTGAAGTGGTAACAACAATGACAAGATGCACCTTGCCTCCGTAGCCAGGCAGGCACCAGAATCACTTTAGGCAGCCATATACACTTGCTGCAACAATAGCTTGTAGTTTTTCTCTATAAGGCTG